TAAATAAATAAATCTTTTAAAAAATCACTAATATTTCCCTTTCCCCCATTTTTGCTGAATTTGATTTATATATATTTAATGCTTTCTTCTGTGTGCTCTCCCAAGCATGTGCATATAAAGTAAAAAATGATTGCAAATTGGCTTTGCAGGAGGCCATGTGGAGGGGCGGCTGTGGGTCGGCTGGAATGATGACTCCCTGCTGGACTCAAAGCCCTTGAGAGCTTACAGGGTATTGGCCCCAGAGGGGTCAGGGACTCTGCCTCACAACCCCGTTGCTTTGTGTTTCCCAGGTTAAAGCTGCTGGGGGCTCAGCTGTGCTAAGATGGATGGGACAGAGACCCGACAACGGAGACCAGAAGAGCTGGGCCTGCCACACACACTCATCTCAGGAAGATTCCCTGCAGCCCCTGAAGATGGACTTCTGAGTACCCCTGAGAGCCAGAGGACGGCCACTAAGCCACTGGGGCCCACGCTCAGCCAGGAGACCTCTGTGTCCATTGCTCTTCAGGTGGCAGTGCCCTTCATGTTTGCAGGCCTGGGACTGTCCGGGGCTGGCATGCTTTTGAACTATTTCCAGGTAAGAGGGAAGGGAGATGTTGGGGAGGAGACACCATCTTCTATCACCCTAAAGAGTAGGTGGCTATTTGTTGGGTCCAGCTTGAAGGACACAGGGCATGGCCCCTCTTCTCAAATACCATTTTTCTATAAACTAGGAAAGGTTCTTTTATTTACGGTGATAGAGGCAAATTTACCCAGGTTAAGCTAGAACCACCTATTAACTCAAGTAAGCTCCACGAGAATAGATTTCAGGCATGGCATCATCTAGGTGCTTAAATGATGTGAAGATGCTTATTCTTTTTATATAGCTCAGTTCTGTCTTGTTTTCAGGTAAGATTTTGTACCTGCAGGAGAGTCTTACCCTTGGCAGTCAATCTTTGTACATGTTGCTATTAAAAAAAGAGAGAGAACCAACCCTTTGTCAATATCCCCATCAGTCTACAAAACTGACCCTGATGTCAAGTGTCCACTCCTGTTCTAATCACTGTTCCCTGAGTGATGCCATTCTGATTGGCCAGCGGACTCACTTGCCATCATTCTTTGAGGGACCCTTGATTTATATCCTAGCAGAACCCCAAAGAATTAGAAGCCTAAAAACCAGAAAATGTTGCCAATACACCTGTTCTTCAGGTGTATTGATAGCAGGGGAACCTCTGCTATCAAAATCCCATCATTTCATCAACATGATCTCCAGAAGTCCTCCCTGGAAAGGCATGGTACCCCAGAATACAGTCATTACTGGCCCCATCTTTCCCATTAGTTGGCAACCAGCTGAGAACAAAGTGGTCTGGAGTGGGGCAAGCTGGGAGAAACAGGACCTCGATCACTGCCCTGGGAGCTCATCACCTCGTGGGCCCTGAACCCTGGAACTTAGCCCTGCCCCCCTCTGACTTGGAACCAGTCAGGGTTGAGTCTCATTTAGCTGTAAGTCTGGTTGGTTTTTTAAACCAACACTTAAAAATCAGGAGATTTCATATAAAAACCTGAAATTAAGGTCAGGTCAACATTCCACATTCCGTTGTGGCCACATCAGCAGCTGCACACAGTATGCACATCCTCCCTGTACTATGTCTCTGGGTTACTTACTTATACACCTGAGACAATGTAAGTATTATGTATTTAGTTGTTATACTGTATTGTCTAGAGAATAATGACAAGAAAAAAAACACTATGCATATTCATTCAGTATAGGTATTCAGAATATGAATACATGTTCATTCATTCAGGCCACTGAAGGTCTGAGTACAGTTGGTTGAATGTGGATGGGGAACCTCTGGCTGCAGAGCTGACTGTGGTTATACTCACACTGGTGTATGTAAATTGCCTGTGCATGCTTACAAAAACTGGTTTACATATTGTGTGCACACACTATGTTGATTTTATAAATTACATATTGAAATTGCATATAAAAAGATACTGTATTGCTTAAGAGCCCAGACTTTGAAACTAAACTAACTGGATTTAGTCGACCTTTGTCATTTACACAACTTGCTCTCAGTAGGTTAGGGATGATGGTAGAGCTGAGCCTAGAAGCTTGCTAAGAAGACCGCAGAGTGCTTGTAACAGTGCCTGGCGTGGGAGGCACCAGTGAGGGCTCATTGCTGTCCCTACAGTTATTGATTTTCCATGTAGTACTGGACTGGCTTTTGAGCGCTTACACAGAAATTGCAACTCAAAAGCAAAGAGTTAGGCAGAAATGTCCATTCTCACATTTCTTTCATGTGCCTGTGATTGTGTGCCCTCCTGGCAGTGGGGGTCAATGCCCTAGCACCATTTGGGGGAATCTCCACAGATGAGGGGATGGCCAAGCTCATGCCACCTGTCACTGGCTGCGATCCATGGCGCTTTATAATCACGTGTGCTCCCAGCCAGGGACAGGACGCCACACACCAGGTCCAACCCACAGGAGGGTGTGCCCTGCAGCAGAGAAAACCTGGCTTCCAGGCCATGTGGACGTGCAAGTGCGGGGGGCGCCCCTGGTTTCTGCAGGAGGGCGTGATGGGCTTGCTCATGGGCTCATGGAGCTCAAGCCGCTACTGAGGGATAAGGAAGTGCCATCCCCACAATAAGACTCGTGGCTGACCCAGAGGCCTTATCCTTGGGCACACACGGGGAGGGGGCCTTATGCTGGGGCTAATGGAGGCCCTTCTGCTGTTTCTCAGAAGTCAAAGAGCACATTGCATCCTGGTTTCAGGCTTAGCCCACCTTGAGCCCTTGATGCCTTGCTGATGACTGGGTGTCCAGGGCAGAGGCAACGTGCCTCCCTAGCAGGCAAAGCGGAGCCTTGGCCAGGAGGAAGCAGTGGTGGTGAAATGATAGGGGCCCCCCATATGGCCAAGAGAGGCAGTTCAGGGACCTGTGCAGGGGTGTGTATTTCCAAGGGCATGAATCCAGATGAATTGGTTCCTTTCGACAATAGAGACACCCAGCAGGGGTCTCTTCATGACCCTGTCACTTGAGTTGGAGTTCCTCAGGGAGCCCATTCTTCCTCTCAGCTCAGCTGGCTGCCGGGCCTCTGGGAGGGGGAAGTTTACTGAGTGCTTTTCTCTAGAGCCAGCACTCTGAGGAGGGGACTGCAGCACTGGCCCACTGTCAATGTCCAAAATGCTGCAACAAGCGCCTGTCTCCCCACTCCCCCAGCAGTGATGGAGCTCAGTGGGATGAGCAGGGGGATACAAACGCCATCTGCTCATTCAGTTGATCTCAGGGGGCTCCCCAGGTAACTAAGGGACAGGGGCACCTCCTCTAGTGCTGTAGCTTCCAGGCAGGGGCCGAGGACAGTCCCCTGCAGGTGGGACGTGCTGAAGCCCCCAGTTTGACTCCGTCGTGTGAAGGAGGCTTAGTAGCTTGCCTCCCTGACAACCCTCACAGGAGCTGTGCTTGGAGTGGAGCAGACCCCTGGCAGCTGTGGGAGGTAGACTCTGTAGGAACAATAAGGTGAGGTGCCCCTTGCTCCCTGGGGAGGGCAGACTAGTGGCAAGAGTGCCAGAGAGCACCTGCCAGGCAACAAACTTGTTTGGGTGTTCAGTCACTGGCAGGAAGTAAACCTGGGTGCTCAGGGATACGCAGACATTGTGCTCATCACCTCGATAAGGAGGGTTGCTTGGCTGGGGGTCCTGGTGCGCCTGACCAGATTGGGGAGGCCCTCCTGTTTCACCAGACGTCAAGGCAGGATGTCATGATAATGATTTAGGCCTTAAACCTATGTCATGATAATGATTTAGGCCTTAAGCTGCAGAAGACTGCTGGGTTTCTCTTCCTCTTTGTTGCTTGCTACTCTTCTGTTTATTTGTTCATTCATTTTTCATGCAACGTGTGTATGTGTGCATGCACATGTGTGCACCATGGGCCATCTCTGTGCTGGATGTTTTGGTGGACATGCAGCCTGTCCCTCTGCCACAGCCGGCACAGTCGAGAAGAGACAGACAACAGATGCACAAGCCAATGTGAGGTTGTTGAAAGGACTACACAGGAAATAAAGGCAGATGATATGCTGTAGCAGCCTTGGAGAGGGAGGCCAGAGGAGGTCTCTCGAGGAGGAGGCACTGCATAGACTGCTGGAGATCACTCTGGGAGGACACCGTTTTGACAGTGTGGGTGGGTTGTGCCAGCCAAATCAAATAGAAAATCAAGAACCACCTTTCCGGTTATTGGAGATGTAATTGGCTTGTTCTCTGGGACCTTAACAAGACTGGGAAGAACTCAGGACTTTAAGAATGACCAGCCCTGGCTCAAGATGACCCGTGGAAGGAATAGAAGGGTCTTTAGAAGGAATAGAAGGGTCCTGGGAAGAGAACCAGTTCCTGCTGAAGAATCAGAAATGAAAGCTGGGACTGCTGATGTGACTCTCTGCCCGCTCGTGGAGGAAACTCCCAAGCGCCTCATGGAGACACACCCTGGGAAAACCGAAGGGTTGGAACAAATGAGTGGCTATGAGGCTGCAGGCCTGGGGACCTGGCCGCTGGGCCAGGGACTCTCAAGTGCTTTGAGGGGAGGTGGGCTCCAGCCTTCTCATGTGGTGGGGCCGTGGGTGGGTGAGAGGCCCAGGGAGGGGCAAGGGCTTGTTGAAGGCCACCCAGAAAACCACCTGCTGTTGGACCTGGGTTCTACCCACTGCCAGAGCAGCCGTGGAAATCAGCTCAGGCACTCTGAGACCTTCCACCGCACGACTGAACTATTTTTAAAATCACATTCTTGATTTCCTGGATTATGACCCAGAAACTGTGATGACATATTTTGTTCTCAAATTTCATGGGAAAGCAATTTCTTTCCCATAACATAATGATCTCTTTTATTTACTTTTGGTCTCAGTCTTTGTTCTGATGGTTGTAAAAGCAAGTGATCACCTAGAATGTACAGAAACTTGTAAAGTGAACTTTACTTACAGTCCCATCACCCTAAAATAACCACTTTTAGCATTTTGGTATAGAGTCTTTTGAACTTTTCACTACTTCTGTGTGTTTTTATTTATCATTTGATCTTTTCTAAAACAATAATGAGAAACATTTTTTTCAAATCTTAACATTTATTGTCCTTAAGCCATTAACTAAGTACATTTTATTCTTTATTTTTTTTTTATAGAAGAACTGGAATGCAGGATGGGCCAGATAGGAGAGGTCTGCTGTGCCAAATGTGGGTCAGCTTCCTGGCCAGGGATCAAACCCAGGCCATAGTGGTGACAGCCCTGAGACTCAAGCCCTAGGCCACCAAGGAGTCCCTGAGAAACATTTTGTAATGATTTATAATTTGTTTAATGCTTTCTATATGAAATTATGTAAATTGTCCAAGGAGAACGGTTCGGGGAACCACTGTGTGTGATGAGACATTGAGGTATGGTGTTTGATGATGCTCAAAGCTTAGAGGAGTTGCAGGAGGTGCCAGAGCCAGAAGTGGGTCATCTCTTGCCTCTGATCTTTGGGGACAGTGTCCTCAGTGTCCAGAGAAACTAGGCCAGCTGGGTGGGGTTCTGTCTTAAGCTGGAGACAGGCAGGCCAGATGTGGGGTTGAGGTGATGGGGGAAGACGCAGGCAGGCAGAGGCTTGGGTGTCTGGCAGAACTGTTCACTGAGGCAGGATATCTTGTTGGGAAGAAATGATCAGGGAAGACTGGCTGAGTTGAGGTACTTTTCCTTCTACATGAGAGGGTTAGATGTGCGCTGAAACTCGGGAGAAGCCTGGGCTGAAGAGAGAGGTTGGTGGTTGCTGGTTTATCTGAGAGATTAAGCAAGGGTGGGGATGAAGTACCCTACATTTCCCCTTATCTGTTGCTGTGCAACAAACCAGACCAAAATGCAGGGACTTGTTTCAAGTCCGATCCCCAATCTGCGTTTAGGCAGGGCTCTGAGAACGTTGCCTGCTCATGTGGCCTTGGTGGGGCCAGCCCCTGGGCCTCTGCCCAGCTCCCTCACCTAACAGTGGGTGGAACATGCACGCGGCCTCTCTGTGTCTCGTGTTGCTGGCTGGCTGGGTTTCAAGCAGGAACATCTCAGGAGATAGGAAGTGGACGCTGCTGGTTTCTCAAGACCTGGGTCCAGAGCCAGATGAGTACTGAATGAGTGTGCAACCAGTGGTGTGAGGAGAGGCGGTGAGGGGTTATCTGAGTGTGAGGAGTCTGGAGTTGTGAGGAGGGGGCAGTAGGAGCGAGGCTGCAGTGGCCTGTGGAGCCCAGGCTAGGACGTGGACTTGAGCAGGGGACAGGCTACCCTGACAGAAGGCACTGGCTGAGGCACAGAGAGGGTAGTGGTGCCAAGACAGGCACAGAAGCAAGTGTGTATCTCACCTCAGCTTGTCTTCAGGCCTTGATCCCTGCTCCCACCTGCCCCTGAGACCTGGACATTCTGTCCCTGGAGTCTGTGAGATGCAGGGGACACAACCAACAATGCAGTCCCTGGAGCCCGAGGTGCCACCCAGCTCCTTCCCTGACTCTGTGTCGGTGGTCGCCTGGACATCTGAGCTGGTCTAACCTTGTAACAGACGAGGGCGGGGCCCTGTGGAGGCAGTTCCCAGTCTTCTGGGCCGACAAGAGAGAACAGGACTCATTTTTCCTGTGAACAGAGTTTTTTCCCATGGCCATGAGCCCCCAGACCCTGAAATCAAGCTGACCAAAGGGTGTGGCTTCTGTGCTGGGAACCTGCAGGCCTCTCCACCTAGAGGCAAAACCCCCTTGTGTGCTGTAGACCTGGCTGGAGGAGGTCCTTCTGGCTGGCATCCCTCGGAACCCTTCTCTGCCAAGACAAGAGGCAGCCCTGGATGCTTCCAGAGGTTGGCAGAGCTCTGCGGGGTGCTCGTCAAGGCTAGGCCTCACGTGGCTCCCCAGTGCAGCCCGAGCCAGTGTGGGCTGAACTGTTGGACACTGTCAAGGTCATGCTGAGGGACAGTGAATCTCCTTGTGGCAGGCCAGCGGAGGGAGGTCCCCACTGACACAGCAGCTACTGTCTGACGAGAAGCTGATTTGCAGGGAGTGGACGGCAGGAGCTGCCTCAAGTGAGGATCGGAGTCACCTTGACCTTTCCTCCTCACTAGCTTGCTTGGCCACGAGGCAGTCGGGGGGCCCTCCGTAGACGCAGGGTACCTGCAATGCCACCTGTGTGAACGACTCTGGAAAAGTACGTGGTGTGGACAGGGACGAGAGGTGCCGGCTCCAACGTCTTGCTCCTGGAATGCCGTCCACAGCCTGACCATGGTGGTCACCCAGTTGAATCTGGAGTTTCGCTTTCAGGGCAAGAAGCTGCGAGGCTTCCGCTGTGAGTTCACCCGGTTCCCCCATGGGGTCTTCCCTGAGACTGCCTTCTCCATCATGTGCCAGATTGTGGTGCCCATCCTGCTCTCCGGCTTGGGCATGATGACCGCCGGCCTGGTGATGAACACCGTCCAAGTGCGTATTGGGCGTCAGGGACAGCGGGGCCCCTTGGGTGGGGAGACCAGGGTCCCTAGATGTCACAGATAGGACAGATCAGATGATGCCAGAGGCCCCTGGGACTGCAGTTCTCAGGGCGCTGAGACCTCTCGATCAGCCACATGAGGCATGTCCGCCTGGCCACCTCAGCCCACTCCCCTGCAGCAAATGCAGGCTCATTAGGGGTGTGAATCTGGCCTCTACCTGAGGGAACTTGGAGGTCTCCCTGGCTCAGTTTCCCCATCTGTAAATGGGGCTAGTGAGAGCACCACCTCGCAGGCCTCCCTGATGAAGGCAGGGAGGGGAGGGTGGCTGTGGGGATGGGTCCCCTGCCACTTCCTTAATGTAAGACATCTTTATCGCTTATGAAATGCCGAGGATTTTAGGAGCTTTGTGTCAGAAACAGGGACAAAGATCAAATCTATATTTTTTATAAATTACAACGCTACAGAAGGAGTTTATTTTTACTCTGGGCTTGGTGAGTACATGTTGTGTGTGCAGGCAAGGAAGGGAGCCTGGGCGCCACGGGAGGGGAGGGAAGGGAAGGGCTTGGGGTGGGGAGCTAGGGTGGGGCCAAGGCGTTTGCTGGTGAGTGGGGTGTGATGGGCTGATAGAGGGCTGCAGAGGGCTGAGGCCAGAGGCTCCTGGAAGACAGGGGCTCAGAAGGACTGCTGATAATGTCAGAACCTCCTCGCCTGGTGAACCTCCTCGACTGAACGTTTAGGAAGGGCAGGGCCTCCCCGGTGGTGCAGCAGGTTGAGCACAGCGCTGTGAAGCTGTCCACAGCCTCTGCAGTGCGGGTTCAATTCCTGGCCGGCCGGGGAGATTCCCACATGGCGCAGCAGACCTCTCCTGTCTCGCCTGCTGCTCCCCTCAGCAGTGTATTTCAGTCAATCTGCCTGTTCTGCTCCCCACTCTGTCTCTGGTGAATCCTCTCACCCTCCCGTTCCTCTGGCCTATACCCCAGCTCTTATATAAATAAATAAATCTAAAGAAAAAAAGGAGAGGGCAGGCTCATAATTCATTAGAGCCGGGATGAATTCTCAGTATCACTGGTTTGCAGATAGGTGAAGGGAGAAACCAAGGAGAGCAATGAGTCGTCTTGCTAGCTCTGTGAGCCGGAAGGGGTCTTAGCCTGACTCCTTTCCCCCCAGACCTGGTAAGAGGTTTTATTAGGCTGCTTTGTAGAGGACTCTTTGGGGCCCCCTGCAGGTAAATGGATTTCCACACCCTTGCCCAGCTCTTGTCTTGGGATAGGATTCCATGCTCCAAGCTGCCCGTCTTCCAGCTGACAGAGTAGGAGGGTTTTTTTCAGGTCTAGCATATCAGAGCCAGGAGAGCCTTCTAGTTGAGGGGTCACCGATGTTTATAGGGGTCACGGAGGTAAAATAAGTATAAGTCAGGAGGAGCAGATGGGGTGTTCAATATTGGGGGTGGTGGTGAAGGGGCAATCTAATTGCTTTTTAAACAAGTAGGAACAATTTTAATGCCACAAAGAGATGTTCTCTCTTCCAACTTTCTTGAAGCATGCTTCCCTTTCTTTTTATTTTTCATGTTTGATAGACACCCAGCTAGAGACACAGTCTGTCTGTTCTGACAGATCCAGAGCCCCTGTTGTTGCCTTGGGTGCACCTCTTGGTGCCTGGGAATCACTGTCTCTGTAAAGCCCCATCCCTCAGCGAGGCCTGCAGCTCTTCTAGTTCAGGAGAGCTCTCCCAGCTTTGAAATTAGTGATTCATTCCTCCTTCCAAACTCACTGCACGCCTCAGGCTGGACCCAGTCACTGCCTCAGATCCAGTGCCGTCCCAGCTTTCCTGGCCAAGGGCCAAAGTGTTCAGTGCCAATTTTTGGAATAACAAAAATTCCTTTTTTGGATATTTGTTTTATTTTTCATTTATTTTCTTACATCGTTGTTCATTTTTGGACAGTATTTGATTTCTCCCCTCAGATGTAGTCCACCTAGTTCTCCCACCACCACCGTATCTCATCCATGATCTATCACCATAGTTCCCTCCCCTGTGCTGGCCCCTCCCCTGCCCCCTCCCCTGCTGCTTGCCCCAGGTCTATGGTCAGCTTGCAAGTTTTACTGTTTTCCTGACCTTTTGATTTCTCTGTGTTCCACAAATAAATGAAACCAATGTTTTTCCTTCTGACTTAATTGACTCAGCATAATCCCTTCTAGCTCCATCCATGTAGCAGCAAATGGCATGAGTTTATCTTTTTTGATCGCTGAGTAATATTCCATGGTGTATATGTACCACAGTTGATGCATTCATCTGTTATGGGGCATTTGGGTTGTTTCCATGTATTACCTATTGTAAATGGTGCTGCGATAAACATAGGAGTGCAGGTTTTCTTTTGAATTAGTGTTTTTGTGTCCTTTGGGTAGATCTCTAGGAGTGGAATCGCTGGGTCATCTGGTAGATCCATTTGTAGTGTTTTGAGGAACCTCCACACAGCTTTACACAGTGGCGAGCCCTTGACACTGGACTATGGAATGGGGGCAACCAGAGGGGGAGGGGAGGGGAGAGTAGAGATGAAAACAAAGGAGGGAGGGGGCACAAGGGTGTGTGATAGTGGGCGGCGGGTCCTTTGTTGGTGGGCACTCTGTGGCACCAGCGCCTCAAGGGGGATTGTACGCGTCTGTTATAAAAACAATGATGTAATCCAATGTTAATGCAATAAAAATCATTCAAAAGAATATCGCAGCTTCATCATTGTTTTTTCTTTCCTTCAAAGCCTTTTAAGGAAGTAGTTAGTCTTATTTTATAGAGTAAGAGGGAACCTGGCAAAGCGCTGAGGAAATTTCTGAGAGATGTGTGTGTTTGGATTCATGTCCCTGTTCCTCCCCTGACAGCACTGGCCCGTGTTTACAGAGGTTCAGGACCTTTTGACGTTGGTGCCATCCCTGGTGGGCCTGAAGGGGAATCTGGAGATGACGCTGGCCTCGCGGCTCTCCACGGCTGTAAGTGGACGCTGTTAACTAGGCTTTGTTCGTTCACGATGTTCTACGTGCTCCCCCCTCCCAGCCTGTCATCCAGTCTTTCCATGGCCAAGCTGGACAGTTGACAAGGCCTGGGCCCAGCTTCTGTGCGACCTTCATTTGTCCATTAACCTGGATGTCAGTTGGTGCTCTGTGTCCCGCATCCCTGCTCAGTCATCTGGACCCTGAGCCCGGCTGGACGCAGAGCCCTAACGAGCGACCCTGGCTTCATGGAGGATTTGCTGGAGGAGAAGACAAGAATGTGCTCGCACGCCTTGTGTGGGAGACGTGATGGTCCATGGCACCTTCTCACTCCCGAGGGCGGTGTCCTTGCCGCCCCTGCCCCTGCATCAGCGCTTTGAAAGCGGGGAAGGATAGTTTATTCTGACATCATTGAAACGCACATGCTAATTTTTCTCCTGGCTTCAATTCTGCCTTTTCCAGGAAGGATTGACCTGGCTTTGGACTGACTCTTGACCCTTTTCTCTCTTTGCTAGGCCAACACTGGACAAATTGATGACCCCCGAGAGCAGCAGAGAGTCATCATTAGCAACCTCGCCCTCATTCAGGTGAGTCCCCTCTATCCGTTGATGCATCTCCTCCCCACTTTTGAATCTGCATCCAGGCCTGCGGAGGTGGGGAGGGTGAAGGCTAGAGAGCCCACTCCTGCACCTGCACTCAACTTTGGGGACAGAGTCTACCAGTGTACCCCACACCCACCAGACCAGCTGGAGGTTTCTTGAAAGATTTGCTTAACCTCAGTGGTGCTAATTGCCTCTTCTTCCCACTATCCCAACTCATCCTGTTTGCCAGGGTTCCTGACAGCCTCCTGGTTAACGTGTGCTATGATGGCCCTTGTGTGTGTAATCCTGCTTGTTCTTTCTGGAGCATCTGCCAATCCTTTCTGCCTGGAAACTCCCCCTTGGCCCTACTCCTGTCTCTGTTCCTTCTCAGCCTTTGAGAGACCCTCCCCTATGTCCCTTAAATGCTTCATGTGAGTTTTGAACGTGTACCTCCTTCCAGCAGATAGGAACAGCCGTGGGATGGGGGAGACCTAGAGAAGGGCTTGCCAGCGTGGGGTGGGGGCTCTGGGGGCGGTTGGGGTCTGTGCTGCTGGGGGCCACAGAGCACTTCTGGCTAGACCAGCGAGGAGGGAGCTGTGGGCAGACTGATGCCCTTGACAAGGACTGGGTAAAAGATGAAGAACTCGACCCTATGCTGGAAAATGGCATCTGACAGGGGAGCAGGGGAGGGAAGCAGCCCTTTTCAAGGGAATTGGCTTGAGGGAAAGCATTAGTTTGTTTTTCCTGTGGCAGGGAGGCTGTTAGTGGGCTTCAGGGTGAGGAAAGGCAGCACTGGTGAGTGGCAGTGACCTTCGAGGTGATAGAGGAGGCGTAGGGAAGGGTGGGCAGGACTGGCCATGGTCATGGGGACCTTCCTCATTTTTCTGATTTCCACCCGACAGGTGCAGGCCACCGTCGTGGGGCTCCTGGCTGCTGTGGCCGCGCTCTTGCTGGGTGCTGTGTCCAGGGAGGAGGTAGACTTCTCAAAGGCGGAGCTGCTGTGTGCCAGCAGCGTCTTCACCGCCTTCCTGGCTGCCTTCGCCTTAGGTGAGCCAGGCCCCCAAAGCTGCCCCTCCCCCAGCTCTTCCATGGTCAGTTCTTTGAGGTGTGTGAGGTGGGCACGCTGATGGAGGGACATCAGGCATCCTGCCAGGGGCCAGGAAGAGCTAGCTGGGTCTTCACCACTTGCCGAACAGGGAGGACAGGGTATGTGTGCCAGAGACCTGCCCGCTCCACCCCTCCCCTCTGCCTCTTCAAGGTCCCGCCTGTGTCTGTAGGCACTCATCCAGTCCGTCGGTCAGCCTGGAAGCTTTCAGGCGTGTTATGGGTCTGTGGTTAGGGCAAGGAGTGAGACTCCAGTGTTAGCTGATGTTGCACATCAAGGGAGGCCTTTCCTGACCAACTTTCACTAGTTCTGTGTCCTCCCACCACCGTAAGGCCCTACTGCTTTCCTTTCACAGCACTTAAGAAAATCTAAATTGCAGTTCACACTTAGACAGCTTGGGACAGTTAGTGGGGCCACTAACTCCCCCCAACACAGCTGAAAATCCAACATGTAATTTCTGGCTCCCCAGGAATTTACTACTAGCCTGCAGTTGGCCAGAAGCCTTACCAATAACATAAATAAACTGTGTTCTGTATGTTATACCTAGCATATACCGTATCTTACAGTAAAGCTAGAGAAAAGACACAGTTAAGACCATTTAATATCCTGTTTATTTGCTTCAAATGCTTGTTCACTTGAGGCTGTATTTCCCCACGCAACAAGTATGTGCCAGGTGGGTCCAGAGTTAATAATCACTTTCAGCTCCTAACACAGGCCCAGGTTTATAACCAACTCCCAAGTGTTTGCTGAAAGGATGGACTTTAATGTGATTTTTTTCTGTATTGTATGTCTGTGTGTATCTGGCAAACCATGTGCAGGTGCAGAAGGAGCAGTGATGTTACGTACTGGACTTGTATTTACATGTCTATCCCCCAATCTGATCGCCTCCTGACCTCCTTCTCATGCAGTGCTGCCTCTCTCCCCTGCTGCTAAACCTCCCAGCATGGCCCACTGTGCTTTGAGTCTCCTCTCTGCCTCCCCCTGCAGGATTGCTGATGGTCTGTATAGTGATTGGCGCTCGGAAGCTTGGGGTCAACCCAGACAACATCGCCACACCTATTGCAGCCAGCCTGGGGGACCTCGTCACGTTGTCCATCCTGGCCCTGGTTAGCAGCTTCTTCTATAGATACAAAGGTAGGGGCCAGGGGGGAGTGCCGCCAGCATGGTGGCCTGTGGCCCTCAAGTCGGCACATCTCCTGGGAGCACCTCAGGCTTGGAGTCTGAAATCCTCCTTTTACAGAGCCAGAGTCAATCATTCACCAGGTTCTGGGTGTACACAGCTGGTACCTCCAGCTCTCCCAGCCCCTTTAGGGGGGATGATATGAGGGTGGTCAGTGTCCATCTTGGGACAAGGGTACATGGAGAGGTCAGGGTATCCTTACATGTGACAGTGCCTCCTCGGGGAACGTAGTTCATGCCAGACACAAATCAATACACCAGAAACAAGTAAACTGCCTGAGAAGTGACTCCACAGAGCAATGTCATAGCTGAGGACAGCAGAGGGTGCACTTGGGGCTCAGTGGCTTGGCAGGTGGCCAGAGAGTGTCCACACCTCTGTGGCAACAGCTCCTGGTGGCCAGAGACCTTTCCTCCTTCAGAGGCCACTGGAGTCCACCCTGGAACACAGCTCTGCTCACGCCCTGCATGGTGTGGACAGGGCACGTCCTCGCTGGATGGGTCTTCCTGCTGGTCTCCACAACTGACCACTCCCCACAGTCGTCTCGCTTCTCACTTTCCCCTCGTCCAGTCTAGCTGGGTAGCTGCGCACAGTCTACCTCTGGTGTGCGTCCACTGCGAGCACTGCCACCTCCCCAAATGCCCCGGGGGCAGGAGCACAGATGAGCAGAGAGGATGGGATTGAAGACGTGGGAGCTGAGGGCGCATGGTGACAAATGCTTGGAGGAATTGCCCAAAACAAATGCAGGGCAGCTCCAGTCGGCCATGGCCTCATGGGCACATGGGCCAGGGGTTAGCTGAGAAATCACCCAGTTTGTTGGCCACTGAAGGACACCAGTGTAACAGCCCTTGAAGGGTAGTGGTGCTTTCTATCCTGGCTCTGCACTGTCTCCTTGCCATCCTGGGAAGTTAATGAAAATAGTATTGAAGAATCTAATAAGAAAATAAGACCTGTTTATGGGTTAATGAATTTGATCCATAAAAATGAGCCCCAGGCTCCCCAGGCCCTTCCCGTCCGCCCTGCCAAACCCCCACTGAACAGCTCGGCCATTGATCCGGGAGGCGTCTTCGGACCATGGTCTCTCCGATGAGCCGAGTGGGTGTGTCAGGGTGTGCCCACGTGCTCTGCCCTGTGCCCCTCCCTTCCCCCCAGACAGTCGGTATCTGATGCTGCTGGTCTGCCTCTGCTTCATGGCCCTGATCCCTGTGTGGGTCCTCATCGCCAGGCAGAACCCACCCATCGTGAAGATCCTCAAGTTCGGCTGGTTGCCAATCATCCTGGCGATGGTCATCAGCAGGTGAGCCTGAACGAGGCCCAGGGGCCAGTGGGGGTGGCATGAGAGGGTCTGCAGAAGTCAGACACCAGCCAGGTCATGGTGCCCTGGCTCCTTCTCTAACCCCCGCTGCTGGTCGAAATGTGAGGTGCGCTCTCTCTCTCATCTGGAACCCTAGACTACTCATTCTGAGAGGCAGTCCTGAGCCCTGGGGTGCCAGGGAGAGAGGGACCTAAAGTCTTGGCTCCCTGCCCACCATGGCTCTTGGGAACCCAGGTGTCCTGCTGCCACTTAGGCTGGTGGGGGAGGGAGGGCTCACCTGGCTTCAAGGCAGCAGCCCAATGTGGATGCCTGAGGGACCCAGAGGGGCTGAGGGATTAGCTGAGCCCAGGCCTACACCCCCACCCCTTCCCAAGCGCCTGTTCCACCAGCAGACCCTGACAGGGGCCACCCCAGTCCGTTCTGATGTGTGTTCCTAACTGTGGCTCTCAGGAGAAGAGGTGGTTGGGCTAAGTCTCAGCTTCCAGAAGGCTCTAGCCTCCCTACACAAACTGATCTCCTGGGCTCTAGGGCACGGCAGCCATTGCCAAGCTGCAGGGATGGGGCAAGGGGTTGCTGCTGCATCTTCTGATAACACAGGGTGTGAGTGGATGCTCACGCAGGTGCCTTGTCCCCCTTGTGGTCCAGGAGCTGTCGTGTGACAGCCCAATGGGCTAACTGGGCTGACATCTGATGGGCCTTCTGGAACATCAGAGATGGGAATAGAGATGGAGCTAGAAATGGATGTGTGGGCACAGAGGGCCCTGGGGAGACCTGTTTGACTGCAGCAGATTCTCCATGTAGGGACAAGGCAAGGGGGCGTGACGGCCAGAAGACAGGCCAGTGCGGCAAGGGGCGTGGAGACGCAGAGCGAGGCCGTGTCCTAGTGTCGGCTGCCTTCTCACTGCCGTCTGCTCTCTCCCCAGCCTCGGAGGGCTCATCTTGAACAAAACCGTTTCTAAACAGCAGTTCAGAGGCATGGCCATATTCACCCCCATCATATGTGGTAGGTATTTTGCCATTTCACCTGAGGTCCCAGGGCAGGGTCAACCCTTGGGGGTCTGGTGTTGGGACCCAACAATGAACTCAGAGTCCTGGCCCCAGGTCTTCCGAGGCAGATGGGGAAGTTGAGCCTGTCTGTGGGCTGGTTTTCCCCAGGGGGACGGAGAACCAGGAGAGAAGCCTGCCCGTCCCACCACCGAGACTCACGCTTTCCCAGCAGAGCTAACTCCTCTGCCCCAAAGGTACAAACTGCAGCCCAGGATTTGCTTGATGGCGGCCTTCAGAACTGGGGTGTTAACCCCTCATGACTTTTATTCTAGATTCATTAGTGACATTTAAAACTCAGATATTTACACATAAAAACCTGGATTTCTGTCTTCTTAAAAAGCGAGGCTGATGATACAGGGTTTATGTTGGAGCTTGGACAAAGATCAGCTGCCCCTGAGACAGGACCTGTGAGCCCAGTTTGCCTCAACACCTCTCACCCGCTGCTGCCTTCCACCCTCCCCTTCATGATTCATCTTTGTGGCTTAGACCCCTTGGGCATTTTTGTTGAGGGCCCCACTTTTCTAAAGCTTGGTTTGTGTCTGGTTTCTGACAAGGCTTTGTAAACAGGATCGACACATGGGAACCAGACATTACTTATTGCCCTCTTTGCTTGGTGCCCAGCCATGGCCTTTGGGGACCACAGAAACAGGCTTCAGAGGCCCATGGACAGCCCTGCATGTCCACAGACCTGCCCACTTCCATGAGAGCCCAGGCCTATGTTCCTTGCATGTCAGTGGGCTGGGCTACCCAGCAGCTCTGCACCCTGGCAGAGTCTGACAGTCCTATTCCCAGCTCCAGTGCTGGCTACTATGAGTGACAACAGCAGCAGGTAAGTCAGATCCAGATGGCCATAACTTGGAAATATTTTCCTTGGATGTTGCCAATTCAGGTGCCTATAGAGGCCAAGCAAGCAATTTGAATAAGTGAAGCAGATAAGATAGTAGCTAGGCAGTAGGGAGTGGTGGTGAGTGGGGCAAACCTTGACACATGTTCCTGGTGTGCAAGGAGTAGTGCCTGCTCAGCTCTGACTACTTGCCTTATGGTAGTAATAGAGGTCCAGGATTGCTTGTAACTGCTGCCGATTAATTTGAGGGTGTATTTCCCCCCACCTTTATTTTTAAAATCATTTATGGCCCAAAACAATAGATCTATGGCTATCCCCTGTCCATAGTCCATCCTTTACATCCTCTGGACAAGCCAGGAGCCAAGGTGGTTGGTCTTTGCTCCCGGAGGACACTGGTGACTTCTGACCCACTGAGGGCTTATTCTTAGAGGGGCTGAGGAAGTAAAGGTGGGGCTGGGGTCACCCAACCCGCCCACTGAAGGAGATGGTCACATGGCAGGCTCCATGTTCTGGCAGCCCTAACATCTCCTACGGGAGGAGCACAGCGTGGCCTCTATCACCTGGCCCCAGCAGACTGGGTGTGATTGGTGCGCCGTGGAAGCCAGCAGCCTCAGTTCTGTCTCTCCTCCCTTGCTGCTCTTCCCCTGCTCATTTCCCTTTCCTTCCCACTGTGAGATGGAAAAAAAATCCCTTCCTCTCTGCTATTCCAGTTGGTCGCTTGGTTTCTGCTGACTCCTGTGGTATCTCCTAGACCCATCCTTCCCCCTCCCCCCTCCCCTCTACCCAGCCTGCTGTGCCAGTCACACTCCCCTCACCTTAGTGGGTGCCAGCTGTCTAGGTGATGGAGCTACTACCTTGATGCCTCACACACGAGATCCAGGCCACCCCTGCCCAGTGCCAAATTAGATCTGTGGTCAGGTGGGAGGAAAGAAAAAGACATCAGGAGCTGGATCAGTCAAGGAAGGAAATGAAATTAAAATGTGGAAGAGAACTCAGAGCTGGCATAAGGAAGGGAAATCTTTTTCTCCTCAAAGGTGTTGGTGGCAATCTGGTGGCCATTCAGACCAGCCGGATCTCCACCTACCTGCACATGTGGAGCACACCTGGCGTACTGCCCCTCTGGATGAAAAAATTTTGGCCTAATCCATGCTCTACTTTCTGCACCTCAGGTGGGTCTGGTGTCTTCCAGAGGCCACATGGCCATTTCTTTAAACATATAAAAATTGACTTCACTAGAATCAGATGTTTGTTACAGTGGATGTCTAAGACCGGTGCTGACCTCAGCACAGATCAACTCCAAGGGGGCAGCTCCGCCCCCGAGACCTGACTCCTGGACCTGCTTTAACTGATTCATTCATTCATTCAAATACAGTGAGTGTCGGCCAGGTACTGGGTATCAGGTGACAACGGTGAGACAGAGAAAGCTAATTCTTACTTTAAATTGTTTTATTTTAGTGAATTCAGGCTGCTGTAACAGAAACAGACTGAGTGACTTGTAAACCACCAAATGGTTCTCCTGTTTCTGGAGGCTGGCTGTCTGAGCAGGGCTGGCTCCCTGGCTCAAGGAGGACGACTTAGTGCTGTGTCCTCACAAGGTGGGAGGGGCCAGGGAGCTCCCCGGGGCCTCTGTATAAGGGCACTGATTCATGAGGCTCCACTTTCATGACCTAATCACCCCCACAGGCCTCATTTCCTAACACCATCACATTGGAGATGAGACAACTTGAGTTTTGAGGGTCAGGCCTTCAGTCTATAGCAGCACCTCAATATTGAATAGCATTTTTATCATTTTTTCCTATAGGTTTTTAAAGATTTATACCAACTGCCAAGAGTAATTATTTTGCTCACACCCTTTAAAATAGTTTGTAGAAAGAGTTGTTTTTATTCCTGGTCTAATTTTCCATTCTGAGTCAATTTTGGTGCTTTCACATACTTCTCACCTGCTATTATTCTAGGCCAGTCTTTTAAACTAGCTTACACAACCTTTTCTTGTCCTTATTCATTTGATGAAATACTTTAATTCAGACACGAATGGATTCTTGCTTTTTGGTAAAACCCTTAGTTTCTGTCTGAGAAGCCACGTGCATTCATGTTGTCTCACAAGCATGTGTGGTGAACCACGTTTCGTGACGAGGCTCAAACTCCTCGCACCTTGAGCCGGAGGAGAACTCACACTCCCTGTCAAGGAAGAGCCGCCCTCCCAGGCTCTGACTCCTCGGGCAAAGCTTTCCTTCTTGGCCATTCCCAAGGCCCCTCCCACCTCGCTCCCCTGCCGGTCTCCTTTCTGGAATCCTCTCCCTCAGGTTCAGACTAAATGTCTCCTCCCTGAGCAGCTCCCAGGCCCCAGCCACTTGCAGCACCTCAGCCACCTGCTGTTTCTTCCCAGTACTCGTCTGACTTTGAAATGACCCTTATTGGTTTCTGCCAGCCTCTTCTGGCTCGTCTGCGATGTCAGCCTCATGAGGGAAGGGACAGAATTGGGTCCTCTGGGATGCACTGGCCACGGGGAGGGTGACACACACCCTACTGTGGTGGATGATGGGTAGGAGGCCCTGCTGGGGCCCGGCACAAACCAAGGTGGCCTCAGGTGCCAGGAGAGTCTCTTGACCTGGGTTTGCTCCTGTCTTTGCCAGATATCAATTCCACATCAGCCCGAGTCCTGCTCTGCCTGGTGGTTCCAGGCCATCTGATTTTCTTCTACATCATCTACCTGGTGGAGGGTCATTCCATCACAGACAGCAGGCTCTTCCTGGTGCTCTATCTGCTGGCCAGCCTGATCCAGGTGAGGACTGCCTGCAGCAGCAGAGCAGCCCGTGCTTCCTTGGCAGCATCTCCTGGTTCTAGGTGACCTGAGACAGCATGGTGGGGGGGGGGGCAGGATGGAAAGGACATGCATAGCCACCATCACCCAGGCGAGGAGTGAACTTGCCAAGGGAAGGGAGTGGTACCATAGAGGCCCCTCTCAGGATTGAACATGCCACATTCCACGCAACACAGTGCTCATTCTCCACAGCACCCTCCTCATTCCACACTCCACATGGCACCTTCCTCGCTGCACATGGCACCCTCTTCGCTGCACACAGCACCCTCCTCACTCCTCACAATATCCTCACTCCCTCGGCACACTCCACAGGGCACACCCCACACGGTCCATAGTTTCTCCTCACTCCACACTCCTCACTGCACACAGCCTCCTACTGCTCACTCACACCACACATTCTCTCCACTCGGCACATTGCACATGTACAGTTGGGGGTGGAAGCTGGCAGAGGCAGGTTTTTATGTACCTGAGTGTGCTGGGAGCTGGCAGACCAGATGGCTAGCGTGGTACTCCTGCCTGTGCATCAGCTCACAGCTGGGCTTCAACTCTGCTGATGAGCCTGAAGAAGGGACTCCAGGGGCTTATGTCCATCTGTGGAAGCTGCTAGCATTCCTGGTGATGCTTGGTCTCTGACTGGGCCATCACCTCATATCTGCTTGCTTTCATGACAGGTGACGGTCCTGCTGTACCTTGCAGATGTGATGGTTCGGATGACATGGCACCAGGCATTGGATCCTGACAACCACTGTATCCCCTACCTCACAGGTCTGGGGGACCTCCTTGGGACTGGCCTTCTGGCCCTCTGCTTCCTTATCAGCTGGCTGTTGAGGAGCCAACCTGGCCTGGGCAGCATTTCCGAACTGGCATCAGGGCCTCCCTAATGAGTGGGACAGCCCCAGCGGGTCTATAGAATTTTCCCTCACATCAGCAGGGCACAAAGCGCAGTTTCTCCCTGGCCAGGCCTCACAGTGGCTGACATCAAGCCTCTGCGCCGGCCTTCACTCGCCTGCCAGAGACATGCGCGCCCTCGCCCCTGCATGGAACCTGACCGTGATGGAGGCCTGACACCAGCACGCCGACTGTGCTTGGTGACTACGCCTGCGGTGGTTGTGGGGTGAGCGCACATACGTGGAGAGCAGGGATCCAGCCTGAAGATCCCAAAGGAAGAGGATATCCGATGCCTCGGGATGCTGGGAAGGAGATCCTTTCTGTGGCCGTCAGACCTTGGGCCTCTCGGCCTCGTTTTACCCGCCTTCTTCACCAGCTGGGAGCTCGGGGCAGGAGGGGCTCTGTGTACCCCTCATCTGCTTCAAGCACCTAAGCTTGTCACTGCTAACCCCACTTTTTTTTTTTAGCAAAAACCTCAGTTTAGATTTTAGTGATAAGAGAAATGTAAAATAAAACCCAGACTATATTGTATTTGGCCTTTTGTGTCTTTAAATGTAGTTGGTGCACTGTGAGACCTGGGGTCTAGGAGTAACCAGCCGCAGCCATCTCTAGCTCAGTGGTTTCTTTAACTGTGCCCTCCGGCAGATGCGTCAACATCACCAGAAAAATGTTAAAATGTAAGTTCATCCCCCGCATCCCAGACCAGCCACACCAACACTACCCCCAGGGTGGACTTAACCAGTCCTCCAGGTGGCTCTTACACCCTCTCACACCTGAGAAACACTACTCTGGAACACATAAAAACATCTCTTGTTTTTTTAAGTATTTCACTTCCTGTCTGTTACTAACTCTTCAAAAACTTTAGCCGTGGTTTGGACTGAGAATTAGTATCTTCATGTGGCTAAAGAGGCACTCATTCATTGCACAAGCACTCACTTTGAACCTTTTGCATCAGCTGCTGTCCCAGATGGAAAGAGATGGCCCACCAATGGGAGCACCCAGCAGGGCTTAAGGGATGGCACACAGGGAGCCTCCTCACATATCTGCATCTTCTCCCTCTATGACAGGGAAACCCAGCCTCCCCAACCTCCATATAGTTCGTCATGTGCTCAGTCGTACAATACACACAAAAATTTCAGCATTGCTGCACCCAGAACATGGCAAAACAACAACAAAAATAACTTTAAAGTATAAGATTCTTTGCAGTTACTGCTAAATTTTGCCTAAGTGTATCTCATAAAAGGAGTGTGGCCAGGAATTCCTTGAAGTAGTTGTTTTTTATTCTTTTGTGTGATTATGGTATTCCTTTAATAGGAAATTAAACTCCTTTATTTTCTTTGCCTTCAGTTTTCAAAGGGTTTCTTCCCAATCCTTGTTAATTTCCTTTCTGAATCTATTTAAAGTCCCACATCAACACTGTACCTAGAGGTATGTTCAGAAGGGTTAGCCTTAATCAGTTGCACCCGGCTCCCTGCCACTCCCATCTGCCACCCTTTTATCACTTACTCTGATTCTAGCTTTCATTCAAGACCAGCAGGAGACTTCCTGACTTCACACCTTCTGAGTGTGATTTCTTCTGTGCCTGATGGACATGGATACTCTTAAGGGAAATATCCCTTTTAACTGTCTTAAAGTCAACTGACAAGGGATGTCAGGACATTTGCAAAACTCCATTGCCTCCGCCATAGAACAACCTCATTAAGGGCGGCAGCCACACAGGGTAGAAATGAGGTGTGTTCTGGACTTAGCCATGGCCCTACAGGCTGAAGCGCAAGTAGGGTGCTCACCGGACAGGTGTCTTGGTAAAGAAAACAACATTCATGACACTTGTTAACAAAAGCAAAGACGACTGACTTCATTCAAGAGAACACTGTTGTGATAGGTATGGGGGCCACTGCAGCGGTGTCTCAACCCCAATACAAGGAAAAGTGAGAATTTACAGGCTGGATCGGTGGATGGAAAGCCTAAGAGGGAAAGAGGGGTTTCTGGCTAAACTAACCTAAAAGGACCCTGCTGAAAGCAACAGAGAATCCCCCTTCACCTTGGGGGCAGTGGGGGATGAGGAAGTTGATCAGCTCTTGAAGATGAGGGAGTCCAGAGAAACTGTGGGTGACTCTTGCTAAAACCACGCAGTGCAGAGAGGAACATGGACCCCAAAAGTCAGGAGGAGCTGAAAACAAGCTCGGAGGGCATGAGTAGAGGTTTGGCCAAGAGGGATCTCAGTCTCCATTCCTCGCAAAAAGGCTTTTAACCATTTTCAGCTTAAGAAAGCTCAACATTTCATGTAGTGGCCTCTCAACTCTAAGATTTTATCTTGCGTTGAATGAAACTTTTAACCTGAGTGTGATGGAAGTAGCTGTTTCCACTGGATACCAACTGCCGCAGCACCCACCCCAGCAGACCCAGATTCCATTTCGAAGAAGGAGGCCCCACCCCCTCCCTCCAGGACCCACCACTGGCCACGGCCCCCCCTCCACCCACAGCTGACTGTTTACTGCCTCTCTAGAAACAGTTGAAGGATGGATCAGCCCTTCTTAAGGTAATGAGTTTTTTTCATTTCTACTTCAAACTTACCTTTTGGGGCACCCCTTAACAGATTCTGCACACCCCAGTAACGTGGGGATCACTGTGGACGTTACACTCCCTGACCTCTCCCAGTCCTCAGGCCCTGAGCCTGGCACTGCCTTGATAGGCTCCCCAGGTGATTGCTCCACCCCACTACCAGGTACCCATTCATTTCCTTTAAAATTCCAACTAGGTCCTTCTGCATGTGGCCTGTTGGATGCCGCCTGATTTTCCAGCTTAAAGTTCCTCCACCAGTCCCATTCCCACAGACCACTCCCTCTCGTCTGCACCCTGGCGGTGGAGACTTACCCTGGCTCCTCCAAGTCTGTGAGGAAAACCCCATAACCCATGTCTTCCCTCCCATAGGTCCCCCTCTCTGGAGACACCACCTCCCCAGTCCTTCAGCAACAGATTCCCACCTTTCCCCTTTACAATCTCCCCTCAGAAAGGTTCCTGAACCCCATACTGGAGGAGACTCCCCTGATGGTGAAACCCCATATTTTTCTGCTCCAAATCCCAGCCACTGCCTCTACCTACCAGCCCACTGGGAAATGTGGCCTCCTGGATCAGGGGATCTTTATTCCATGCTGTAAATGTCTTGATGGGGTAGGAGGAGAAAAGAGACTAAGAAGAATCAGGGAAACTGAGGGAGTAAAGAGGAAACAAGGTAAAATAGAGGGTGGGGGTGGGTTGAGTGCTCGCCTTGGGGAAAAAGAGTGAACGAGACTGTCCTGGGAAAGAAGCTGAGAGAGAAATGAAAACAGACAACTAAAGGGGGCTCAGCAGAGAGATGGAGGGGGCAGAACAGAGAAGGGGGCCTTGGCCAACAGTAGCAATGTGGGCAACAGGAGGGTAGAACCAAATTCACTAGCTTTCTGTGATGGTTAATTTTATGTGTCAACTTTCTTAGGCTAAGGGATACCCAAATGGCTGGTAAAAACATGATTCCTTGGTGTTTGTGGGCGTGTTTTCAGAAGAGAGGGCATTTGAGTTGGTAGACTGAGTAGAGGAAGCCTCACCAGCAAGGGTGGGCTTCATCCAATCCATCCAGGGCCCGAACAGAACACAGATATGGGCTGGGGGATTTGCTCTCTGCCCCTGGACACCAGCTCCCCAGTTCTTAGGCCTCCAGTTTGCAGAAGGCAGCAGGTGGGACTTCTTAGCTTCCATAACCATGTAAGCCAGGGCCTCCTAGTCTCTTTCTATATTTCTCTAGATACCCTAGTGATTCTCTTTGAACAATCCTAACACAGATAATGTTTTTCAATTTTCAAATTACTTTTCCTTTCAGTTGTATTTTGTCAGATTCAGATTGAGGTCTCAAAGCTTTTTCCTGTCCTTTTTATATACTGACAAGATTCTTTGGTGCTGAGTACATAATTTACACTACTTCAATATGCACTTGGTAATGATATCGATGTATTTCAACTTGTATAATCTGTTCAATTCATGGACTGTGATCTAATGTCTCCAGCAAAGTGAATTCTCTTCAATTCCCTTTGTCCTTTCTCTGCAGATGTTGAAGGAGGCGCTCTGGATTGACATGGAACTTGAGGCATCATCTGTTCATGGTGAATCAATGGCTCAGTTATTTCCATAGCTAACCTCTCATATTTTCCAGTGAATAATTAGGTCTTCTCAATCCCTCATTGTTCACAGTTTATGTGATTTTTCTGGAAAAAAAGGGATTATATGATTGAGATCAATGTGATTGAAACCAGGAAGGAGAAGTCTCATGTATGAAGTGCCATCTGGGATCTGCTCGGAGCTGGTTACTCTACACTGGCTTCTCCTACCCACCTCCTTACCTGCTCCAACACACAGAAACTCACACGACAGCTGGGAGGGACAAACAAAACTTTTATTGTGGTAAAATATACGTAACAAAATTTACCATCTTACACCTAACCATTTTTTTTTTTAAGATTTATTTATTTATACAAGCACTGGATACAGTCAGAAGCACGGGAGGATGAGAGGATTCACTAGCGCCAGAGCAGGGAACAGAACAGGCAGACTGACAAAATACACTGCTGAAGGGAGCAGCGGGCATGGCAGGAGAGGTCTGTCTCACCATGTAGGACCCTCGCCAGTGGCTGGAGATCGAACCGGTGCTGCAGAGGCTGCAGGCAGCTTTGCAGCCCAGCACTCATCTGCTCCGCCACCAGGGGAGGCCCTTACACCTAACCATTTTTAAGTGCTCTGTTCAGTAGTTTTAAATACATTTAAGTCATGTTGCCAAACTTCACCATCATCCATCCCCATAAGTCTTTTCATCTTGTAAGACTGAAACACCACATACACTAAACAAATATTCCTGATTCCTCCCAGTCCCCAGCTCCTGACAAGCACTATTCTTTCTGTCTCTGATATGACTCCCCTAAGTACCTAATCAAAATGCAACCTGACAGTTGCTGTCCTTTTATGACTGGCCTGTTTCACAAGCATAATATCCTCAAGGTTCTTCCATGTTGCAACATAATTTCCTTCTTTTTCAAGGCAAGACATGATTTCATTGCATGTTTAGGCCACATTTTACTTATCCATTCACATCCATCAATGGAAAACTGGGTTATTTCTACGCTTCAGCTATTTTGAATAATGCTGCTATGAACATGGGTGTATTTGATTTAAAATCTATTTTGTTTGATATTAGTATACCACCCCATTCTCTTTTGGGTGCTATTGACATAGAATATTGTTTATCCTTTCAATCTATTTGTGTCTTCATATGTAAAGATTGTCTTATAGACAGCAAATACTTGGATCATGTTTTTTAATCCCTTCTGCCATCTCTTTGACTGGAGAACTCAATCCATTTATATTTGAATTAATTACTGATGATGGACTAATTGACTTCTACATTTTTCTATCTTCTATATGCCTTATAGCTTTTTATGTCCCTCATTTCTGTCTTCTTTTGTGTTTAGTTGATTTCTTTCTTTTTTGAAAACACTTAATTTGTTTTTATTTTTGTGTAAAAGAACTGGGGTATAGGCCAGAGATGTAGGAGGTGAGAGGATTCATCATAGATGGGGGGAGCAGGACAGGTGGATCTACCGAAATACACTGCTGAGAGGAACCGCAGGCCAGACAGGAGAGGTCTGCTGTGCCATGTATGGGTCAGCTCCCTGGTGGAGGATCAAACGCAGGCCATAGAGGTAATAGTGCTGAGATTTAACCCTTTAAGCTGCCAGGGAGGCACCTAGTTGATTTCTTATAGTGAAATATTTAAATTCCTCTCTCATTTCCTTTAGTGTATAGTATTGTTAATTGGCATGTTGGTGTTGTTGGTATTGTTAACATAATATAATTTGTTGGTATTGTTAACATAATATAATTTGTTGGTATTGTTAACATAGTATAAGCATGGTTAGCTTTGCTAGTATTAGTTAGCACTGTTAGTATTGTCAGTGCTGGTGTTGATGTCACTAATTCACATCTTTATATACTTTAACTCCCAAACATGATTTAGGACTTCATATCCATCTCTGCTAATGAGGAAACCCATATCTAAAATTAGGAGATGCTGGAGGCACTTGGCTGAGGTACATTCACTAAGGTAAAGTTGAGCCAGCACACCCTGACTGGGACTGAGGTAGACGCGAAGATCATTAACAACTGCCAAGGACTTTTCCATGAAGTCTATAGCATGAAGATCTTGAATCACCACAATATCCAGGTGATGGGTGCCCCAGAAATACTGTACCTTGTCATGAAGTCTGTTAGCAGAGGAGACATGTTTGATCATCTCCAGGACCATGGCCATGAGAGAGGCCCGGCAGTTAGAACCTGCTGTGCAGCACTACCCCAGAGAGCTGTTACCCACGGGGGGCCTGAAGCCAGAGAGCCTGCTTTTTGATGCTGACCTGAATGTAAAAATTGCAGACTTTGGCCTCAGCAATGAGTTCACCAACCACCATAATTTGAACAACTACTATGACATTCCCAAGGCCAACCTCCCCTCTCCCCACTTCCATGAGGTGACAGCCAAGTTCAGCCCCACCCACTTTCCTGGAAATGAGTCTGGAGCTCGCACCTCCCAGGAGTGTATCCTCTCATTCTCTCCTCCCATGCTGTGCACCCCCCTCCCCTTCTGCCCCACCCCATGCTCCCCCATACTAGATTGAGTTGAAATATGCCGTGGAAACTCAGATTCTAACGAAGTAACTCAGGGAATAGGCTGTTTCATATGTGGTGTAACTTGATTATTGCTAAATAATGAATCTGGAACTGATGGGTTCCCTGCTAAGCTGATAAGTTTAAAAGCTTAATTCGAAAAACCAAGCAAATTTTGCTCACAGTTTGAAGGCAGCGATGGGGATTTGGTCATGCATTGGCCAGAGCTCTGTCTAAGGAGAAAGATACTGTGCCTTCCCAGGTGTCTAGTTTTGTCTAACTTCTTATATGCCCTCCACCCTCACGGGGCCTGCAATTTTATGGGGGAAAAAACTCTACAACATATTAAAATACTGTTGAGAATATTAGCGGGTCGACCCCCTTGAGAAGAGTTTCTACTCACAGTTCCCAGTGGGGTCCCGCCACACCTTGCGGGGCTGTGTGGGGCAGCACCTGGGTGGCCAGGAGGGCAAAAGGAGGGGCTACTCTGGCCATGCAGGAGTCTTTACTGAGGTTTCTGCAGGAAGGAGTAGGACGGGCAGGAGAAACAGATTTAGGATTGGCTGATTTAAATAAATTCGGAACTCAGCAGCAGGGGCCTGCCCCTAGCTGTCCCGGGCGACCAGTGCCTGGGACAGAGGTCCAGGGTCTGAGAGCCAGACAGGTGAAGGGGGTGCCGCTTGTGTGGCGGCTGCTGGGAAGCTGCTTGGTTAATATTCTCCAGGCCTTTCCTTTCGTCCAGCCCCGCCCCTCCGCCCCGTCCCCTCGGGCTGCCCGTCCCCTCCTGCTGCCCCGCCCCGCTCTGCTCGCCCCGCCCCGCCCCCTCCGGATGCCCCGCCCCTCCGGATGCCCGCCCACTCCGGCTGCCCCGTCGCCTCCGGCTGCCCGCCCACTCCGGCTGCCCCGCCCCTCCGGGCTGCCCCGCCCCTCCGGCTGCCCGCCCCCTCCGGCTGCCCGCCCCCTCCGGCTGCCCCGCCCCCTCCGGCTGCCCCGCCCACTCCGGCTGCCCCGCCCACTCCGGCTGCCCGTCTCCTCCGGCCGCCCCGCCCCCTCCTGCTGCCCCGCCCCGTCCCGCTCGTCCCGCTCCGCCCCCTTATGATGCCCCGCCCCTTATTATGCCCCGCCTCTCCCGCTGCCCCGCCCCTCCCGCCGCCCCGCCCCTCATGCTGCCCCGCCCCCGCCCGCCGCCCCGCCCCCCGCCCCGCCCCTGCTGGTACCGGCGGCGGGCCCGGCGGCCATGGGGACCGCCTCGTCGCTGGTGAGCCCCGCGGGCGGGGAGGTGATCGAGGACACGTACGGGGCGGGCGGCGGCGAGGCCTGCGAGATCCCGGTGGAGGTGCGGCCCAAGGCCCGCCTGCTGCGCGGCTCCCTCCGGCGCGGCGCGGGGGCGGCGGGCGCGGGCCCGGGGGCGGCGGCGCGCGGGCCGGGCGGCGCGGGGCTGCTGGGCGCGAGCTTCCGCTCCACCGGCTCGGCGGGCCCCGAGCTGGAGTGCGCGGCGGCCGAGTACGAGCGGCTGCGGAAGGAGTACGACATCTTCCGGGTCAGCAAGAACCAGGAGCTGCTGTCCATGGGCCGGCGCGAGGCCAAGCTGGACTCGGAGAACAAGCGGCTGCGCGCCGAGCTGCAGGTAGGCGGGGGCGCGGGCTGCACCCCGAGGCCGGGCCGGGCCGCGCCCCGCGCCCGTCCCGCCGCCCCCAGACCAGCGCGCTTCGCAGGCCCAAGGCCTGGCGACTTAACGGGGGGACGTGTTCTCGGGGGCCCCCACGGGTTCCAGCAACAGTTTGCTCAAAAGTGTCCTGAGGCAGCAAAAGCCGGTCTCCAAGGCGCCCCGAGAAGCGGTTTACGGGGGACGCGGCGCCCCTCCCCGCGCCCCACCGAGGCCTCCACCTCTGCCTGCTGCAGAGAATCAGCGAACTTCCCAGGAGGTTTTGATTTTCCCTCCCCTCAGATGGCCCAGCTCTTGGGTTGAATGTTCTGGAAACCCGCCCTGCCCCTCATTTTCACTACTGTGGTTGAAAACGTTCCTTACATAGAGTCAGACTCCCTGAATCCACTTTGTTAACTGAAACAGCAACAACCGCAGTTCCCGCAGGCCCTCCCTGGAGTAGACCTAGTTGAATGAGCTTGAATAAATAGATAAAGCAAGAAGTAGTTGCTGCTCTGTGAGCAGGGTTGTGAGACTCTGCCGGTGGATTTTGGCCTCTCTGGGGATTTGGTGTGTGTGCTCCCTCCTTTATTATGGGGGAGACTTCTACACAGCCCAGGTGTCTCATCATAGCAGGACTCATCATAGTAGGAAGTGAATACCTCGAGCTGATTTTTCTAAAAGAAAGAAGCCTGCTTCTTTCAGACAGGGCATTTTAGTCAAGCCCTCTCTCGCCGGGTTAGCGGTTACCTAGCTAACCTGGGAAGACATTTATCAGCAGTCTCTTTGTGGTCTTATCATCGTCCCTACTGGGCAGCCTTAATGCGCTGGCATCCATAAAACGGCCCCTGCACTCACACAGTTGATTTCACTGCCAGTAGACAGGACCCACTGTAGGGGAGGCCGGAAGGAAGACCACCCGGTCTAACACCTGCTCAGTAAGGGCTGACGGTCCCAAGTTACTGCTCTTCCCAACCCAGGTCCCTTCTAGAGCCCCTCTGGCTCCTTTCTCACATACCCACGCTTGCAGCACTCTCCACGTCTAGTCCATGCAGGAGAACACATGCCGGAGGCCTGTAGTGTGTCAGGCATCCTGGGGGGTGGGGGGTGTAAAATGATTGAGAAGTGGAGCCAGAGGATGCTTTCTAGTCTCTCAAAGATGGGAAAACTGAGGTGTAGGGAAGGTTAAGTGGTGGTACAGTATTTCAAAGAAAAAGTATTAATTTCCACCAAAAAGCTTAATGTTAAGATGCTGTCGTTTCAAACATGTTTGCGTTCTTTTCATTATGTGTTTGATAACTGGTAAAATAGTATGTTGTTAAAATTCTAAGCTATGTTACAGAGGTGTAAGAGAATATAAACTTCGGGAGGAATAGAAATAATAAAGTAAATTATTCCAGGCACTTCAAAAAACTTACCAGAAGATACTTCGGGAAAAGGAAAGTGCTTTAGAAGCCAAATACCAAGCAATGGAGAGAGCAGCTACATTCGAACATGACAGAGATAAAGTGAAAAGACAATTCAAGGTAAATTCCTTTCCCTCCAGGGTGACACAGAATAAAAACAACATATTTTAGTTTATATAATGTGATGAATGAGTCATGTTAGCCTTGTTCGTGAAAGTTACAGAAGAGTAAAGCACTTCTTACACTTTTGAGCTGGACCTGGTGAGCTTAAGATAGTCTCAAAGGAAAGGTTTAAAAGTGAACCTGTAAATAGGGATTTTTGAAAAGGGTCTCTATTTGGGGCAAGGCATGTGGAAATGCTTGGGATGTTTTGTGTGGGAAGGTGTTACTGCCACTTACAGGAAGGGGGCAGGGTTGCTAAGCATGCAGCATGCCGGGTGGCCCCACACCAGGGAGGAATCCCGCTAGAATCCCAACGGTTACAAAACAGTGAGGTGGAGGCACTTGAATCAGTCATCCTCCAAAAGAGCTCAAGAACCAATGAACTTTGGTTTTAGGAATCACAGATTATGAAAAAGTTTTTCCTTGATTATGAAAAAGTTTTCTTAAATGAAATTTTTCTTTTTAAGATTTTTAGGGAGACCAAGGAAAATGAAATCCAGGACTTACTGAGGGCCAAGCGAGAGTTGGAGAGCAAACTTCAGAGGCTGCAGGCTCAAGGGATCCAAGTGTTTGACCCTGGGGAGTCTGATTCAGACGACAACTGTACAGATGTTACTGGTTGGGTTATTTCCTACTTTTATTATTCTTAGTTTTTCTGTAGCACCAACTTGATGCTTCTCCCTGTGATGGCTGTTGCAAATAGACGTTTGCTTACTCAGCTGCTGTGATGGCTCTTTTCACGAGTCCGTGACTTCATCAGGGCCTAGTCTTGTTCTGCAGCCTAACCCTGCAGGTTTCCTCTCTTTAGTAAAGACAGCTCCTCTGGGTTCCACCATCACATCCATGTTCAGCCAGGGGAAGAGGGAAAAGATTGCATTTCTTTCCTTGAAAGGTAAACAAATGACTCCCACCTAGATCTGGTAGGTCAGAGCTATGCCTGTGAAAATTGGGAAGTGTGGTCACTGGTGGGAGAGCCCTGTATTCACCTAAAGTTCGGGGTTCTGTTATTGACGGGAGAAGAGTAGAAGGGACATTGAGGGCAGTTAGTAGTCTCTGCTGCCTCTTTTTGCAGCTACCAGAATAGCTGCACATTTCATTGAGTGGTTTCTAGTGCAGTTTTGAGAACTATTTGAAAAGTTTTTATTTTATAATTAAATATATGAAGTGCTTTTTTCTAGAAATAAAGTATGAAATCATAGAGTGAAAGTGCTCCCCATGTTTCAAAAAAATAATGAACTATGACTGATACTGAAAGAGTATTTTAACTGCAGTAGGAACATGTAGTAACTTTCCTATTTATAAAGAACTATAACTATATTCTTATAAATTGATGCATGTTAAAGTAAAATGTGGCAACTGACGGTATTTTTGAAATCTGACCAATATCCTGGGATTTTTAGTACTAACTTTTTTTTTTAAAGATTTATTTATGCATACAAGAACGGGGTACAGGCCAGAGGTGTGGGGGGGCGGGTGAGAGGATTCACCAGAGACAGAGTGGGGAACTGAACAGGCAGACTGACTGAAATACACTGCTGAGGGGAGCAGCAGGGCGAGTCAGGAGAGGTCTACTGCGCCATGTGGGTAGCTCCCCTGCTGCCCGGGGATCAAACTCGTGATGCAGAGGCTGTGGATAGCATAATAGGTTGTGTCTTAACCCCTTGCGCCACCAGGGAGGCCCTACTTTTCATCTTTCTTGTTTTAATCCCTTGCTTGAATTTGAAATGATAGCCAGAATTATGTTAACTAGCACTTTAGAAATGGCCAGAAGTCAGGGCAAAGTGTGTTTTTACATCATTTAGGTTTGACTTGTTGTATTTATAATATTGTGGTCTTTCTATGAATTTGAAATCCTGTTCAGTATATGTAATAAGTTTCAGTAATTTGGTTTTCACAAGATAAAATCTCTTGCTTTAATAGCTGCTGGAACCCAGTGTGAATATTGGGCTGGAGGCGCCCTGGGAAGTGAGCCATCCCTAGGAAGTATGATCCAGCTTCAGCAGTCCTTCCGGGGCCCTGAGTTCGCCCATAGTTCTATAGATGTGGAAGGACCCTTTACAAATGTCAACAGAGGTAACAAGTGCCATTTGTCAATGACCTTGGCCAGCGGTAGTGATTTTCATGTATTATAGGCTTGTGCCGGGAGGAATCCCATCAGGAGAGCATGAAGGTTGTGTTCTGGCATCTTCCCTTGACAAACCATCACGTACCAGGGCTGCTGAATTTACATAACTCATACCCGGGTCAGCTGGTGCTTCAGGGCTGGCCCGGACAACCAGATTTTAATATCCCAACTTTTGGTCTGAGTTCTCAGAATTTTTTAATTTAAGCAGTGAGAGTCTAATGTAGATGAACTGAAAACAGTAGTTTTTAGCTTTTTCCCTCTGCACCTTTGATATTGTCAAAGGTTTAAGCATTTTACAGAGTAGAATGCGAAAGTCCAGTTACATAATAGTCAAAAGAATATTTTCATATTTTTATGTAATTTGGTGTCTAACACAGTTCCAAGATCTGTTCAGAGTTTCAATACCAGTAGCAGACCTGGGCAGACCTCCAGCTTTTTCTTAAAACTGTAAAATTATTTACCTATTAGCAAAAAGAAAATCATTTTAAAAATTGATCCTTTGGAGTTAGCCAAGTGTGTCTTAAAATGTTGATTCTCACTAAATACCATATGACTACTTTTCATTTTATGCCATTCTTAAAAATTCTTTTTGATTCAGTACATTTTAGAGTAATAAGTAGGCAAAACTATAGGGCAGTCTGGGAAGACAGGATCTCCTCAAGGACCAGATGAATTGAGCAGTTCAAGTCACGTTGTTTGGTGACATTTGACTGGCAGGGACCACTGGTGATACTGATTGCTTTAAGCCTACAGGTAGAATTTGAAGTTAGAGAACTGATTGCCTTCGAATATGTTATTCTAGAAGCTATGTCAGTATTACAAGTGCAATCAGATTCCATTCAGTGATGCCTGTTGAATTTTTTAGACTATTAATTTTTTGATTCATCTTGTTAAATGTTTTTCAGTAATTTTTTCATAAATTCAGAATTTTTAATTTCAGACGATTGGGATATCGCTGTAGCTAGTTTATTACAAGTTACTCCACTGTTTTCGCATTCTCTGTGGAGCAACACGGTCAAATGTTACCTCATTTATACAGATGAAACCCAGCCTGAAATGGATCTTTTCCTTAAGGTAAGGATATTTATAAACTCTTTATTCACTGATTTAAAATACAAGTTAGTATCGTATCCGATTTATGATACCTCTACATCGAAACCAAGTAGTTTACTACTAGTATATGTTTTAATACAACAGGAAGCATCTTGGGTTTAAGAGAAAATCTTCCTCTGCATTATCAGTATATTCCAGTTAAGATCAGGGAACTTCATGTTTTTGAATGCTTCATCACCTGTTCTCTGCAATGATTAAGAAGACCCTTGTTGATGGTGTCTGCGTCGTTAGTTAAAATATTTTGAAATCAAAGTTTCCACTCATTAACTGAATATAGATTATTAACAAGCACATGCTGAGGCGGCTATTTATATTATTATATTATTTATAGTAGTTATCGTTACTTAATAACTTAATGTATTATAGACCAAAATATTTAAACATTTAAAATTTACATCTGATTGTTTTAGTGTTCTAATATATCATGGTGAACAGTTTATACTCTGTTGATCTATGGACTTATATTTTTCACTCTTTATAACAGTAAAACAGAAAACATTTGTAATCATAAAAAATAAATACCAAAGGAAAAAAACCTAATATATTTGTTCTGTTTGTTTAGGTTTTACTGTGAAATAATTCACTTCTTGAGCTAGGAAAAGTTGCTAACATTATTATTATTTTTTTTCAACTAGAGAAACTCACTTTCTCAAAATTTTTCTTTAAAATGTGATTACATACTATTAAAACTTTACATGAGAAAATATCCAGCATAAACTGTCTGTTCTAAAACACGCCTTTTATTCTAAGTAGGAGGAAGCTGATAGATCTTTAGCTTATTGTGCTTTTATATGTTCTAATTTATCTGTAGGACTATTCACCTAAACTTAAAAGAATGTGCGAGACAATGGGATATTTTTTCCATGCTGTATATTTTCCAGTAGATGTTGAGAATCAATACCTCACTGTAAGAAAATGGGAAATTGAGAAGAGTTCATTAGTTATTTTATTCATTCATTTAGCTTTACCAAGGTAAGCTGAAAATTCTGTAATTACTATGAATTAACTTGTAAATAGAATTGAGATTGCCAAATGAACTTCGAAGATAAATTCTAATTAAGTTCTCCTAACCACAACAATCCAAGAAACTCAATATATTCTATGGCCTTTTATAAATAAAATAAAGAATTAAAGGTTTCTTGCTGTTAGACTTGGTTAATTGGTCATAAGAACAACATTGTAAATGTAAAGATCATTTTGAGCCTTTTAAATCTTGTTTGCAGAACAAGCTGCAGCTGGTCTTTGCTGCCTGCTAAGTCTTTGTAGTTTTAAACCTCATTATTGACACTCAGGTTGATTCACTGCTGCCACAGGGCAGGGTACTACAAGAAATACTGATTTTCAATCTAGCCTTTTATTGGAAGACTGTGAAGAAGCTTTTCTGAAAAACCCTGAAGGCAAACCACGATTAATTTATCATCGTTTGGAGGACGGGGAAGTCAGTTCCGACTCTGTCCGGCAATTGATTGACCAAGTCTCTAACCTGAACGCTGCCAACAAAGCCAAGGTAAAGTTCAGAGGGTTGTTTTGTAAGAACAGGCTTGAGCTGAGGGAAGCACTTAAGCTTTCAGGCCACGAGCTCAGAGTGAGCCTGGCGTGTCTGGAAGGAAGCCAGGGAAGCTGGAGCAGAGGGTGAGGGGCAATTAGTGGGAGAGGTAATGGGGACTGATCTAGAAGAACCTTACAGGCCATTTTAAAACTAAGGCCCTCCCTTGGTTCTTTTACCTGGGGAGACAGTGAAGGGGGGTGGGCATGGGAAGACTTTAAGCAACAGGAGAGAATATGCGATCTGACAGTGATCTCCAAGGTGCTGTGTTGAGACTGGCCTGGAGAGTGGTGGGCAGGGCAGAGCCGTGGAGGTCAGCCAGGTGAGAGAGGCCGGGGGGAGTCGAGAAGGTGATGGGAAGCAGTGGGATTCTGGATAAATTTTAACAGTAGAGCCAACAGATTTCCTAGTAGACTAGAGGTGGGCTATGAGGGAACTAGAGGAATAAATAGCAACATGTAGCTAAAATGAGTATCACCTGTGAGTGGACAAATCAGATTCTTTTCTGCTACCCCCCACATCCTCCATGCACAGCCCCTCCATCTGCCTTGATCAAGGGCTAGAGCAAGGAGGAGGCTTTCAGAGCACCTATCCCGGGGGTACCGGGGAAAGCCAGGCACTGATGTCCTCATCAGTGACATGACATGACCTTCTGGGATGCAGGGCGGGACCATGTTTAGAGCAGAAGGGCAGACTCCACATTACCACACACTGAGAAGACAGGGAAGCGTTTGTAGTTCATGTTAAGAATACATTTGAAAACAAATCTAGGATTTTCACACTTTTTCTCTGTGCTCAGCCGAAAAATAAGATCAAATGTAAATATAAGCATTTTTCTTCACATCACTTAGCACTGAAAAGATAGCTTTATATTAAACTGAAGAGCCAAAGACAAAAAAAGTGCATTTTTATTAGAATTATTGTTCAGAACCACTTCATTCTTTATTTTAATTATTTTGGTATCTGTTAGCCCACGAGGCCCTGTAGGAAAAAGGTACTATTTCATCTTTCTTAAGATTCTATAAATCACACTTATAAAAATTAATACACTGAAAAGATGGCATTATTTTATAAAAACAAGAGGAAGATAAGATCTCTCTACCATGATTAAAAATGTAAATGTTGGATAAATCCCATGCTATCCCCTTGATCTGTTTTGTAAAACCATTGCCATATTCTAATCATACTAGCTATTAATCACTTATTAGCGGGCCTCCCTAATGGTGCAGTGGGTTGAGCGCAATGCTATGAAGCAGTCCGCAGCCTCTGCAGTGCGGGTTTGATTCCCAACTGGCCAAGGAGAAACCCACATGGTGGGACAGACCTCTCCTGTCTCGCCCACTGCTCCCCTCAGCAGTGTTTTCAGTCCGTCTGCCTGTTCTGCTCCCCACTCTGTCTCTGGTGAATTCTCTCACCCTCCTGCGTCTCTGGCCTATACCCCAGTGCTTGTATAAATAAATCTTAAAAAAATCACTTATTAGTAATATATTTGTTCTTAAACAGGACATTCGTTCAACAAATTCAGAAGACTGTTTTTCATAACAAAATTTTTTCACTTTGTCTTTTGGTTTTGTGAAGTTACAACTTTACTGGCATAAAATGCATGTCAGTGTATTTCGAAGGTGTGTGCGTTGAGTGGTGTGGAAACATATGCCAAAGCACACTTTTGTTTTATTGCAACCAGAAGTTTGCTGTTCGCAGTGTTCTCACTCAGCTCCCCTGTGACCTCGAGGCACTTAGGTGCCTCAGTTTCCTTCTCTGTAAATGGTGAGAGGAACAGGGTCTCCTCATAGGCCAGTGTTGGGATAAACGAGCTAACTTATGTACTTGGAACAGTTCCTGACACACAAGCACCTCCTCTTACTGATTTTTCTTATGAAACTTTTTTCCCAGATCATTGATCACTCAGGAGATCCTGTAGAAGGAGTTTATAAAACTTATATTTATGTGGAGAAGATTATTAAACAGGTAAATATGCATTGTCTGTCATACAGCATCCGAAATATTTTCAGACTGTTTTTCATAAAATTGGAATTTCCAGAGAAAACCACTTGTTTGTTTTTTGAAAATCATGGCCAGGGAGAAAGTGCCTGCTGGGAGACCATCCTGGACTATTTGCCTGGTGTTAGTTGGACACATATTTTCTTTTTTTCTCTGTTTTTGGTCAGCTCCTATCCACTGACCTTACAGAGTGGATCCTTTCATCCATTCTTTCATTTAATTGAAATACATTTAATGTATAACATTGTAAGTTTAAGATGTACAACATGTTAATCTGATACATTATCTTATTTAGTGTATATGCTCAAGGTCCATCCAAATGGCAGGATGCCCTCCTTTTCATGGCTGAATAGTATTCCACAACATACTATCTCTGCCACATTTTCTTTATTTGTTCATCTATGGACCCCTAGGTGTTTCTGGGCTGTTGTCAGTCATGTTCCAATGAACATGGGCTGCAGATATTTTTTGAAGTGAGTAGCACTATGTGTCTTTATTTCTCATCTGTCTCGCAAAGCTACTTGATGCTTCAGTACCTGTTAAGTCTAAAATGGATTACCAAAGTGCTAGTTAAAAAGTATTTGGGGGCCTCCCCGGTGGCGCAGCGGTTGAGCGCTGGGTTGCGAAGCTGCCCGCGGCCTCTGCGGCGCCGGTTCGATCCCCGGCTGCTCCCCGGCCACCGGAGGAGGGTCCCACATGGCACGCAGACCTCTCCTGCCGCCCGCTGCTCCCCTCAGCAGTGTACTTCGGTCCTTCTGCCTGCTCTGCTCCCTGCTCTGGCTCTGGTGAATTCTCTCACCCTCCCGCGCTTCTGACTGTACCCAGTGCCTGTATAAATAAATAAATAAATCTTAAAAAAAAAAAATTTAAAAAAAAAAAAAATAAATAAAAAGTATTTGGGAGAAAATGTTTATCCTAGTCAATGTTTATCCTTGCTCTGGGGGTGCAGGACATCCTGGGCTTTGAGAACACAGACCTGGAAATGAAGGATGTGGGCAGTGAAGATTCTGTTCCAGAAGAAGATGATTTAGGTGACGTTTTGTGGGACATACATGATGAACAAGAGCAAACGGAGACTTTTCAACAGGCCTCGAATTTATCCCAGGAGTTGGGATTTGAGAAAGTAAGTATTTGGAATATTCTTCCAACAGAGACCACTAAGTCAGTCACCACCTAAAGGCTGTATTCTGATTGTATTTGTACCTACATATAATCAGAGTTGCTGACTATGTAGGTGTCAGCTCCCATGACTTGATTGTCCATGTTGAGACTTGTGTTTGAGTTTGTGTCATGTGACAGATATTTGAGATTCACAAATACAAACATCAAACCTTTTGGGTTTTAGATTAGGATTTATAAAGCACATGTTCATTAGGCCATCTTCTTTAGTTTACCAGCCCAAGATCAAATAGCCAGGTAACTTGATAAAAATTGTAAGGCTGTGTATTCTTTCGGTTCTTAGAGGAATCAGACATTCCTCAGCATCTTAAAATCTAAGCAAATTAACTGAATTTGAAGTGCACAAAGAATCTATGTCCAAGTTCAAAACTACTGAATAATATTAATGTAAGAAATGAATATTTTAAAGAATATTATTGAAGCTGTCACTAACAGCTTCAATTTTTGGAACTTTTATGATTTAGACTGTGTTTATATAATTTAGACTGCTCCTGTCCTGGCTATCTCCTAACTAGGGGTTTTTGCTCACATAACTTGGCCCTAAACTTTGACTTTCCTGTCTGCAGAGTTAGAATAACTAATGGTCCCTGTATCCTAGGGTTCTTGGGTGAATTAATCCAGATAATGCACAGAAAGCACTTGGAATAATATCTGGCATGTGATAAGTGTTAAATTGTTTTTTTAAAGAGAGGTACTATCATTATTTTATAAATGAAGGCTCTGAGAACACAAAACATCTGAATATTATAAAACCCCACATGGGGTGTCTCATCCATTAAGTGTTGTCTCTCATCCACTAATTTACAGCAGTACATAGGTATAGAAGAAATTGGGGCCCATTCTTAATTTACCACTTTGGGCATATTTAACCAACCATAAAAATAAGCAGTTATGAAGGTGCTAGTGACTAAAAGTAGATTTCATTTTCTCATTTTGCTTTTCTCTAGTGACTTCACAGGGTAATTAGAAGTTGACTCTATTTATATTCTAAGATACATGTGTTTCCTCACAACAAAATCATTTTTCGTCCTAGTATTACCAGCGCCTTAATGACCTAGTGGCGGCTCCAGCTCCGATTCCACCCCTTCTTGTATCTGGAGGACCAGGTTCTGGAAAGTCCCTTCTTTTATCAAAGTGGTATGATATGCTACAATTAAATTGTTACTATAGTTGTCATCATTTGGTTACTGAATTCATTCAATAAAATGTATTATTGCATGTCTGCCTTCCATCATGGCCTGGATACAACATGAAAAAGCTAAAAGAGTCAAACAATAGATTCATGCCCTGAAGTGTATACAGTTTGGATGTTGGGAGAACAAAATGCGAAGAGAAATGTGAACATTTGTGATTGTGTGCTTAAGCGTGTAAGTCAGATTAAGGGAGTGCTGTATGAGGGAGCGGTCAGTGTGGGGTGGCATTAGGGGACTCTAGAAAGGGATGTGACTTCATTTTCAATTATTGGAATCTTAATAGTTTCATTGGGATTTTCAGTATTTGAAACAAGACAGACAAACTATTTGGAATGAAATAAACTCCAAAGAATAACAAAATAAAGGATAACCTTTACTATGAATGCAAGCCAGTTCTTGAAATCGTGGATTAAAGTTCATATATGTTAATAAATCGTTTCAGTTTCATTTACTTCATCATATTAGTTAAGCAAGTAGTGAAACTTTGCTTTCATTTATAATTATTTATATGGAAGAGTTCACATAAGTTGTTTCTTTTTCATTGCCCTTTTATGTAAAGTTATGTTTGGAAAATATTTTTGTTCTTAACAAGGAAACTGTTTTCCTCTAATAGCATTTTTTTAATGAAAGGTTAATGCTCACTTTATTTATACCTCAACCTCAAATGTATACTATTTTAGTTTACAGTTGTTCACATCAATTTGTAATTTAAATGAATCAATACTTTTCTTAAAGGTTTATTAAAAAAAATATAAAAATGGAATAAAAATTGAAGTTTCCCATGTTTATATAAAAGCAACTATGTGATTGCTGACAGGCAGTATTTGACGTTAAGTGCATTGGGAATTCTTTTCTGCTTGATGGTAAAAGAGCTTCATCAGCCTTATAAAAGTTATTTTTCTTTCAGGATTCAGTTACAACAGAAGAATTCCCCTAATACCCTAATTCTTTCTCATTTTGTGGGGAGGCCCCTGTCAACCAGCTCCGAGTCTTCCTTGATCATTAAACGATTAACGCTAAAGGTATGGTACACTGTCTCTTGGAATTATCAGAAGTTTTACTTAGATTGAGAAATTGGTGAGACTAAGCACCTGATGGTAAACTAGTTTTCACTATGACCCGTTTGTCTTGGTTTTTTATAAAGGTTAAAAGTAACACCCAGTGCATTGGGGTCCTCTTGGTAACTCAGTTTTGGTTTAAAAAGTGTGACAGTGTGACAGTGTGACGCAGTGTGACTACTTTAGTGTGGTGTGTTCTCGCCCCATAGTTGATGCAGCACTCTTGGTCGGTGTCTGCTCTGACACTGGATCCTGCTAAGCTTCTAGAAGAGTTTCCACGTTGGCTAGAAAAACTGTCTGCCCGTCATCAAGGCAGTATCATTATCATTATTGATTCTATAGATCAAGTTCAGGTAAGGAACTGTTTTCCTTTTCTAACCTATTTATACTCTCAGAAAAAGACAGAAATATCAGCAGCCTTTTAAATGATTTGTTTGAGAAGAAAATGTTGATTTATTATTTCTGCTTAATTTCTAGGGAGGATGCATATAAATAAAAAAATATACTGTATACCAGTAATCACTAGACTTTTATTGGGAAAGATCAACTGAATTTATACAATTAGCAATTGTCATTTTGACAAATTTTTAGGGCATTTACATTTCTTTAAGTGTCTACAAGTCTTCAGACACTTGTTCTTCTAGTACTCTGAGATAAATCATCCCAAAATTAGATTTCATCCTTAGTAATAATGAGAATAAGGAGAATTTTATATTACTTGGAGAGCTATTATTGGGTTGTTTTGAAGTATCTTGAATTAATAGATTGAATTTTGTTTTTATATCTTTAAGCAAGTTGAAAAGCACATGAAATGGCTGATAGACCCCCTGCCAGTGAATGTGAGAGTAATTGTGTCTGTGAACGTAGAAACATGCCCTCCAGCTTGGAGGTACGCCGCTAACATGCGTTCTTTCAGATTACGGGAAATGCTTTCAGGTACAAGGAAAGGTTTTTAATGTGTGTTTTGAGTTTTCCATATTTTTTTATAAGTGGCAGCGAGCATGGGTAGGAAAGGATGAATTCAAGGGGAGGTTAGATCTAGCCTGGGGGTGCGGGGAGAAGACTAGGACGACGCCAGGTTTCTGACTTGAGAAATAAAGCTAATCGTGGTTCCATGAAGTGACGTAGGAAATGCAAGGGATGGACAGGTTTGTGGAGAAAAGGCTGTGAGCTTTTTTTGGACACATGGTTGGTTTGAGTTGCCAGTCTTGGCTCCAAAGAGTGCTATAGGCAGAGCGCTGGGCTAGAAATAGTCAACCAGATGCCTGTTCTCCTGAAATGCAAGCTCGCTTTAACGTTTTCCAAAGGGGGGCATAGTGGGTGAATTCTGGAGGGCACTGCTTTCAACCTTTTTGGTTCCCCTATGGAGCCTTTTTAGACATTTTCTTCCTATTTGTCTTCTCCCATCCAAGAAATTTTAATACCATGTATAAACTGGATAAAGTTTCTGTATGTATTTGTTCTTTATACATAAAAAGTAAGATTTTTTTGGACCTCCCCATTGAGATGCATATGCATGTTGTAGGGTGATGAAATTCCAGTTGGATTACAAGTAACATGTGGGCAAAGGCTGTCTTTTACTGTTCCTTATAGATACCGAGAGCTACGTTCAGTGCTACAGATAACATGGAACTTAGAAATGGAGATATTTTGCTACTTTTTTGTCTAATGTATATACGATCTTGTAACAGTCTTCCTTGTGATAACTTGCTAGAAGTAATGATACATGTTGGAACTGATGAAGTATTGTTACTTAATATGACTAACAGATTAGATTTGCTTATTTTATAAAAATAATATAAAAATTCCTGTATTGATTATGTTGTGGGTGTATTGCAGCTTTAGAAGAGAATTTCTTTTTTTTTTTCTTTAAATAAAAGGTTGTGGCCAACACTTCATCTTGATCCATTAAATCCGAACGATGCAAAATCAATTATAATTGCAGAATGCCATTCTATAGACATTAAATTGAATAAAGAGCAGGTAAATATTTTAATTTTGCTTTTATTCTTTATCAGCCTTCCTAGAAAACCTTACATAAGACTTCAAGTTCAAAATAGGACCTTTCTATTGTCATAAGGAAAATTAGAGTTAATAGTAATTTTTTAATAAGATTTGCTCTTAAGCTAATTACAGATCTAGAACAAGCCATAAAAAAGATTGTGGTCTTAAGGTCTACTGTACTGTATTATATTAAGTAGGAATTTTAAAAGCAAAAAAGCATCTGCCTGCTGGCCACATCCACAGCCCCCACTCCTGGGCGTGGTGCTGCAGATGAGATGCAGGAACCTGGCACTTTCTGCAGGGACAGTTGTGGTTGGCTCTGCAGTTAAGACTCTTGATTCCAGGGTGGTTTTGTATTCTTGTCTGTTTTTGGTAAACCAATGCAGGAGAAGAAGCTAGAACGGCACTGTCGTTCTGCTACCACCTGCAATGCCCTTTATGTCACGCTTTTCGGCAAAATGATTGCACGGTAAGTGGTGCTTCTTTGACATCATCTTCTGCATGTTTTGCGTTGGCTGCAGAACGCTTCTCACCATGGGAAACCAAGAACTGATCATGCCACAAGCTCTGGGTACACTCAGATTTCTTTATTCTAACAGTGATACTAACATCCTGTGAAATGTGACTCAGGACTGAAAATCACAGCTCTTGAATTATCGGAACTTGATGTTTGTTTAATTGTCATCACACTAACCTTTTCCCTACTGGGGACTGCAAAGGGTCTCTTTACCCACATTTGGGTTCTCTGTGGAGCTCACTGTCACCTGCTTGAGGCCTCCTGAGTATAAGTGTTTTGTTTCAGGTGTCTGGAGTATCCGTAGGTTGGTATGCAGGTAGGACTTTTTAATTGTCTTTCTTCCCGAATCCTGACAAACCTTTCATTGGAAATGGATTCTTCTATGTCCGCTAGTGATTTGCCTTTAGAGAAACATTAGAAAGTTTTGCTACTTTCATCTCTCCTGTAAACTTTCACTCCACTCTGTTCACAGCCAGGGGTAGAGAAGATGAATACTTTTTTGGGGTCTGCATCAGCATTGATAGTAATCCTAGCACAACTCTTCTAGACACTGAATCTAGTATTCCTGTCTTTGACTTCCATATTTCCATCTTAAGCACCAAATTTGAAATGAAAAAATCTCCTAAAGCTTAGTGATGGTTCTAGATGGTTCTACTTCCCTTTCCCACCGTTTACAGAGTTTGGCGAAGTATTTGTCTGTTGTGGTTATCAGTAGCTGTATCGGTACAACCCAGAAGTGATTGTGACTGTCCATACGTCTCATGATGTGTGTTGGACTCATTACGCCACTTCTGTCCCTTCTCTCCTCCTCATGTCTCTGTATCTTAAAAAGAAACTGGATGAATGTGCCAGAGCTCTGGGGAGCACCTCCTCCTCTGGGTTCCTTTCAGGCTGGACAAGCACACAAGTGAACATCAACTAGATCAGTAGGAGAAAAGGCCCACTTTTAATTACACACATATGAAGAATTTACATGGCTGTGGATCCTAAAGTTATGGGATAAAGCAGGGATTTAAGTCCTGGGCTAAGGAATGGGGTAGGGGTCTGTGGTTTCGAGAGAGGAGGGGTCTCACATGATGAGGAGGAGATGACTTCATGTGACAAGACCTTGGCTCTAGATGTTTGCCCTTCCTTAAGATCGGTGTCTCTCATAAAAGTTTTTCTCCTGGAGAGGTCCCTACATCTAGGTAATCTGCGTTCTTAATGGTTATGATAGCATTGCCTCCCGGGGCCTACAGGGCTGCCACTGACCTTCGCTCCCCATGCCACGGTGATGCACAGTGAAAACACTGCTGTCAGCATTGAGAAAATCCTGTCAGATTTGGTGGGGGAGATCAATCCTAGAATTACAGGTTATTTCAAAACACCCCCCAGCATTTATTGATTTACCTTATCTTGATGTTTTCCAAATTTTGTCTCTAAACTAATTTGTATGGCTAATAACTAATAATACTTATTTACCATACTCTTCCTGCTTCCTGTATGCAGATGGCATGCTTCTGGATCATAAGACTCTGCCTTACTCACCTCTGTGTTCCATAATATGCAGTAACTGCTTAGCATTTAGTAAATCCCAGTGAATGTGTATTAAATTGAATGAAATGTTTACTGCAATAAACGTGGTGACTCCAGCAGCCCCACATAGCTGCCACTGTCCTGTACCCGTATTGCCGAGTCCCTGTTGTTAGTTGCAGTGCAAAAACACTCTTTATTTACCCCAAATTTCCCACGGATATTGGCAGTCTGTAACAAACTGTCTACTTTCAATTCCAGCAGTGCCGGGAAAGCCGGGAACTTGGATAAAATCCTTCAGCAGTGTTTCCAGAGTCAGGACACCATTTCACTGTATAGACTTGTCCTGCGGTCTGTCCAGGACTCACTGGGCAACGATCGGGAGAAGGAGCTGATGAAGCAGGTAAAGCATCACAACGAATAAGATGGGGTTGTCCTGTCTTGTGTTTGTGTGTAAATTGAGATAAACAGTGTATTTTTTTTTAATGTGTGCTTAAACGCACTTCAAGTATCCACAGGAGGAAGCTCTTAGGAAAGTGGACTTTTCCTGATTTTCATCGAGATTTTTCCATCTTGTCATATTTTTTGGCTACTCTTGTTTCCTCTTACGTGAATTGCTGATTCAAGGTCTTTACCCATTTTTTAATGACTTGTTTTCTTCTTGGTTTGTGGGATCAAGAAGAAATGTTCTGTATGCTGAATACAAATCCTTTGTTATAGAGTTTGCAAATTAATGTCTTCCTGCTTGTTTCTTATTTTTTAGCTTATAGTTTTATTCACTATGCAAAGTTTGATTTAGATAATGTCAGTTATCAATAGTTTCTTTCATGTTTATGCCTTTTGCATCTTACCTAAAAAATCCTTTGTTATCTTTATTTTTCCCTTCAAAATGTTTTAGTTTTGTTCTTTTAGTGTAAGCCCTTAACTCATTATTTCTGCTTATGTGTGAGAAAGAATCTATGTTTTAATCATTTGTCATATTTAGTTGTTTTTACTGGAGTACGTTTTGTCCACGGGCGTGGAAGGCCACCTCTCAGCTGTCACGCTCACTTATGAACCCGAGTCTATTTCTCGGCTCTTTTGTTCCAGTTTTGCCAGTTTCTGACCACTCTTACAATGTCTTCATTATTAGGTCTTTGGAATAAGCTTAGAAGTTTGGGCAAGCCCCCCTCTTTGGCTCATTTTCCACATGTCCCCTTAGAACTGGCTCAGCAAGTGCCACAGAAGTGCATTTTGGAATTTCAATTGGAGTCACATTGGGTTTAGATATAAGTTTGGGGAAAATTATCGAATAAGCCTTCTCCTCTGTGGCAAACGACACAGCTCTCCATTTGTTTAGTCATCTTCTTTCATGCTTCTGTGTAATATTCTCTCCCATTAAGGTTCTATACATCTCTATGCAGATTTCCTTGAAGACCTCTGTAGTTCAAATAAAACTTTAAAATTGTTTGTAGCTAGTGTATTCAATTTTGATTCTTGAAAATGTACTTTATATCTAGCAGTGCTTCCTGAATTCTTACAGTTTCAACCGGGACCCATTTTTGTTAATTTACCATCTTGGGGATTTCTGGGATTTTGATTTTTCATCCTTCTTCCAAACCCATAAGCATCCTTGTCTTCTGCCCATGCCTGTGGGTAATGTTTCCCTCATGATCCCCATCACTGAGGGCACAGCCCTCAAAGGGTCCGGTGTTGGCAAGCATTCTGATTCCAGCTCCTCCACCTTGGGGCTTAGGGCCTCACATTCCATCCCTACTGCACCTTGAAGACCCCACCCTTAACTTACTGGGACTGCTGCCTGTCCTCTGTGCCCCTGACCCGGGCCATAGTTCTAGGACCTAGCCCTCTGATTTTCAATCTCCTGGTCATTGTTGGCACCTGCAGAATTTCTAACTCTTTTGGCAGGTTCAGCTGCACTTTTTGAAATGATTCTATATCGTCTGATCACTAAGCATTTGAATATAGCAGAAGGCTGTTGTCTTCTACCGTGTTGCCAGAATTGGAATGCTGGCATTAGTTTTAATCATACATGTCCTGCAGTTTTAATTTTCACTAAATGTTTTTCTATATTTGTGTTATCTTTGGTATGCTAGATATAGTGAAAAGAACTATATGTATATCATATATATGGTACTATTTTATTCTTCATTAATGCCTTTTGGAAAGTGTGTTTTAATCTAAGAAATCTGTTGTTTCACTAAAGCATTTTAATTATAAGTGTGAATAAGACATTAAATAAACTTAAAAAGAATTATGGAAACTTTACTGTTAGTTATTTCTAGAGGTGCTTCTTGATCATTCTGAATTACTGTTCATTTGTTTTTCTCTCTAGATTCTGTGCCTTGTGAATGTTAGTCACAACGGAGTGAGTGAGTCAGAATTGATGGAACTCTATCCTGACATGTCCTGGGCTGTCTTGACCTCTCTTATTCACAGTTTACACAAAATGGGTTTGTTGACTTATGGGTGTGGCTTGCTGAAGTTTCAACATCTGCAGGTAAATGTTATTTTAAGTATCTTGAAACAATTTTTTTAAGCCTTTACATGTCATGCATCACTGCATACTGTATTATGCTATACTATACCATATTATTTTGAATGTTTCAATGACAAGACAAAGTTGAAATCTGAACTTTGGCATTACCTATTTTTTTACAGCGATTTTGGCTATAAGTAAAATTTGGCTAAGAGTATTCTTATGCCATTCTTATGTCATTCTTTGCTGAACTGGCTACTACGTTAAAAAGTAGTTTCTTTCTAGAAAAGAAAGAAATAATTATTTTTCAATTATGTGTTTTGATGAATTGTTGGCAGAATTATATACATGGTACTAACATAGACTGTAAGTCACTCAAGCTCTGTCATGGTCTCTCTCAGCCTTGGGCATACCTTCCCAGCTTGCCACAGGGTTGTGAAGAGAATAGAGAGGTCCTTGGTCCTTGTGAAGTACTGGACGTGATGTCTGGCACACAGTCAATGTTTAGGAGTATTCTTACCACTTGTAATGCCATGGTTTTATATATATATATATATATATATATATATATATATATATATACGGTATATGTATATAGGTATGTGTGTATGTATGTATATATATGCATGCAAATGCAAATTAATTTTTTCATTTGTGAATGAGTGTGAGATGTTAATAATTTTATAGGCTTATCTTTCTCCTTTATTGTATTTTGCTTAGATGTAATTTATTCTCTTTAATACTTTTTCAATCCACATTTAGTATTTAGAGTAAGTTTTAATTAAATGTTTGAATTACATGATTTTGAGTACTTAAAATATTAGTATAGGAATTTTTATTCTCCTAACCCATAAATATATCCTGAATTCTAAAATACTCTAATGCTATTTCTTTATATAACTATGAAACTGAAATAATTGTAAATTCTTTTTTACAAATTCTTTGTTAAATGGACATTGACTTACAAAAAAAAGACTGTAGTATTTTTTATTTTTCTCCTTAGGCTTGGGAAGCAGTGAGACTGGAGTACCTGGAAGGTCCCCCCATTATTTCTTCATATAGGCAAAAGCTAATCAATTACTTCACCGTGCAGCTCAGGTATTTACAGTAAATGTCCATGTTCTGTGACTTCTACAATACACACTGTCTCTCATTTCTTTTTTTTTTTTTTTTTGAAAGATTTATTTATTTATGCATACAAGAACTGGGGTACAGGCCAGAGATGCAGGGGGTGAGAGGATTCACCAGAGACAGAGTGGGGAGCAGAACAGGCAAACTAACTGAAATACGCTGCTGAGGGGAGCAGCAGGTGAGTCAGGAGAGGTCTGCTGCGCCATGTGGGTAGCTCCCTGGCCAGCCGGGGAATCAAACTCATGCTGCAGTGGCTGTGCACAGCTTTATAGGTTGCGTCTTAACCCCTTGTGCCACCAGGGTGGTCCCTCTTTCTCATTTCTTTCTTAGACTTTTAACGAGGCTTTTTATGGTTTACACTTTCATGTATAAAAATTTAATTGTTACCAAAAGTATTAAATCCTTTCCCTATTTTGTTAATGTCAAAAAAACAAAAGATGATTTTATAAGTCTTTCGGTTTTTTGGGTTTTTTTTCCCTTTTGCAGAAGTTAGTGAAATTTCAATAGTCTTTTAATAGTAGGCTAAAAGATTCAAACTTAGGGAAAAACCAATGCATGATCATTTCTTTGTTTTTACTCTGTTCATCTAAATATCTTTAAAATGTATGTACGTCTGTGTATATTCATGTATATATATTTGGGTCCATTGAGTGTTTTTCAATAGTTCAATTTTAGGAAATATCTTTAGAGTTTGGTTGATGGTCCCTGCATATCAATTTGTTTATTTTCATAGGTTGGGAGAGTTTCTGGTTTTGACCTAATTTTCTCAGTGTTGAGTCCATACATAAAGTCCATCCATCCATACATGTTAAATGTGTTTTCCTTCCTTCTGCCTTTGTCTGAAGCCTGTTGCAGCGACCTCGCTGCAGGAGGGTCTATTGAGTGTTGTCCTTGCTTCTCTTGGACTAGTCAGGACCGAGTGACCTGGAGGGGCGCAGATGAGCTCCCCTGGCTTTTCCAGCAGCAGGGAAGTAAACAGAAGCTGCACGATTGCCTTCTCAACCTCTTCGTGTCTCAAAACCTTTATAAAAGGTAAGACACTCATTTGCAGAAACAGATTTAAATGGTTGTTCAGCATAACGGAGAAAAATGGCATTTTAATTTAAAAAGTCGTCCCATTTCTGTGGTACCTGAAAAATAAAACACTGGGAGAAATGTTAAGACGGTGTCCTAGTTGCCACCAGAATCTACGTTTTCCAAGTAGAAAAGAGAGGATTGCTGTCTTCATACAATCAGAGCTGGAATGGCCTTGAGAGAGCTTTATATCTTCTCTTTTTTTTTATTAATTTTTAAAATTTTTTTACATCATTGTTCATTTTTAAACAATATTTGCTTCCCCCCATCCCCTCAGGTGGAGTCCCCATAGAGTTTCCTTCCCCAGGGCACCCGTGCACCATCACCTCAGTCCCCTGTGCTCCTCCTTCCCTCCCTCTGATCCTCCCTCCTCTGCCCCTGCAGGATGTCGCTGATTTATAATTGTCCGCTTTTGCTTTGTTGTGTTTTGTACTGTTACTATTTTTTTTTACACTGATGTCTTATTGGGTTCCCCTATATTCCTGCTATAAGTGAAACTATCTGATACTTTTCTTTTTCCTTCGGGCTTATTTCACTGAGCACAATTCCTTCTAGCTCCATCCACGTTGCTGTGAATGGCATGAGTTTATCTTTTTTGATTGTTGAATAATATTCCGTTGTGTATATATGCCTCAAAGATCATCAAGGAAAACATAAACAGCTGAGAGCTTTATATCTTAAACTCCCACTTAAACAGGTTTAAATGCACCCCTTCCCCCCACGAGGAGGCTCATGATGTCCGCCTCTCAGGCCTTCAGGCTTCTTTACGAGCAGCCTCCAGGTTCTGGCCGAGCTGCCTTTATAGGAAGTCTGGTCCATCTCATAGCCATGCTGCCTGCCTCTCCTGCTGTGTGTGACTTTGCTAGTGGTGGGCGTCTTTGAGCTAGCTTCTCACCACCCAGCCCCACGAGGGGTTTTCTATCTCACTTCAGAATTTAGACATTTCTCAAAATGTAGGTACATGATTTGTTTTGCCCCTGAGTGAGTTCTAATTTCTTTGTGACACCTTGTAAGTTAAGTCTGAGTTCCACCCCAATTTTCATGCTTCCTTTGAAATCAGATTCATTCTCGAGCTCTCTCATCCTGCATAGCATCCGCTACAGATGCGCAGGTTTACTTGCCTTGATGAAAGGCAATGTAAATATCATGATGGTTTGCCTGTAGTTTATTCTGGTCTAATTTCCATCATCTCTCATTTTGGGGCTGGGCCCAGATGATGAGCTGAGGCCGCAGTCTTGACTACTAACAAATTGCCAATAATAGGTTGCTATGAATTCTGGCCTCTTCACTTGATACTGGGTTTTAAAGTTTGTTTTTCATCAAATTGCTGTTATTTGTTTGCCAGAGGACACTTTGCTGAGTTGCTGAGTTACTGGCAGTTTGTTGGCAAAGACAAGGGCGCCATGGCCGCAGAGTACTTTGATTCCCTGAAACAGTACGAGAAAGACTGTGAGGGCGAGGAGAACATGCTCTGCTTAGCCGACCTCTACGAAACCCTGGGGCGGTTTCTCAAGGATCTTGGCCTTCTCAGTCAGGTAACCTAGCAGGGATACAACATGTGGGTTTTCGTGTTTACTCACCTTCCTTGCTGGAAGGTCATGTAGATTCCACTAGTGTGTCCACCAGATGGCAAATCTCAGAGCCTTTCAACTTATTTCCTAGGCTGTGGTGCCTTTGCAGAGATCTCTAGAAATTCGAGAAACAGCTTTAGATCCTGATCACCCAAGAGTGGCCCAGTCCCTCCACCAACTCGCAAGTGTGTACGTGCAGTGGAAGAAGTTCGGCAACGCAGAGCAGCTGTATAAACAGGCCCTGGAAATCTCAGAAAATGCTTACGGTGCAGACCATCCACATATTGCTCGTGAACTTGAGGCCCTTGCAACTTTGTACCAGAAACAAAATAAGTAAGATTTAGATCACTAATACTCTGGCTTTATGACAAGGAGTTAGAGACCTCAGTGTGCTTAAGTAGTGGGCTTTGTCTTGTGACTATCATTTTCCTAAGTATATTCTTTTGAATGCATGAGATTCAAATATGAATTCTTGGTCTGGGTGTTCATGGGGGCAAACAGCAAATTAGAGCTACAGATTATTATGATCTATAGATTGTGAGGACAGAGCAGGAACATGGGGTCTTGTGGCCAGACTTGCATGGAACCCCTTCCCAGACTAGCTTTGCCACTATTAAGATTGGAGGCAGCCAGCCGTGGGCCTCAGGCCAGCTCCTGATGCCCCCTGTTTTGTAAAGAAGGTCTTCTAGAAACATAGCTGTAGGTTTTCACTGCTTCCCTGTGTCCATAGCAGAGTTCTGTGTTTGGGGCATGTGACCCCAAACCTAAAATATTTATTATCTGGCTCTTTACAGCAAAACTTTGCCAGTCCCTGGAATGATAAAAAGTCTCTCTTATCAACTAGACACCGACTGAATGTCATATCTTCCTCCATCGGAAGTCATTTCTTTTGCTCCATAAGTAATACGTGTTGGAATTATTTCTTTTAATTTTTAGAAGTTTTTTTTTTCCACACAAGTTTTGTGAATATTGCACCAAAAATTAGCCTGTGCAGAAGAGGATAGAGCAAACTAAAATTGAAGCTTTTCTTTTAGTTAGTGTGTCCTCCACAGATTCACTGTGGGTTAAATGAGTTAAACATCTGTTCAAATGTCTGCTACATAAAAGACTACCCTTTTTTGTTCTGTTTTGTTTCATGAAGGTTTTTGTTAAAGAGTTTTAATTCCCTGTGACTATCACTTCTAGAAATGATGCTGTGTTTAATAGTAAAAACAAATGGCTTTATACTAGATGAGGGAGTGCTTTCATTTCCTTGAAGTGCGATACTTTGCACCTATGTCTTTTTGCTTGACTTCCTTTCCTTTTTTTTTTTTTTTAAGATATGAACAAGCTGAACATTTTAGGAAAAAATCCTTTAAAATTCGTCAGAAAGAAACAAGGAGAAAAGGCAACTTGGTAATGAGAGATTTCTTTTGGGTTTGGTTTTGAAGCAAAGAGGAAAAAAGTATATCATAATCAAGATGCATAAAAATACTAACATTGTGTTATTTATATTGCATGTTTAAATATTAGTATTACTGAGAAGTACAATTTAATAGACTTTCAAAAAGCAGAACTGAATGTTGTGGTAACCATTGTATGCTGGATGTGTATCAGACTATCATGTTATACACCTTAGACACACACAATATTATGTTAATATTATCTCAATAAACTGGGGAAAATTAAAAAGCTTTTCAAGTGAAAACTTCATTTGAAGGTTAGACTTTGGAAGATCAAGTTTAAAGTTGCTTCAGTTTTTTTCATTGAAGGGTTAGTAAAGGAAATACCAAAAATTTAGTGAACATTTTGTATTAGATTCAAATGCAAAGAAGTTCTTACCCTTGGGTACAAAAAATTTATTTTCATTTTTCTGATAAATCTATTTGTAGTATCTATATTTTAACTTAAAATGTTCTGAGGAACTTTTTTGATATATATTTGACATATGACCTAGCATAAATTCAGGTAGATAACATGTCAACTTGATATATTTCTCTGTTGCACTCTGATTGCTGTTGTAGCTATGGTTAGCACCTTGCTCATCACACAATCATTTTTTTTTGTGGTGGGAACAAGTAAGGTCCAATCTCTTAGCAAGCTTGGTAGTTATAACACAGTATTGTTGTCTGTATTCATTGTCCTCTGCCTTCAGTCTCCAGAACTTACTTATCTACTAGTTGCAAGTGTTCTGTGCAGTTTTAAGTACCTGATGTTGAAGCATTTCCCAATGCAGTCACTAATACCTGCATGATAGTTCAGTTTCTTGATCTTTTGGAAGGACTTTGGGATTCAGTTTGCTTTGCTAAAATGTCTTATCATTTCACAGAACATTTTTTGACCAGTTTTCAAAGGTGATGGTTTGTGGAAATATGAGTATCATCAATAACCATTAGACTAATTCAGGTGATGCTTAAAAATATAGTAATCTGCTTTAAAGGGAAGAAACAAAGGATATTTTAGTACCCAGCACATTGTTCAGAATCAGAGGCTGCACTCACTTAGTAACTGTTGTTCATATTCTGTGTTTGCTCCAGTATGGATTTGCCCTTTTACGTAGACGGGCCTTGCAGTTGGAAGAACTTACATTAGGTAAAGACACACCTGACAATGCTCGGACCCTCAATGAACTGGGTGTTCTCTACTATCTGCAGAATAACCTGGAGTGAGTACCGTGGGGTTAATGATGAAACAAGTGTGCACTTGGCCGTCTAGGTCCAAAGCTGTTTTCCATTTCTATCAAGTCAGGCTGAAACAATGGGAGGGAATGTGCTAGATCCGTGCATGAACCATGCACACAGACACACTGGCCCAAGGCCCTGGCATTGTCGCTGCTGCTTCTCTAGTAGCTGAGAAGTTCTGCAGATTCCCTAGTGTGGAACGAATTTATGACATTTATGATACTGTGCACAAGGCTTCTCAGAAGAAACTTGGGACAAAGAGAAAACAAAAGTATCAATATCTATGGCTGGTAGTTTTACTCTTGTTTATTTGAAGATAAAAGGCAAAAATGGCGTTAATATTTATACTTTCTGAAAAATGAGTGGTTTTATATTCCTTTGGCTGTCAGATAAATAAAGCAAATTTCACACATTGGATATCAGAAAAATGTAAAACTATTTAGCTCATTTCACAAAAGATTTTTTTTTAAAAGATTTATTTTTTACTTTTTTTTTTTTTTTTTAAGATTTATTTATTTATTTATTTATACAAGCACTGGGTACAGTCAGAAGCGCGGGAGGGTGAGAGAATTCACCAGAGCCAGAGTGGGGAACAGAACAGGCAGAAGGACCGAAGTACACTGTTGAGGGGAGCGGCGGGCGGCAGGAGAGGTCTGCGTGCCATGTGGGACCCTCCTCTGGTGGCCAGGGAGCAGCCGGGGATTGAACTGGCGCTGCAGAGGCTGCGGGCAGCTTTGCAACCCAGCGCTCAACCGCTGTGCCACCGGGGAAACCCGATTTATTTATTTTTATACAAGAGCTGGGGTACAGGTCAGAGGCGCAGGAGGGTGAGAGGATTCACCAGAGGCAGAGCAGGGAACAGAACAGGCAGACAACAGAAATACACTGCTGAGGGGAACAGGGGCAAGACAGGAGAGGTCTGCCGCGCCATGTGGGACAGCTTCACAGCACGGCGCTCAACCCACTGTGTCACCGGGGAGGCCCCACAAAAGATTTTTTTATTGAAAATTATTTAGTGTTAACTCCAAAGGGAGAGCGAGTTATCAAGCTCTTTTATTTGAGTTAGGTCTGATAATTTTAAAAATATAGAAGGTTTGTTTTGGAGAATAATTAGGGGTTTGTCTTTAGAAGTGAGTGGAGAGCTGAGGACACAATTGGGGTGCTTTTGGTCCTCAAACTCATCGGTCTACATTTTTCTTTTCTAGAAATGGACAAGAAAGGATGGGGGGCCAGAGAGAGAGAGGGTTTTGAGCTTAATCCTTTATCTCACTTGCTTGGACTTTTGAATAAAAATGCCTCAGTTCTTTATCTAATTAGGGCTAGGGAATCTGACCTCTAGGAAATAAACTATTTCAACTATTCTGGGTTTTGTTCCTAGAACAGCGGACCAGTTTCTGAAGCGTTCCTTAGAAATGAGGGAGCGAGTTCTGGGCCCAGATCACCCCGACTGTGCCCAGTCTTTGAATAATCTGGCTGCTCTCTGCAATGAAAAGAAGCAGTATGGGAAAGCAGAAGAACTTTATGAAAGAGCCTTAGACATTCGGAGAAGAGCTCTAGCTCCTGACCACCCTTCTTTGGCTTATACTGTGAAGCATCTCGCAATCCTATATAAGAAAATGGTAAGGTTCCTGGGCATGCTTACATGTGCTTTATAACATACCAATTAAGCTCTGTTTACTGTTTGCAAAATCTTCTGACCCATAGATTATTTACTGTGAGCTGTAAAGTCAGTGATTTAATTTTTATTTTTTTATTTTTTTTTCAACAAAATAGCCATAATGATATTTCAGATAACTAAGACCTTCCCTCTTGTTTTTTTTTTTTTTTACTCATCACCCTCCCTTATCCCATTCTCTGTGTAGATGTCTAATATTTTTTTTTAATAATAAATTTTATTTTTATATTCCCCATACAATTGCAACCCCCCCATTTTGACCCCAATCCCTCCCCTCCCGCCACTCACCCTCCCAAAAGTGTCTCTGGTTCATAGATTTTTGTTGATTTTGATTTTCACTTTCTTATAGTTATTCATTTTCCTGGTCCCTTATTTAAGTTTTCTAGATTCCTGCTATGAGTGAGACCATCCGGTATTTTTCTTTTTCTTTCTGGCTTATTTCGCTGAGCATGATCCCTTCCAGCGCCATCCATGTTGCTGCAAATTGCTTGTGTTTATCTTTTTTGAATGCTGAGTAATATTCCATGGTATATATGTACCACATCTTCTTGATCCAGTCATCTATTTCTGGGCATTTGGGCTGTTTCCAAAGCTTAGCTATTGTAAATAGTGCTGCTATAAACATAGGAGTGCAGGTGTTCTTTGGAATGGATGTTTCTGTGTCCTTTGGGTAGATACCTAGGAGTGGCATTGCTGGATCATATGGAAGCTCTATGTTTAGTAGGTCCAGAAATCTCCACACAGCTCTCCATAGTGGTTGGACCAGTTTGCACTCCCACCAGCAGTGCAGAAGAGTTCCTTTTTCTCCACATCCTTGCCAACATTTGTTGTTGCTAGTTTTTTAAATATGTGCCATTCTCACTGGTGTAAGATGGTATCTCATGGTAGTTTTAATTTGCATTTCCCTGATGACAAGTGATGTTGAACATTTTTTCATATGCCTGTTGGCCATTTGCATTTCCTCTTCCGAGAAGTTTCTTTTTAGCTCTTCTGCCCATTTTTTGACTGGATTATTTTCTTTGTTGTTGTTGAGTCTCATCAGCTCTTTGCAGATTTTTGTGGAGTGATTTAATTTTTAACAAATAGCTGAGTAGGACATTTAAAAATACTGTTTCATACTTAAAGTACTGGTTTAGATTTGTTAAAATGTATTCTAAATACAAATGCATTTATCAGCATTCTAATTAAACCTTATTCTTATACTTCAGAAGTTCTGAAATTCAACAGTATTACCTTCACTGTGTTAAGCAGCCATAATATATAGCAGATCACCTATTTGTCAGGGATGAAGAAAGTATTTGTGTGGATTAAGTGAAGATTTTAATTTCACTCTCTTCTGTGCCAACAATTAAATGTAACCATTCTTCACCATAGGGCTCTACTTTGAGTGATGTTGGGAATTTTTTTTTTACAAAAAAAGGCAGTGTTTATTATCTCTTTTCTCAGAAATAACCAATACTGACATTTTTCATGAGTGTTTGTTTGTTTTTTAATTGAAGCAACATTGGTTTACAACCAGTTATGGGATCACATCCTTCAGGTGTATGTCATCACACCACACCCACCACCGAGGCCTCGACAGTCCTCATAGTCCACTGTGCTCCCTCCCCCTCTGCTCTCCCCCGCCCTGCCCTTCTATGGGAATCTCAATTCTACAGTCATATTTCTAGGGCTTGTTACTGGTTTTGTCTGACTCTGTTTTGTTTCTCTATATTTCACATATTAGTGACACACCCTCTAGTATTTGTCTTTCTCCTGGTTTATTTCACTTAGCACATCTCCTTCAGTTCTGTCTTGTGTTCAAAACTGAGTAGTATTCCATTGTGTATATAGATGAAATTTTTCTAATCCACTCCTCTGTCTAAGGGCATGTAGGCTGTTTGCATGCTTGGCCATTGTAAGATGTGCTGTGATGAAGATAGGAGTGTATAGATATCACTTCAGATTTGTGTTTCTGCAATTTTTGGTTAAATATCTGGGAGTGGAATTGCTGGGACATATGGTAGATCTATTTTTAATGTTTTGAGATATTTTAATATACTGTTTTCCATAAACAGTCTACACGCCTGCCAACAGTATGCGAGGGTTCCTTTTTGTCCACATCTTCACTAACACATGTTGTTTCTGGTCCTTTTTGACATGGGTCCTTCTCACAGGTGTGAGGTGGTATCTCACTGTGGCTGTGATTTGAATTTCCTTCATGATACGTGATAATGAGCATTTTTTTTCATGTGCCTGCTGGCCATCTTTATGTCATCTTTGGAGAAGTGACTTTTCAACCCTCTGTCCTTTTTTTTTTTTTTTATGTTTGCAATTTTTGTAGCTGTTTTTCCAAATAAATAATGCCAGAGAAGTCTGCTTTCACTTCATTTAGGGTGGTTTCAGGGCTGTGGAAAGTGGATTTGGACTTTGTGGGATGCTGCTTGGTCATACTGACACTGAAGTTGTTGTTTTAGTGAGAAGGACCCATTGTTGCTGCCCAACTTTCAAGTAAAAAAAAAAAAAAATTAGAAAACTCTAGAAGGATTTGGTAGGCAATGAGTTCTTATTTTGATGACACTCTATATGATGTATAGTAGCAAACCTACTTTAACTGGCCTGGTTTTACTTCACCAGAAACTGAGTAATGACGGGCAGTCCCAAAAGGCTTTCTGAGTTATGAGAGAAAATGCTTTATGTTCAGTTATCCTACAAATACTTTATTACATTTCAGTTATCTATAAACTGAACCGTTAAACTGGGAGGAAAGCGCCTGAAATTTTCTCCGTCAAAATTACTTTTTCATACAATTTTGATTTATGGAAAAAGCTCTGATCAGATAGTATTTATTGCTTTAATATTTTGTTAGATTTCACTTTTGTTTTTTAGGGGAAGCTTGACAAAGCTGTACCTTTGTATGAGCTGGCGGTTGAAATTCGGCAGAAATCCTTTGGCCCAAAGCACCCTAGTGTAGCTACTGCCTTGGTGAACCTAGCGGTTCTCTATAGCCAAATGGTAAGTTCCCACACTTTAACTCTTCATGAATGAATGACATTAAGAAATGTAAAATATAGGTAAACATGAATTAGATGAGGCACAGTAATAATAATTAAAGGAATTTTAAGTGATCTGTTCTCCTTCCTTTAAGTACTTATAAATTATTGAAGTTACATTTGTAAGGGCCCTTCCTTTTAGTGTAAAACACCGAGTCTTTAGTTTATGGCAGAGGCTTAGTCTTGTCAATTCTGGACTCCATCTCTATATCTCAAATTGTCTTTAAGCTGTGGCCCGTGAGGGGTGATAAACAGGTACCATGCCCACTGAGCCATAAACAGGTTTGTGTTTGTATTATTGTGTGAAGTCAGTGGTTACCAAGTTAGGTTGAAAAAAAGTTTTTTTGTGACTTCCTACTATACTGCTTTTCCCATTATGATTAATCATAAATTAATCTGTCTAACCCCATGTTTTAGGATAATAACATTCTAAAAGGGCTTACCCATATAGATTGGCTTAGTCTAGAATACATTAATAATCATTTCAGAAATCCAGTGTGTTTAAGTGAGCTTTATTATTTTCTTTTTAAATAAGAAAAAACACATTGAAGCCTTGCCATTATATGAAAGAGCATTAAAGATTTATGAAGACAGCCTGGGCCGGATGCATCCTCGAGTTGGAGAAACATTAAAAAATTTAGCTGTGCTTAGGTAAGAATTTTTTCACTTTCCTCATCCAGCCAGTACTGCCTTTTAGAACAGCTTTCATCTGACTCAGAACAACACAAAATGTTCATTGTGGCATGTTTTTTTCCTTGGAGGGGTTTTGGTTGATTTACTTCAAGAGATGCTAACCTAGTGTCCAGAAGCAAAATGAAGTCTACACAGTGTACCCTGAAGCATGGTTTATATTGGCAACAGCAGACCCTGGGGGGACATGGGCAGTTTGCTCAGCGCTAATTCACCATAAAGTACATGTTGACATTTGCTTTATTTACCTCAGCATGCAGAGAATAACTTCCCTTAGCAATGTCATTGCATGCATTTTAACCCTGTCTTGATGGTGACCCTATGAGACATCAGAGGATCCAGAGAGTCCAGATAGGAGGAAGAGCTTAGATACTGTTGTACTGGTCTGCCTGAGCGAATACACTAGAAAAAGCCAGGGGGAAAGTGAACAATTATTCACAATTTGTTTTTCTGAATCCTGTAGGGCATGTAGAATTGTTAAAAGGTTAGATTCTCATTTTAAGAATTTTTTTCTCTCAAAGTTATGAAGAAGGGGATTTTGAAAAAGCTGCTGAGCTATACAAAAGGGCAATGGAAATAAAAGAAGCAGAAGCCTCACTTTTGGGTGGAAAAGCTCCTTCTCGACACTCAAGTGGAGACACCTTTAGCTTAAAAACCCATTCTCCTAATGTTTTCCTTCACCAAGGACAAAGGTAACAGCAGCTATTACAATTCATTGCAAATGCACCCTAGGATAAACTCTTAGGAAACATTTGGAACATTAGAATTTAAACTTTATTAAAAAAACGTTTTTAAGAAAATTTATTTTTATGTTGTGTGATTTTTAACTGATGTTTGCTTTGTATGATATTTGTATGAAATTATATTGGACTATATTGAAAGTTGAGTCATTGTCTTTTTTTTTTTTTAAATAGAGGCATGTTTATTTATTTATTAATTATATTTGTTTGTTTGTTTTGTTTATACAAGCACTGGGTACAGTCAGAAGCGTGGAGGGTGAGAGAATTCACCAGAGCCAGAGTGGGGAGCAGAGCAGGCAGAAGGACTGAAGTACACTGCTGAGGGGAGCAGTGGGTGGCAGGAGAGGTCTGCGCACCATGTGGGATCCTCCTCCGGTGGCCGGGGAGCAGCCGGGGATCGAACCGGCGCCGCAGAGGCCGCGGGCAGCTTCGCAACCCAGCGCTCAACCGCTGCGCCACCGGGGAGGCCCTCATTGTCATTTTTTTTTTTAAAGATTTATTTATGCATACAAGAACTGGGGTACAGGCCAGAGGTGCTGGGGGCAGTGAGAGGACTCACTAGACACAGAGTGGGGAACAGAACAAGCGGATTGACTGAAATACACTGCTGAGGGGAATAGCAGGTGAGATAGGTCTGCTGCATCATGTGGCCAGCACCCTGGCCTGCCGGGGATCAAACTCGTGCCATGCTGCAGTGGGTATGGGTAGCTTCACAGCACTGTGACTCAACCCCTTGCACCAGCAGGGAGGCCCTGTCATGTAGGTTTTATTTAAAAGAATGACCTCTCCAATCGCAAGGGATTGGAGACATGTAGGGAGCTAAGGTGACACGGAGAGCTGGTCATGAAGAGTAGTCGGTCTCTGTTCACAAGGGCTGGCAGAGCAATCAAGACAAGAGTTAACAATCCCATTCTTTTCATCTCTCAACAGCTGCTTTAGCCTCATCATTCCTTGTCTTGCTTTTCAGCAGTAGCCTGGCCCAATTCTCTACCTCAAAGAAAAGTTTCGAGGAATAAAGGGATCGTGTTTATGCAAGGCTTGCCTGTCTCCTGTAAATGAGCTCATAAAAGGTATCTGACTTGTTTGCTGAGCTGTCCACACTGTGTTGCTTTACTGTGTGTAGTGTCTGATGTCCTCAATGTGTGACAGACCGAGCTCTTTGGCATTCTTTGAGCTTCCCCCAAATATGGACTTGACATGCTCCTTTATCTCTTTCAAGCGGCCTTTAAGAGCTGTCTCTACACTTATCTCAAACTCTCATTAGTTGCCATTTTATATTGAAAGTTCAGTATTTTTTATAAATATTGCCACATTTTGGATATAGTTTTGTATCATTTATGTATTTATATGTAAAATCTTCAATTTTAATACTTGTAAGAGTCCAACATATATTAATTGTAAAGGTAAAAGATGTAATAACCATATTTTGCTGTTTTAAACTACTAATAGTTTAATTTCAAGTTCTCCGTTTCCCTCTCCAGTTTATTCAAGAGGGTTATATTAATTCATTGAACATTGTAAAAAGATTTGAGTATTGTGAATACTTGCTGAGTATCTTATTTAGCTTGAGCTTTGATGGCTCTAAAGGGCTTTAATCAGTGTTCTCTAAGGCCTGGTTCCTCACATGTGGCCTGTGAACATGGACTCCAGCTGAGAGCTTATTAAAAATGCAGATTCTGAGGCTCTCCCCAGACCTTCATAATCAGAATCTGCAGTTTTGCTAAATCCCTAGGTGATTCATATGCACGTTTGAGAGCAATGATCTAGGACGCTATACTGGCGGCTTATGTTAACATACTTAGGCTAACATACTGACTTAAACGCTAACAGACTGCACATTTGGGGCTCTCTGAAACTAGTTTTTAGAGCTTTACTAACACTTCCTCCCCAGACATACAACTTAGACATCCGTACCTTCAAAACAAAAAGAAAAAAATCACCAAAGTATCAGATTATCATAGTAACAGCCCATGAATAGTGTTCTTTATTGGTTTCCAAACCATTGGGAATTGATCTCCACTAAGGCTTTCTATTATTGGTATGCAGCTCCAGAGAAAACCAGTTTGTCAGCTTTGATTTAGTGAACATGCTCAGAGAAAATGGTATTTTGGGATGAATAAATACATGTCAGTCACAGCAGAGGCAATTTAGGCCTTTTGCCCACCATCCAGGACAAATCCTTGCCAATATCTGGTTCCCTGAGGAACCACATTGAAGTTAAGTCTTCGGAAGGAGCTCTATGATGGGTATGATCTACCCATCTATTATCATAGATAATAGCTTATATTTATACTTTGCTCTTTAAGAAAGTCGTCTGACTCCAGATACAGGTTCTACAGATGCACCGATTTTTCTTTGGTCTCTGCAAATATATAATTTGTACTTCCTAAAAGTACCTTCACCTGTCTATCCATGGAAAAAGTGCTCTTTTATTTATCTCTGTCTTGTTTTGAACATACGGTTCACATGTTTACATACTTTTCCAGTGTCTATATTTCAGTTTGATGTCATCAGGAAACATTTGAGAAGATATTTTTATTTTACAGGATAACTATTTAAAATTTACTACTGGCTTGGTTAATAGTGGTGGGCTATTTTCCTGTAGAGGGCAGTTCCAAACAGCGCGTAGAGTCTGCCAGCTCTAACCACCAGGTTGTACCTCTTGTCCTTTTGTTTTGAGGACACATACTACTTTATTCTCCATGGCCTCAGCAAGAGACCCTGAGGACTACTAGAAAGAAAAGGATTATTGCAGCAAATTAGTCCTTCCTCCCCACCCCTCCAAAAAGGCCAAAACATTTCAAAGGCTAAATTTTCAATAAGGTTTCTAACTGCCTGTAGTCATCCTTTGACGTTTCCTTACTAGAATGAAACATGAGTTTCAGGAGAGCTGTTGATTCAGTCCAAGGTTGAGGGCAACTGGCAAATTTGTATTATCAAAAAGTGTAACAGTGAAGATTAAAACTCAATTGATGTTACCTTATTTTTGTTCATTTCAAAACGATTTTTTTTAATTGCAAGGGAGAAATTTGCCAAGGGAATAGGTTTAAAAACAGGAAATAAAATATAGACCAGTTCAGTTTCTACATGTTCTTCATCTTGGCCATGAGATCTTCTAAGCTTTCACCAGAATCTTCCACTGATACCTCATGTACAGAATCTTCTTGCTATCAACAAATGAAGGAAACAAACAAAAAAGCACTTAAAATTCTTGATACTTAGGAATATATATAATCGGTTCTAACCATGTTCAATAAATTCACAGAATAAATTTTCTCTAATAAATATGCCTTCTAATTTTTAGAAGAGACAGTCTTTCACTTTACTCCCCCACCCCAGTCTCTTGATTTACAAAGCAGTGATTTTAATATTCTTGAGATCTCTACCAAAGTGGTATTTTAAGTAGCATTATGGCTAAACTACCAATATAAAAAAAAATGATACACTCATTTAATCAAAATCTATTTCACTTGAGCCATTAATCAGTAAACAAAACTATTTTATATTTATATTTTCAAATAGTTTAAAATGTGCTGTGCATGTCTATATTCACACTGCTTAACTCATACATCTGAATGCTGAGTGCCAAATGTCTAAAATGGGAACCACAGCAACGGTACTTTTTATTTAAGAGGGTGAAGATGAAGGAAGACAGATATTTTCTCTCCTATGATATTAGGGCAAATCAGATTTTAGATGTACCTTTTTGGGAATTGTATATGCCACTGTAATTCCTTCTGGTAAGTCAGGAACTGGACCTGAAGAATTTTTCAGTTCCTCTTCAGAAACCTCAGATACCAACTCTATACCTATAGAGTTAAATTTGACCTTTTAACGGTTTTTTTTAAGGAACTTAATAAGCAATATTCAATATTTATATAATCTTAAGTATAACTGCATCCCCACCCATAAGAGATTTTGTTTCATGCTGCCATTCCATAATCTATGAAAGGGTCCCTACCCCACTCATTGTCTTCATGCACTATTTCTTCCTCTTCTTGAACAACCTCCTGTTTGGGCAGTGCTGCCACCTTTTTCTGTAGAAATCAAACGGTAGCAAAGTGTTTTTTCATTTTTAATTCTCTCAAGCAATAATCAAGAATTCAAACAGTTTATCTTATTAAAAACCAGAAAGGACAGTGAACAGAATTTGTGAAGCACAATACATAAATTGAAACTAAAAATCTAAAATCCATTTATCTTGTATAGTAAAATAAGTATTTTTTTTAAGTTACTGTCCTATGCAATGTGATCTTTCCTACATTCTGACAGGTTGACTTATACCTTGTATTCTTCCTGCTGCTTCCTGCAATTTCTGTCATCACACTGTGGATTTGGCTTCATGGACATAGTAGGGAAAAAATCCTGCATTGCATTGTATCCAAGGTAAAAACTAACAGTACCAAAATTTAACAGAAACCTAGAAAAATTAAAAAAGTGGACTTAATTAAAACCATGAAAGTATTAGAAATAATTAACTTGTTTAAAAATTGTTTGGAGGTAGACAGCAACTTTTGTAACAAGCAACCTAGAAATCAGAAACTTTTTATCTTGTTTACAGGGTCTGGCTCAACTAGTATGAGCTGCCTAAATGCAGAAAAGATAAGATTATTCCATTTCAGAGAATGCATTATTTATTTTTGAACTTCTAATAAGGAGAAAATGTTGACAACTGTGTCAACGACTTTAGGAAACAAACTTCAGAGAGGCTAAAATCTACTAAGTAAAACCCCGTGGAGAAATGAATCTTAGAAATCTCTGAGATGGTACTAAATCTAACTATCTTACTATAAAATTTATTATCTTAAATGTACAGCTCAATAAAATCTTATAAGTTTTCACTCATTAAGCACTATGAGATCAAAACAGAGTTTTTTGCAGCATGCCACAAAGCCCCCTTCTGCTCTCTAAGTCAAAAGAAATTCAAAAAACTAGACATAACTAGTAACTCCAATATTTGTGCTGCTTCCTAAAACATATTTATCTTTATCAAAAGTAAACAAGACTAGTCAGCAGCAGTAGTCCTCACTCACTTTAACACGTTTTGGACGAGGATCCCAGCAACCACCCCCATAGTGGTGGGGAGACTGGCCGCACAAACCCCTTCTCGTTTCAGAGTCTTTTCGTCAATATTTGCAGCAACCACAAGTGGAGGAGCACACTGCATGAGAAAGAAAAAAAGGCATTTCAAAGGAAAGGGAGAAAAGTAGATGTTTCAAATAGCATTTCTTCACAGTCCAGGTTTGTTTTTTCTTTGAATTGTAATACAGCTTCTTTGATGCCCCTAGGAACTCTAATACTTAACAGTAAAAAAGAGCCCAAAATGCAGGCTGCCTACCGCAAAACATGCAGATTCTCCAGGAATGATGAGCTGTATATGCCCTGAAACTGCATTTTCACTGACACCTGATTCCATCCATGTCTGTCCAAGTTCATTACAAGCCTTAGCAGAAGTAGATGAAAACAGAAGAATAAGACCAAGAAATAATTTACCAAACATTCTTTTGTGTTTAACTAAATGAATTATCAAGGATTTAGAAAATTAATTTTCAGACCAAAAGAGGAAAGTTGTAAGTAAGGAATCCCTTGGCAGTTGCCATTCTCTCTTAAAAAAGTAACCTGACAGCATCCAAGTAAGCAATCAGTAAGTAGCTATCTAACTAAACTGAGCCATAGCTCACTGGCTATCTTATTAATGTAAAAATTAATTTTTCTAAAATAATTTCAGCAACAAAGAAATGTAAACTGTTATCTGAAAAGTTAAAACCAATAATTAAAGGAAAAAATTCAGTTATGTTTTTGAAAAAGCATGTCTGTAGGCAATTTACAATATTTATAGATTTACTTAAAGTAAAAAAATTAAGGCCAATGCTAAGAATAACCAGTATTATAAGATATGCATTTATTTAAAAAAATCATACATCAGAAGTTTCCATTTTCTAGTTCTCCCTGTTGGCATGAGCAAGAGTAGGACAGGAGTGCATACCACCGCCAGCAAGGCCAACAGGCCCCCGCGCTATGGGTAAGTTTCAAAAGAAGGCTAAAGGTACATTAAAAGTAAACACAGCACACTGTGAAAGGGTTTAGACACAGAACTATTTTTTGGATGGGGAATATATACCGTCAGGCTGTATGGGACCGTGTGTAAGTCCTTAAGTACAACACCTCGCACTATAGGAATACTCACTGTATTTATTGTCATTCGAGCTTCAAAATTGTCCACGCAGCTAAGAACTAGGTCAACAGGTTTTCCCTCTTCCAATCCACCATTACTAGGCAAAGAAAAATTTTTTTTAAAAAAAAAATCAGGACACAAAATATATCCTAATTATTTTTCAGTCACATTTAATCTTTCAGTAAATGTTTAAGTATAATTAAGACACAGTGTTTAATAGTAAAGATTCAGTAACTATTACAGAAATTACCATTTTTCTAACAAATTTCAGATTTAACATTCATTCATGTTCACTACAAATGTAAATGTAATAAAAATTTAATAAAATACTTCACTGTTGTTAGAAAAGTTTTTACAGAAAACCACTTTCAGATAGAAAAATAATCTAGAACACATAAGTCATAACTGAGGATAACTTATTATATCATTATAACAAGGTTTTGTTTCTGGTTTTTATTTTGCTGTTAGTATTTTTTTTTTTTTTTACAATACACTTAACTACGTTCCTAACACATAAAATTATGCTAAAAATGAACTATTTTAAAAACATATGTCAGTCTACCAATTCACTGAATTAATCATGAGTAGATATTCCTAGTAATACTTATTAATTGAGCTGGACATTGTATAAAATAATTAAGATTTTACCTTATTCTATTCATGAAATGTTGAAAGTTTTCTACTGTGGTTATATTGTAGTTGTGCACTTCAAAAACAACATCAGGATTAATGTTCCTAAGAGGCAAAAAGGAAATGATTTTAAAAATTACTAGTAGGATAGTAAGAGAAAGCAGGAAAAAGACTAAAAGAATTAAAGATCATTTAACAGAGGTTAAAGAAATAGAATTCAAGTTATTCAGAGAAAATCCAATAATTTCCCAGTATAAGTAAATCAAATCAGCATGCCCTATGTCTTAAGCAGTCATGTATGTCAATTATTTCTCAATATGAGGAAAAGAAGAGCAAATTCAAAATCGTCTTTTGTCACCTCTTTTGTCACTTCAGGGACTAGGTTCAAAATGTGTGGAAGGACTGCTAAAATGTTCCCACCATCTATGTGCTGGGAATTAAGCCTTTGTCGCCTCTGCTAGCTACAGCTCAGTTTGACAAAAAGACTTCTTCATTCATATTCAAGTCAGCAAAAGTACCTTTGGGGCCACAAAGAACCTCTGAAAGTGAGGGTTGGCAAACTATGATTGTCAGGCCAAATCTGACCTGCTTGCTACCTGTAGTGTAAGGTCTGAACTAAGAATGGCTTTTACATTTTAATGGTTACAGGAAAAAAAAAAGTGAAAGAATAACAATAGTTTACAACATGTGAATATTATATGAAGCTTAAATTTCACAGTCCATAAATAAAGCTTTATTGGGGAAGCCATGCATATTCAGCTGCCATCACTTCTCAGCCTACAGCTGTCATCACTTCTCAGCTACCAAGCTTAGCAGTATCGACAGAGATCACCTCAAAGCATAAAATACTTATTAGCTATCCCTACACAGAAGACGGTGGCCAACCCAGATCCAAAAGCTAAGAGAATTCTGTGTATAAGTGAAACCTGCATTTAGAGAGAAACATCTAGATCCATTCATACATTAGGGTAAGTCATACAAATACACAAAGTCAGATTTCACTCATGGTCTTTGTTATTCCATTTACCTCAAAGTATGTTCTGCTGCTTGAACTTTACTCAGTCCTGCCTGATGGGGTTGGAAGAAAAGTCTATTCATATTGGCCAGTTCCACCTTGTCATAGTCAAAGAGTAGCAACTGAAATTAAAAAACAGGGGTCTTCTGTTGAAAAACATACTGAAGCCCAACCTAAAAACAACAAAGACAAACTAGTGGACTTCACATTGGATGGGTTTAGCAATTCGATAGTAATCATATTAGCTAACTCTAAAACACTGGGTGCCATGTATTAGCTCTTTTAATGCTCTATGAGGTATAGACATAGGTACTGTTATCCTCATTTCAGAAATGAGACAACTTGAGGACTTGACCCAAAGTTACTCAGCTAACATGCAGTGGAAATGGAATTCAAATCCAGGCCTTCTCAATCTAGTATCTGCACCCCAACCCAGCAATGTACTGTTTTATCTGTAAATGATTCAGAGAAATTAATGTTCATTGCAATTTTAAAAAATTGTGTAAACATCTGACTTCATTCCAATTTTTTGCTAAAAGCCAGGAACCTATTAGATAAATGTTTTAAATAAGATAAAACAAATGCTGTAACTTAAAATTATAGTTTAATATGACTCCTTTTATGACTAGGACACTATATACCCATGCCTTGGCAAAAAGATCATTCCAAATGGAATTAGTAGCCAGCTGGTCAGCTTTTGTTTCCTGTTATATATTTAGATATGATAGCATTTGTCACTCACACAAACACAAATTTTAAAGTGTTCAAAAGATCCCATTTCTTATCAGAACAGGTTGGACCCAAGGATTTCAAGGCATCTTCCTTGATCTAAAATTCTATGATTTTGTAATACAATTCTCAGCACCCTATATTTTAACAATAAAAATAAGAACAGGATTTTTCTACTCCATGCAGAAGCTGCAAAAAAATAAACTCAGCCGCTAACAATCAAACTGGGTAACCCTTTAATATCTTGCTAAAAAAGCACTTAGCCATCTATGATAATTTTCCAAACTTACTTCAGAGTTTCCAAAATATGTTTATTTAAGTTTATTCAACAGTGTTTATTAGGTCAGGCTAAGTATTAAATTTGAGTTTAGGCCTCATGGCTGATTTATGAGTAAATTGCAATAAATCCTAAATTTGAGGACAGGATTCAGGAAACCCTAAATTTGATCCCAGGTATGTCAGGGTAATAATGTCAGCTACACACTACTGTTGACTGACTTCTGTAAACCTCCTAAAAGCCTTTAAAATGTTAATGAACACCATTATTATTTTGGGGCTGGCCTGTTTGGATAAATTAGTACCAACTTTGAGGCAAAGACAACTTTATGCAAAGAGAAACCTTTTTTATAAAAAATTTGAAGCATGAGTAGACTAACATTAAAAAGCACAGATGAACTTTGTGGGAAAATGCTTGCTTTATCAAAATGATAAAGCGAACAGAATTGTGGAAAGCTTATGAACTGAACCACTATATAACATACATCATAGATGCTGGTTTTATAAATCTAAGATTGGTAGACTGATTTCTGAGTTCTCTTTCCTAATCACAATCTAAATCAATTTTAGACATAAGTAAAAAAATGTGTGAGTTAAAAAAATTGGAAGTAGTCTCCAGGTCAATTTTAAAAATATGCTAGATACATACTTTCTATTCTGTCTTATAAAACATATTTGTTAGAGGTTTCGGTTACCTCAATAAAAATAAAAATTTTTTTGAGGTTTCATTGTTTCACTCACACACTTTTATGAATTTACTAGCATTCTTAAGTTTCTATATCTGAAAGACAAGTCCAAACTGCTTATATATTACCCTGAAGAAAATATATATTATAAATAATTATTATATATAATTATTAATTATATTATTATAGCATATATATTATATATTACCCTGAACACAATTAGGTAGTCCTTGTTTAATATACAGTGATATCAGCTTCCATTTCAATGTGTTTATGTCTTAAGCCCCTTGGGTAGGAAGAACAATCTGAAGAAAGGTACTGCAAATTGCTAAACCATTAGTAATGAGAAAAAACATTCTCTTTTGTACCTGATCCCTCCAGAGTGAGCAGGTCCCTATACGACAGGCAAAGAGAAATGCTTTACCTTCCCGATGCCACATCTTGTCAGCATTTCAGCAGTCACGCTGCCGACTCCACCCACACCTACCACTGCCACGGCAAAGGTGCGGATTTTCTATGAAATGCAAAATTAGGTATGTCTTGGTTAATAAATCTTCATCAGAAATGATTTTCATTTGCTGAAGTCATCTTCAAAAACACGGAAAGGTTTATCATACCTCATAGTCGCTTACAATTCCCATTCGTTTCAAGGCCATCAGGCGGCTTAAAACAAAGAAATAACGTTTTAAGGTTTACAATTTTCTAATAGATAAGTCTACATCATCATAGAAAATAAATGCCAAAACTCAGTCATTACTAATCCTTTAAAAGAGGAGAAATCTTTCGGCTGGCTCTGATATTATCAGATAAAACCCCTAGACAGCTGTAAAAACACTGAAGCCAGAATACCCTGTGTAGCCTGCAAACAGGATTTTTTTTTAAAGCTCCTCAGATGTTCCAATGTGCAACCAAGATTGAGACCTATTGACTTAAAATGTTAAGTGTTTAAATGAGAATGGGTCATTTAAGTGAAATCTGAACATTTCCTTTGCTGAGTATTTATATATATGTAATGTTTAACACTCAGATTTAATGTTTAACATCACAATAATAGAATTCTATTTACTTGTGGTCTCTGCCCATAAGGGGGGACGTTTACTTTTAGCAAGCACTAATCATACGCAAAGGAAGTTAAGAAGTACTTTACCTAGTTATTGCTAGCCTGTTCTGGCATCTTCTTCAATGTTTTGATTTTTAAATATTTATGTAGTTTAAAAATCTAGACGATTCCCACTCATTTACACTTTTAGAGTCAAATAGCTCTACCAGGCTTGTTAGGAAATTCAGGGGTCTTTTGGCCCGCCTCCCATTTTTCTCTCCTTTCTCACCTTCAGCTGTTACCAAGTATCTCTAAATAACACATTAACATTGTTATTTCTTGATTTTAAGTTTTAGGCATTCCCTGAAGACTCCACTCCTACCTTTGGTCCCTACAACACACAAATATTTCCCATCATACCAGCCTCTTAGTATTGTGAAGTGGTGCTTTTGGCCAGCTGTTATTACTGTTCACAACTGGGCAATGCGGTATATCAAAACTTGCCCTTTCCTGTAAAATTCTCATCCTTGAAATGAACACTTATTTTTCCACTTAGGCTTAATTTCCTGTGTATTTTCACAAACTCAACCTCAGTTGTTGAAAACTTGTTTAAATATAGTCACACGCATTTGATGTTTAAGTCAGTTTTACCTTCTTAAAGATTTGTCTACTGGGATCCTCTGACATGCCTCCATCTACAGACTTACATACGCACAACTTAGTTTAGGTTGTTTAAAAAATACATATATATTCAGACCCTAAGACTTTCACTGATAGGTCATCAATAAAACCTTTTTTTAAAATGCAAGCTTTCCTATCTTTAAAGGGAAAGAGCAACAATAACAGACAGTACTATTATCCCCATATTACAGTGAGAAAGCAGAGAGGCTCAGACCTTCCCCAAGGTTACTCAACCATTGAGTTGGGACTTGAATCTAATCACCCTTCCCCTTCCCCTGCCCTGGAGACATGCTTCCTCTGAGGAATTTAGATGCACGTCTGGGTTCCAAACTGAAAGGCGGCCCCAGTTCTCTACACCATACGGCCTAGGCTTGTGTAAACTTCCAGGTTCGTGTAATTATGCTCGGACTTTTGCACAACGAAATAGCCTAAAGTGCCACTTCTCGGCAGGGAGTCCCTTCTTAAGCTAGCCACGGCCACATATTCCAGTGCAAGCCTTAGGAAAAGAGAGGTGCAGACAGGGCTGGTAGTTAAGTCGATGACTTCAGAGTGAACCCAGCTCTCCCACCACACCCCAACTTCATAATCTCGGAGGAGTCCAAGCTTAGCGGGCTTTACATTTCATGCCACCTTCCGACAGGTGTTATTACTGTCAGTCCTGCGGCAGCGAGAGGCTCAGAGTCCGTGGGAGGAAGAGCTGGACAGGTGACACAGGAGGCGCAGGGGCAGCGCCATATGGCAGGGCCACTTGGGGATTCTGAGGGACAGAAAACACCCAATGGCCAGGCCCGAGGCTCGGCCTCGTGCGTGCGGGAGGCGCCGCCAGGACGCGCAGGGGCGGCGGAGGCCGGGAGCCGGCCCGGGGGTCCCCGAGCGCGCGCCCCCGCCCCCCCGGCCCGGCCCGGCCCGGCGCACCTGTAGGGGTTGGAGTCCACCACCTCCGGGCTCATCCTCGCGATGCGGGCGCGGCCGCCGCGCCCCTCGCCGCCCCCCGCGCCGCGCCGGCTCCTCTCCCGGGCCAGTTCCTGCTCCAGCTCCTGCACCCGCTGCCGCAGCCGCTCCACGGGCTCGGCCATGGCTGGGACTCCCGCCGCCGCGCCCAGCCCGGGCCGCCGCCGCCGCCGCCGCCCCACGCTGCCGGGCCGGCCGCGCCGCGAGGAGGGAGGGCAGGGGCCGCGCCGGCGCAGGCCCCGGGAAGACACGTCTCCGCCGCGGCCGCCCCGCCCCGCTTCCGGCGTGCGGCCGTCCCCGCTCCCCGGGAACCCGCCCCCGCGAACTTCCTCCCGCCCCGCGGCCTCAGCGCGCGGGCCGCGGCGGGCTGGGGTCGGGCGTCCGGGCGGCCGGCGACGGTGCCTCTCCCACCCGGGGGACCCTTTCTTCCCGGGCTCGCGGTTCCGGCGGGCCCATTTCTGAACCGGACCCGGGTCTTCCGCTGGCCGCGCGTCCGACGTAAAGATGGGAGAGCCTTGGCGAGCTCATCCGCCCGTCGCGATTAACGTGATTTTGCTCTCTTTAAATTGTTGGCGGCCATTCCTCCAACTCTGAGGCCGACAGAGCATTTTAAATCCGAACACACACTCGGCGGGACAGGTGTTTCCCAAAAAGACTTCCAGGCTCCAGAAGCGCCGTCCCGCGTTGCTCGGCAACGGCGCCCAGGGCGCGTGTGATTGGCTGGCGCCGCCCAGGGCGCGTGTGATTGGCTGGCGCCGCCCGGCCCGCCCGGCGCTGTCCCGCCCCCGGGGCCGCCCAGCCGGGCCGCCCGGCCCGGGCCGCGGGCGCCGCCTCCTGAGGCCCCTGGACGGCGGCTCCGGCGGCTGCGGCGGACATGGCGTCCCCGGCCTCCCGCGAGCCCGAGACGGCCGACGTGCTGCCTCAGCACCGGTTCGACCGCGAGGCGCTGGAGGCCTACCTGGACCAGCACTTGCCGGGGTTCGGGGCCGAGCCCGAGGCCGGGCTGACCGCCGTCCAGTACAGGTACCGGCGCGGCTCCGCCCGCCCTTCGGGGTACCGTGAATTCCGGGCACACTCCGGGGAGCCAGACGGCTCCGAGGAGTCCCGCGGTGGAGGAGTCTCGGCTGCAAGCGTCGCGCCGGCCTCGAGCCCTCCCGGGGCAGCCGAAGCTGGACGCGCGTGGGGGCTCGAGAGCCCGCCCAGCTCCGGGAGAACCTCTCGACCCTCCTCCCGAGAGCCCCGCGCGGTTCTGTTAACAAGCCCTGGTTTCTGAAACAGTTCATGGCACCCGCCGGGCGAGCATCCGAGTTCTAATCTTAGCTCTTCCACGGGGCAAATCACGGAATTTGTCTCGGGATTCACTTCTTTTTTTTTTTATTTTAATGAGGGAATGGCATGGGATGAGCATCTTGAGAGTACTCGTCCCCACGCGAGTGACTCTATTTGCTGTCATATAACAGAAAATAAAACTTAAAAGATAAACTATTCTCAAATATACTAGATATAGTGTAGCAGAGCTCTATTAGATCTTACTGACTGGAAATGCCAACCGATCGGTTTCTTCATCTGTGTTATCAGCCTGTTCTGAGTAACCCTGGTGATTAAATGAAAGGAAATAGGTGAAAGGGCTTAAGTATCGTAACAGCACGTTGGACCAGTGGCTATTGTCGTTGGCACTTGCATTCCTTAACTGTTCGTTTCAATGAAAATAAAAAATGGTTCATAAAGAAGGTGGATCAGTTGGGGTGCAGAATTAAAGGGTATTATGTTCCAGTGGATATTGGAGGATGAAGGAGAAGTGGAATTAAAAAAGAGCGGAGATTTCTCTCCTAGAAGATTTGTGTTGAAACCAAACTAAATAGATCAGAGTTCAAATTTCAGTACTGACAAAACAGAAGAGCAAAAATGATTCGGCTGCCATACACAATACAATCAGAAAAGTGGACAACTAAACAGTATGTTGTTTAAGGAGATAAACTTCCAGGAAAGGATAAATTAAAAAAAAAAACAGGACCGTGGCTTCCCTGGGGGGTGAGCTCATACTGCACCTTCAGCGACAGGGTAATGGTCTCTTAAACTGGGCAGTGATAATGCTGGCGTCTATTGTGTTATTATGCTTTATAGATTTTGTAAATGTTCCTTTTTACCTATGCAAAATTCATTTTTAGACTCTACAAACATTATACCATATGAACATGTAAAATATTTAGAATTAAGCAATAACAAAAGTATTGTTTAGCTTGATACAACAAAATCTGTGGTTTGCAGCCAGGTGCCTAAGATGTGCCTGGCATTGCTCCACCACTGAGGATAAACAAACAAAAAAAAAAACAAAAACTTGCCTTTTTGGAGCTTCCATTCTATTTGTAAAAGACATATAGTAAACAAAATCAATTTCTAAATATTGCAATGTAGGAGATGGTGGTGTGAATTCTAGAGGAAAGCAAGGAGAATAGGAGCAGGCCTCGCTGAGGAGGTGGCATTCAGCAAAGCCTTGAAGGAGAGGGGGCCATGAGTCCTGCGGGGGGTCATCAGGGGCCAGTCCTCCAGGCAGAGGGAACAGCAAGGGCACAGGCTCCGAATGGGGCTTATGCCCTCGTGTGGAGGGCATATGAGACAAGGGGCCTGGAGGGTGTTAGCCAGGGCAACAGGAGCCCCATTGGCCCTTACAAGGACTTTGGCCTTGATTTGAGCTGAGATGCTCTTTTTGTTTACTTGACGGGGGGAAGGTGAGGAGACCAGGCTAGAGTGTAATGATCTAGGAGACATTAGTGGCACACTATAAAATATGCATGAAGCCCTATTCTGGATTGTTTTGAAGAGTTTCCTGGCAGACCAGATGTAGGGTGTGAAAAAAAGTTGAGAGAGAGAAAGACTATTTCATTTTTGCCTTGGTAACTGGAAGGGTAGAGTTATGAAATGAAGTAGAAATGGCCCTAGAGAAGCAAATTTGAGGGGGAAAATTAGAAACTTAGGGCCCGATATGGGAGTCTGCAGCCGGGGCAGAGACTAGACACTTACATCTGGGAATCCTTGACAGAGAGGAGGTTTCCAGCTATGAGATCACAGACGGTACCCAGAAAAAGCATCTGTACTCTGACGACAGAACAGCAGTCACCAGAGGGCAGGGGTTGGGAGGAAATGGTAGAGGGGACCTATGGGTGGGTGGTGGATGGTGACTGGACATTTGGCAGTGGCTATGGTGATGTATATATAGTTACTGAGGGGAGACGTTGTACACCTGAAACTTAACACAGCATTGTAAACTCATGTTACCTCAATAAAACTAAAGAAGAAAAAGAAAATGAGTCTATATGGAGAGGGGAGATCTAGAGACTTAATCCCAGGCACTACAATATTAAGAAGTTGAGGAATAAGGAGGAACTTGGCAGGGAGTCTGAGGAGTGAGCAGAGAGGGAGGGGAAACCATGGTTTGATTCCATAGCAATTTTAACAACCTTGAAAAAGTAATTCCAGTGGAAAGAGGAATGAAAGCTTGATTGAAATGGGTTAAAAATAGAAGAGAAATTAGAATTGGACGTGTAAACAGGTTTTGAGTTTTTCCACAAAGGAGAATATTGTCATGCATGGCTTCGTGAGAAACGTGTCCAAGGGTGATTTCATTGTGTGAACATCAAGTGTGTGCTGACGCAATCCTAGATCTATCGCCTACCACACACTAAGGCCATGCACACATACACAGACCACAGTTCCATAGGCCGTCCATCATGCAACACAGTATCTCCACGTGGCACATGACACTATAGCTGTTTTAAGTAGAGGGGGAAGAGGAGTCAAGACAAGTCTTTAAAAAAATGTAACAGTTTCTGTGTCACAGTGAAAAGAGAGAGAAAACAAGAGAGAGGGGACTGGAAGGAAGTCCTTGAGGCAGCTAGAGCAGCTGGGATCGGATTTGCAGAAGGGACCATGCTCAGACAGGAGCGTGAATATTCTTTTGCAGATGCTCTGGAGGGCCGCAGGGTACCTGGTAGAGGGCTCATATGCGGTAGATGTGATAGTGTGCGCTGGTGGAAGTTCTCACCTGGTTGCTCCTGTTTTCTCAGTCAAGCCAGAAACTATGTAATCAGAGAAGAAGGTGTTGGAGGTTCTGAAGAGAAAGAAGTTGTGAAATAGCCAAGAATGTGGGGTTATCCAGGGCTAAGAAAATACATTATGATTGCCTGGCAGGGTTCACTTTGAGGTTCACGGCCATGAATTTGAAGCAAGAGTAGTTACTTTAGTAGATAGTGGTATTTTGCCCAGATTTCTATTGTTTCCATGCACTGTCTGGTTTGGTGACTTTTGCTTCTAATCTCCACCATTTGAAGCTCTGTATTGGCCTGTCCTTGGCGTAGTGGAGTTTCTTTGGCCTGAATGTTACAGTGCCAGAGATGGCCCTTAGCCGCTGATGGTCGTTCCGGAATGCTAAATCCCCATCATCCTTGCCGCAGAGATATGACAGCTGTCAGGTGTCACTTTCATTACAGTGTCCCCTCCCCACAGTGAGATTAGGCTGAAGCTGCCTTCCAAGCGACCTTGTCTCAGCTCTTACTCTCACCTGACTGCCTCCTCCTCCCTGACCAGTTTTCCCAGTTCCTTGTTGGTCTCCGTAGCATTTACTTACTAGTCACCGGCACACAAATAGTTCTCTCAGGATCTGCTTGGAGGAGACCTAAACTAAAACAAAACTGACGATGGGTGCTTCTTTCTCCAGCTCCACTCAGTTGTATAAGAGCAGGAGGAGAACTGGATTTGACCCAGACAGAGGAAGCCTCCCATGAGGTGAAAGAGGCAAATGCATTGAAGATGTGTTTGAGGGGGTGGTCATGTATTTGGCCGTCCAGTTTATTTTATTTTTTATTTATTTATTTTTTGTGGGACCCTCGCCGGCGGCCAGGGAATGAACTGGCGCTGCAGAGGCTGTGGGCAGCCTCGCAGCCCAGCGCTCAACCACTGTGCCACCAGGGGAGGCCCTGGCCATCCAGTTTAAGCTAGTGCAAGAAAGGGCGTGATGGGGGAGGGATGCTAAGGGCGGTGAACAGGCAGGATGACCCTTGGGAGTACAATAGCTCCTAGGATTGTTGGAAGGAAGATTGGAATTGAGCACAAGTAGGCCTGAATGGAAAGAGAGGAGATTGTGGTCAGAGACAGAAATGTGTGAAAAGTAGGCTTGTGCAGTGCTTGGGCTGGATTTGGTGAGGGCGTGTCCCTTGGAATGACTGGCTGGCTGAGCTAGGGTGAAGGACCACATCCCCAGAGAAGAATTCAAGGAGCTCACAGGTCTTGGTGTTAGAATGAGCATGTTTGGATTTTGAAATCAACACACAGGTAGCAGTAGTGTTGATAAGAGTAACTTACCAACAGCGGATCCTGCAGTGAGGGGAGGGGTCTAGGCGTAGCAGGTGACTGTGTAGCGGGGAGAGGGTGTCAGCATTCCGTGACACAGAGCTCAAAGCCAGGGGAGAGGGCTGAGACAGCAGGGCGAGCAGAGTCTGGCAGTGGCAATGGATATCAGGAAGGACGCAGTCTCCGTCCACCTCAGGCCACTGGGTGAGTGGCGTGGGAAGAGCCTCTCTACCACTTGGCAGGCCTTGTTCTAGGGATAACTTCTGATAAAACTCATGATTTGCAAGCAGGGAATGAGGTTTGCTTTCCTACCTGGGTGGGTAATCGAGACTCCTGCTGCCACCGTCTGCTTCCTATGATCCCTAAACTTGTATTCGGAGCTCCAGGAGCTCCCCTCTTAGCTTTCCTGCAAGGAAAGTTATTTTCATGTTGTGTCTCTTCTGATGTATCATTAGGATTTGGGAAAGAGGAAAATATATTTTTGTAATTGACCTTTGCTCTGCTCTCATCTAGATCAGGACAGTCCAATCCAACCTTCTATCTCCAGAAGGGCCTGCAGGCGTATGTGCTCAGGAAAAAACCACCTGGTTCCCTTCTTCCTAAAGCACACCAGGTATGGCGCGCCAGCGCAGTGAGTCCTATGCAGACAAACACATGCATCGTATACAAGCAAAAGCTGTTCACATTGCCTGTAGAGCTGCCGTCACTGTCCCCTGCATTCCACTCTCGGGGAATTTTCTTTTCTACTTAATAATTTTTATTTATTGATTTTATTTTCTTACATCATTATAGTTCCCTAATCTGAGTGTTATTAATTCAAGGGGAATAATGGAATCCTCTTTTACTATTATATAATAGAAAATGCACATTATTCCTAGACAAAAGTTTCCTTGAATTGTATCCCGATATTTCATAAAGGTTTTGAGGTTGAAGTCTAAGGCTATCGTAGGCTGTTCATCTTGAACAACACTTCGTCCTCTTATGGGTTTGATTCCATCTGGTACAGTTGGCTATAAAGATATCAACCAGTGAATATTTCCAATGCTACTCATTTATAATTGTTTTTTACTTTAGTTATGTGTTTGAATTGTGTTTTAAAAGGCGCATTATTATCTTATGACACTCTCTGCTCGGTGAATTGTTTTAATATATTTGCTATAACAATTCCTTGATCTTTTGATGATAAAAGAAATATTTGAATAATCACTTCACAGTATTCTCTTACAATACTAGAGTTAGTGAGAATTTTAAAAGAATTTTGTTAAAAATTGGTTCTTGAGGGCTTCTGTGTTGGAGAACATGTAAAGATTTGGGGATGCACGCCTGGAGGAGACATGGCCTTCCCCACCTTTCCCCTCCACGGGCCCTCAGCCTCTTCTGTCCAGCTGTTGATCTAACTGTCCCAGCAAACACAGCTTCCCCTGAGATCTCAGACATGTGAGTGAAGCTGCCTCAGACCCTAAGTCCAGTGGCGCCAACCCAGATGAGAAGAACCACTCAAACACTTTAAAAAAAAAAAAGATTCATTTGTGCATACAAGAGCTGGGGTACAGGCCAGAGGTGCGGGGGGTGAGAGGACTCACCAGAGACAGAGCGGGGAGCAGAACAGGCAGACTGACTGAAATACACTGCTGAGGGGAGCAGCGGGTGAGACAGGAGAGGTCTGCTGCGCCATATAGGTTTCCTCCCTGGCTGGCTGCAATCGAACTCATGCTGCGGAGGCTGCGGATTGCTTCATAGTGCGGTGCTTAACCCCTTGCGCCACCAGGGAGGCCCTCAGCCACTTCTAAATACTTGAAAAATAAATTTTCAAAAATCATCAATGAAGTTTTACATCCTTGTTAATATTCTGACAGTAAAGGATTTCTCCCCTCAGAGAGCGCTCCCCCACCACCAAAGCACCCACAGTCCTCCGCCATAGTCTGCTGTGCTGCCCCTCGTCTCCTTATCCCTCCCCCTATATGTCTCAGATCTATGGTCAGCTTTCAGGGTTGGTTTCAAAGTTTGCTCTGTCTGACCCTTTGGTTGCTTTCTCTGTATAAAAGAGAAAGAGTGAGTAAGAGCAAGCCAGTTAACAGGGAACTGCTGAAAATAAAGACATGTTTCATCATATCTGTGGAATACCAGGGTGAGGAGCTGGCGCCTTCCTATTGTCAGAGCCAGTATTAAGCCCCATACACGTACCTCCCCTTTTAGCCTAATTAAATGATCATCTGGGGCTGGTCTAATTTATAATAGTTACAACTGCACTAAGAATACTTGTAAGAAAAATATTAAGGGAGGGCCTCCCCAGTGGCGCAGTGGTTGAGCACCGGGTTGCGAAGCTGCCTGCGGCCTCTGCAGCACCGGTTCGATCCCCGGCTGCTCCCCGGCTGCTCCCCGGCCACCGGAGGAGGGTCCCACATGGCGTGCAGACCTCTCCTGCCGCCCGCTGCTCCCCTCAGCAGTGTACTTCGGTCCTTCTGCCTGCTCTGCTCCCCGCTCTGGCTCTGGTGAATTCTCTCACCCTCCCGCGCTTCTGACTGTACCCAGTGCATGTATAAATAAACTAACTCACTCTCCATAGGGAAGTTGGGATAGGTCCTATTATTATCCTCACTTTCTCAGCTCCGAGCTGAGAAAATTGAGACCAGCGAGGTTGAGAGACTTGTCCAAGGTCATACAAATAGTGAGAGCAGAGCTACATGCCTCCAGAGTCATGCTCTTAAGTCTTGTGCCATCCCATCCTACTGTGGGCAGGAACCCTGAGGCCAGGCTCTGAGGGATAAAAGCAAAAAGGAGGCTGGGGGCAGAGGTGCTTGCAGAGATTGGGCTCTGAAAACAATGGGTATATTAAGGAAATGTGTAGGGGTTTTAGGGGGTGTAGGGATAAAGATATTCGACAGCTGGTGAGTGGGGATGAAAACCAAAGGGGAACTATCCCAGTTTGTCTCTGCAGGAGGCCCCAGTCCTTTTCAGTGTGGGTGGCATTGGTGGGGTTAGGCCCAGGATAAACTGCAGCCTTTCTCTCCTTGTCCCATTTCCCATGGTCATTTCAGAAAACATCAGAGGTTCTAGGAGGGGACAGATTAAAAATAAATAAATAAATAAATAAAACATGCCTCTATTAAAAATATATATATATTAAGGGAATCATTATCCTCTGATATTTGCTGATACTGTTTTAAAATTGACCTAACCTTCATGTTCACGAGTAGTTATTAAACCTGTGTTTCTGATTTGTAATAATCCATTATTTTTAGATCGATAGAGAATTTATCGTCCAAAAAGCTTTGTTTTTAAATGGATTCCCTGTCCCCAAGCCTTTACTGTACTGCAGTGATGCTTCTGTCATTGGAACAGAATTCTACGTGATGGAACATGTGCGAGTAAGTTAACATTGAGTCTCACTTTGTTGTCGCTTTTTTCAATTATAAAATTAGATGTTAATAAATGGTAGTTTATTAGTCACCATCTTTGGTACTTTGCTTTACAGTAGCTTTAACTTTTGTTTTAATTTGAGCACACACAGTGTGGGAGCCATGAAATAGACTACAACAAAACTGTGGCGTGTTGTCTTATTCTTCAGTGTTCCTCTAGGTGTCAGTAAAGAGCTACGTAATGGCAATAACCAAACCTGGATAGTAGGGAGAAAAACTACTTCAAAAAGAAGATAAAACCATTAAGAAAGATAAATTTAAAATGTTTTTAAAAATTGTAAAATGTAACTTGAGAGTATTTTTTTTAATCTTGGCATATTCTTGTATTTTCCTTTTGCGTTATGGACCCATAGTAAACATCTTTAACAAATGAATGTTTTTCTAGTATCGTCTACGAAGAATAGGGTCAGGTTGCAAGGCTGTTATTCCAGATCTTTTTTATAGGCAGTAGGGCATGATGACACAGCAAGGAATCAGTGTGAAAAGATTTATTTTGTTTTGTGTTACCTGTTGTGTTTGCTTCCATAGGGTCGAATCTTTCGCGATCACACAATTCCCGGAGTTAGCCCCGCAGAACGCTCAGCCATCTATGTGGCCATGATAGAAACCTTGGCTCAGTTACATTCCTTGAATGTAAAGTCATTGCAGCTGCAAGGATATGGCAAAGGTGCTGGCTACTGCAAAAGACAGGTAATGCAACCACAAAGATTGTTCAACAAAAGTTTCTATAACCAATGGCACGTATGTGAATGCACACTTAAAACCATTTCAGCCTGTTCACTTGATTTACCAATAGATATTCTTTACACTTTTCCCTTTTTAAGTTAAGTTGACAGATATGTATTAGGCACAATTATGTATTTATTATATCTTCTGAGTATTGTGTTAGCTACCAAGAATATAGACATACGTTCTCCACCTAAAGGAACTTATAATCATTTTTGAGAGACCAATACATAAATCCTATGTACATGAGACTTGAAAATGGTATGAAAGAGTATATAATCTGGCAGTAAACTGGTGCTCAGTCATGAGATCTGTTCCCTCCAGAGGCAGATGTCCATATATCTTTGCTTAGATGGGAACACATTTTGGAAGAGAGATGTCTTACACTGTGTATTGAAGGAAGTATAAAATTTAGAATGATAGGAACAAGATGGTGAGCATTTCATATCAAAGGAACAGTGAGACCAGAGATCTTTGGGGCCATCAGCTTTTGTAAGTATGTCATTTTGAGTGTACTGATGGGAGAGAGTAGGGAGCTTAGGTTTTAGGGTGTTCACTACATGTCACAAACTAGATGAGTTCACTACATGTCAAGCCACAAACTAGATGAGTGGTTAGACATTTAAATCCAGGTCTCTGTGATTCCAGAGATGAAGATCTTTACTACACTAAAGTGAGCAGAGGTACTTTGGGGAGCAGGGAGAGAGACATATAAGCTGATAAGTAAGATGGCCTTAGTTGATGGAGGAATTTGAGAATAGGTTGATTTGTTATCTTCATTTCCAAGATTAGAAAGTCTTTGTACTCCTCATACTTGTAATGTATTTAGAAGATTCTTTAGGTATAAAGAATATTGAAATGAAAAGTGAAAATCTCCTTCTTCTTAAAGTGCCCATATTCTCTTTTTTCAGGGATTATTTGTTTCTGTGACCCAGATATTTTCCTTTTCTACTCATTTGTGTGTATGCATATGCATGCATGCATATTTTACTTTTACAAAATAGTTGATGGATAAATACTAGAACACACCTTTTTTTATTCCTAGGCAAATTTTTTTTCTGATAAAAAAATCTAGATAAGTTTGATGAAAGAGAAATGTAAAGGTTTACAATTTTAGGCTGTTATGAGGGTTTTAGGCTGATAGACACAGGCTTTAGCCTTGAGCATTAGGAATAAAACCAAATTTAACATAATTTAATCTTATTTTAATTTTACAGTTGCTGGACCTTACAATCTGTTTTCTACACTAGCACTTTTCTTATTTATATCTTTAGGTGTCAACCTGGACAAAGCAGTACCAAGCTGCAGCTCATCAAGACATCCCTGCCATGACCCAGCTCTCTAACTGGCTAATGAAAAACTTGCCAGAGAATGACAATGAAGAAAGTTTGGTTCATGGAGATTTCAAACCAGATAACATAGTTTTCCACCCCACAGAGGTACTGTATGCCATGTTTACAATAAATTGAGTAGGTTTGATACACAATGGAGTACCATTCAGCTAGAACAAAAACAATGAAATCTTGCCATTTGTGACAACATGGATGGAATTTGAGGGGCTTATGCTAAGTGAAATAGGTTAGATGGAGAAAAACAAATACTAGGTGTTTTTACTCATATGTGGAAATATAAAGAAATGAAATAAAGGGTAACAGGCCTTAGGAATCTGACTGCCCAATGGAGGTTACTGGGAGGGGACAGTGGGGAGTGGGGAGCAAAGGGGAGAGGGGTGACTATGGGTAGATGATTATGGGTGCTTTGATGGTGACTATGGTGTGGTAACATATACCTAAAGAGGTGTGAAACTACACCCCGAAAACAGACAGTGCTGTAAACCAGTGTTATCTCAATAATCAAAAAAATTGAGTAGGCCTGATTGGGACACAGGTACTCAGCAGCTGCTAATCCTTGCTCACTGAAGGAGTGCACCCCAACCCCATACTGCCTCCAGGTGGGACTAGCTTCACTACTTAACCCTTTGAGAAGTGAATCCTGCAGACCTCTGACTCGGCAGCTGCCTACCTTAGGGCTGACTGCTTCAAAGGGGGTTGGGAATTGGTGGGCATGCCGCTGCTTTTGCCAAAGAAATTTTTCCATCTACTAGAAATATTAGGTTAGCCTTGTTGTTGCTCTTTCTTCTGGTTTGTTTTTGTTTTTTCTCTCTGTGTCCTGAAAAATTTTAATTTGATCGTAATAAGCCCAGCAAGGGCAGAATTACGAGAGCCTGTTAGGACATTTCAAAAGAATTGTAGATTAATGTAACCTTGCTCTGTGTAAGTGTACAGAGTGGAATCTCTTAAAGAGTACAGATCCAAACAGAGCCCTCTGCTGAGGCCTAGGACATAGGTAGGGTGGGACTGAGGAAAGGGCTGCAGCTCCCCAATCCTTCCCAGTCTGCCTCAGGGCAGGTGCTTGGCCCAACTATTCTGACTTCATTGTAAAAGACAGTTCCCTGAATCCTGCTTTTTTTTTTTTTTTTTTTAATTTATTTATTTATGCATCCTGCTTTTTAGTGGAGGGCTTTCTGGGTTCATTCATTTTCTCAGAATGCTAGGATATCTTAGGACAGGAAGAGCGACTCCAAATGTACCTGCTAAGCTTCTGGTTTCATGTTCTTTTTCCATATAGGAAGAGGACATGTGAAAACAGCACTATGAACTGCTTGTTGTCATAGTTCAAAGTAGTGCTGCATTGGTTGAAAGTCCAAATTGAATATAAAAACTTGTGAGCACATTCACCAGCATGACAATCATTTTTCATAGAGAAGTCAATTTGGACATTGCAATTATATCTATGTAATCACATGGGTGTATATGTCACCTTTTGCTAATGGCACCCGTGAATTCTGAATTCTGAGTTTGTGAAATAGCTAAGAGTGGGAAAAATTAAAGAATGGTAACATGGAAAGATTATAAAAGCTTATACCTTAAAATAGCAGAATCTGTTTTTTATTAGTCTATACCACTTGATCTATTAATATTTTAGGAATCTACTTTTATAACCATAGTACTTTTCCATTCATCCTTAAGCAAGGAAATTCAGACCCTGATCTCCTGGAATATGTGTGACTACCAAGATATTTAAATTTTAGGATTAGTCACATTGCACTGAAAGTTATGGTCAAGTAACCAAATATTACTCCTTTTGTATATTTAATCTCATATTTGAAAACCAAACATCATTTTCTTTTAGGCCAGCAAATATTCAATAGTTGGGGAGAGACTTAAAAAAAAAAATGACTGGTAAAGACATAGCTCTCAGTTATTTCACTGCAGCAATAATATGTTACATATATCATTACCTTTTAATGTTTTGGGGTCATATAGCGGCTAGTAAAATGTCTTCTACTTTATACCCAATAATCCTATAATTATTAGTTAAACATAATCATTTCTGCCTTCTATAAATGTTACAGCTAATTTTTAATGGAAGCAACATCTGGTTGGGAGAGTCAAGACAATTAGCATTAATCAATGGCCAACCATGTGCTCTGGAACATGGGCTTGAGCTCTTTGTGAGCTCAAAATGCAGTTGAAGAGTAAGGCACTTAGGACCGGCAGAGAACAGCCACTGCCTGGGTGCTAACGTGTAGCTTGTGAGGTGAACTGCACACCTCATCACAGAAGGAAAGAAACCCATTTGGAATGGTGAGAAGAATTTAATTTTAGTTAAGAGTTTATCTTTTCCACAGAGGAAATTAGACTACGTTTAGTAAGTCTAATAAGTACAGAGGAGATAAGACTACATTTCTTCTTTCATTAAGGCACTCCATAAATTGGAAAATCAATGCCTGGATGTTAGTGAGTTAAATACATATATATGCTTTCCATTTTTACCTTGGTGGTTATGGCTTTACATTTTTTTCCTTACCTTTGCCTCTGAAGTGTAGGCTCAACATTTAATATATGCTCAATAAATGAGGACTCATTAGATAGAGCTCCTTTAAAGCAATGACTGTCATTTATTCATTTATGTAGCAGGTGATTACATATTTCTGAGTGAATCTATGTTGAAAGAATTAATGTTAATCACTAAGTAACTATTTCCGCCTCAGGATTGCTAGGAAACCAACCCTGATTGAAGAACTAGCTGGCACCTGGCACAGCTGATGCTCAACTTATTTCAATATTCCTCTTTTCCCCTCAGTTTTTCTATTTTACTTTTCTAAGGTGGCTTATCAAACTGTTCTTTGGAAAAATATTAACAAAAAAGTAAATCTTTCATAATATGCACTAAAACTGAAGAAGTGGTTGTAGGGGAGGATATTATGAGACTTATAAACATTACATTTCTGTAATGTTTAAGGTTTGAGATTTTCTTGTTTCCCCCCCCAAAATAATCACTTGTTTTATTTTTATTATCAGAAAATGTAACCATTGAGGAAAAATTAAAAAACAATTTTAAGTGATAAACTGTCCAGGAATGTGTGGGGTAAGCCAATAAAAGATTACTGAAGGGTATGGCAAAACAAAAGCATATTAGATAGTTTTGCAATCCCGTTTTTTTCCAGTTACTTTCATGTAAAGTATTGCAGCATGTTTGGACTAATATTTCAGTAGGCAACATACAGCAATGTTTAAAAGAAATCCAGGGCCTCCCTCGTGACACAGAGATTAAAGACAGTGCTATTCAAACTTTTGCCAGCCACTGCAACACTAGTTCGATCCCCAGCCCTGCCAGGATGCTGACCACATGGCGCAGCAGACCTCTCCTGTCTCTCTGGCTGCTCCCCTCAGCAGTGTGTTTCAGTTGATCTGCCAGTTCTGCTCCCCACTCTCTCTGAAGACTCCTCTAACCACCACCACCCCCTCCCTCCCGCTCCTCTGGCTTATACCCCAGTTATTATATTCATAAATAAACAAATATTTTTTTAAAAAGAAAAGAAATCCAGTTTCCCCAAGAAGTGTTGTTTGTCCAAGTGTTTATTGTCCAAATATAAATATTATCCAACTAATGGAGAAATGTTTAAGATTTTGGAATTTAATGTGCTTATTATCACCATTTCAGCTTAAACAAATATACATAGTGATAAAAAGATAAAACCATAGATATTTCATCTGCATTCATTAATTAGCATATAAGATTGTATGTAAGAAAGCAAATACATGTACGCTAGTTCTTTAGAAGTCACTTGCCTTGCAATCTTTTGTACATTCACTTTTGAAGAAAGATGAGTTGATGTGCAAAACAGAGCTTGCATTTAATGGCTTTTCTTGTTTAATTCCCCCCATGGTCTCTCAAGTGTCAGTATAGTTAGAGTAAGCATAATATAACTTTTAATTTTATAGCTATAAGAGACATAAGGATTTTTAACCTATTTATTTTTACAGCTATTTAAGAAATACTCTTTAGAAAATACTCTGGCAGTGAAGTCAGGTTTTGACCCACATGGGCACGATCAATCATTTCAAAAGTTTCCTGCTTTAGTATCAGTTGAGTTAATCATTTCTTGTAGAGAAACGAATGTGTCCAAGAAATATAGGCGTTATAAAGTTTCCTGACCTGAAATTAGTCATGGAATAAGGGTCACTAGGTCTGGGACATAGTTATGCGACATCATTTCATCTAGACTGCAGCTCCATCTCAGTGAAATCTGTGACCTTTTCAAAGAAAACTTTTGAAAAGACTTTTCAAATCTTTTCCACTCTTCTCAAACTCTCAAGTTGCTTGTCTCATCTAGACTCCTGCTCTGAGCATCTGGTCTTGCCTTCTACTTGACTCATTTTTCTCCTTTTGGTCACTTTCCGGTACAATCTGCTGTCTGGGGATTACATGCCCCTTGAAGTTCTCTTGATGTCATTGACGGCTTTTTGGCCTCTACTCAGGATCTACTTCATACAGATTGATGGATGACATTTTTCTTAACACTCACTGCCAAGAAAAGTTGTCACTCTTGTGCAACTGGTTTGATTTTAATCTACAAATACTGTAAACATTGTGACTGCTCATTTCTCGGACTTAATTTTGTACATGGAAAACTTAGCAAATCTTACACCCACACTGTATATGACCTATGATGTTCAGATTTATGCAATAAACTTACCCCTAACTTCATCTTTTTAATAAATATTTATTATTGGGCATCCCTCGTGGCGCAAGGGGTTAAGCACAGCACTACGGAACTGTCCGCCTCTGCAGCATGAGTTCATTCCCTGGCCGGCCAGGGAGCTACCCACATGGCTCAGCAGACCTCTCCTGTCTCGCCTGCTGCTCCCCTCAGCAGTGTATTTCAGTAGATCTGCCTGTTCTGTTCCCCACTCTGTCTCTGGTGAATCCTCTTACCCTCCCCCCACCCCCACTCTGTACCTCTGGCCTGTACCTCCAGTTCTTGTGTGCATAAATAAATAAATCTATAAATAAATATTATTTTCTTCCCTGCCTCTTGATCTGCTGTTTGTCCTGTGGGATTGCATGTACACCATTAGTTTTGAAAAGGTAATACATTAATAAAATACTACCTGCCCTCTTTTTTTTTTTTTTTTTTTTTTTGTTTTTTTTTTTTTTTTTTTTTTTTTTTTAATTTTTTTTTTTAATAGAGGCATGTTTTATTTATTTATTTGTTTGTTTGTTTGTTTTTGTTTATACATGCACTGGGTACAGTCAGAAGCGCGGGAGGGTGAGAGAATTCACCAGAGCCAGAGCGGGGAGCAGAGCAGGCAGAAGGACAAAGTACACTGCTGAGGGGAGCAGCGGGCGGCAGGAGAGGTCTGCGCGCCATGTGGGACCCTCCTCCGGTGGCAGGGGAGCAGCTGGGGATCGAACTGGCGCTGCAGAGGCTGCGGGCAGCTTCGCAACCCAGCGCTCAACCGCTGCGCCACCGGGGAGGCCCTACCTGCCCTCTTTTAATCTTCACTCTAACCTTATGCAAGTGGTGTATGTATTATGGCTGAGAAAATGAAGGATCAGAGGGGTTAGCTAACTGGTCCAAAGTTACACAGCCGGTAAATAGTGGAGCTAGAAAGTGATGATGGGTCTGTCTGATTCCAGAACTCACATTTTCCCACAAAGCTACAATAATGTATACTAATGTGCCAGAGGAACAAGAAAGCACAAGCACACATAAGGTTATATGAAGACATGAAGGTCAGTAACTTGTATTGTCCAAATGAGCTCTACTATTTTATCTGGCTTGCATGGTCTAGTTCATTGCTATAGCCTCCTCATTGGCCCCTCTACAGTCTATTCAAAACACAGCAGCCAAGTGACCCTCTTAAAACATATATACTGTCATGTCCCTCCTCTGTACAGAACCCTCTAGTGGAACTTCTCCCTGTACACCATCTTTCCTGACTTGGTTCCTTGAAGTAATTCACCTCCATGTTCTCTTTGCTCTCCATGTTGTTGTTGAGTCACCATCTTGTCTCTGAACTCTTTCTTTTCTTTCATCACCACCTTGTTTTTGACTTCCATTTTTGTTGAGCTCCATGTGTCTCTGAGTGTCATCTTGTCCTTAAGTGCCATCTTGCCTCTGAGCTCCATTTTACCACCATCTTATTCTGGATTTAATATGTGAAAACTATTTTTTTTTTTTTTACTTACTAACTTTTTGAAAGTGGAGTACCATTGGTTTACATCCTCATTAGTGTTTTGGTAGTACAGGGTATACCCTCCTCCATGTGTTGTTACTATAGTGCTTTTGCCAGCAAAGTAGCCACAATCCTCCAATATAGTCCATGTGCTCTCCCCCTACCCTGTTCTCATCCCTGCCTCTCCCGCCTCCAGCTCTCCCTCTGGATACTTCAGTTCTATGGACAGCTTTCAAGGGTCGGTTTGAAAGTTTGTTTTTGTCTGACTCTGTTTGTTTTCTCTATATTCCACATATCAGTGACACTGTTGGGTATTTGTCTTTCTCTTTTTGCTCAGCAAAAGGATAAATGCCTTCCAGCTTTATCCATGTTGCCACAAATGCTGTGAGAGTGTCACTTTTTTATTGCTGCATAGTATTTCATTGTGTATATATGCCACATTCTTTTCATCTGCTCATCTAAAACCATTTTATTTTTCATTACAGTCTCGAGTTATAGCAGTACTGGATTGGGAACTTTCAACCACTGGTCACCCTTTGTCAGACTTGGCTAATTTTTCCATGTTCTACTTTTGGCCAAGGACAATTCCAATGTTAAATCAAAGTTCTCATTTGCAAGAAAACATAGGTATGAAAATATAGTGTTGTCTAAGTTATCATTAAAATAAAATTACCTATATTACTCTTCATAATGAATAAATAAGACTATAGTGCAATTTTAGATAGTTTTTGTTCCTTGAAATGTTTTAGAATCATTTTATTCTTTGTGGATTTTTCTGAAAGTAACATTCCACTTTTGGTAATTTATGAGAAAAAGTAATTTTCAGTATATAATGTTCTTTTGAAAATCAACATTCAGAATCTGTTTTCTTATGTGGATTAAAGGCTATTATATTCAGTTTTATATACATATGCAATATTGTGGCATTTTCAAATATTCACCATGACATATTTTTAAAGTTTATATTATGTGTTATTTTCACAGGGGTGCCATCAATGGAAGAACTGATTTCAATATATAGCCGCTGCAGGGGAATTAATTCTAATCTTCCTAACTGGAATTTTTTTCTTGCCCTTTCATACTTTAAAATGGCAGGAATAGCACAGGTAATAAATTGTTTTTAATGTGTCTTTCACCATTATCTATATAGTTGATAATATTTCCTGGTCTTTGGGCATTCTATGTTCTTTATCCTGAGATCATTTTCTTTTCATAATGACAAAATATTTTGGATAAATATTTTAAATATTTTATCCATGTGAGAATTGGTTATTTCCTGAATCCCCAGTATAAGGAAAAACTAAAATATTTTAATGTCTATTTTAGCCTTTAAAACCTTTTTTTAACCAGGGCTAATGATGATGAAAGATTATCTTTGTGTTTTTCAAAGATTAGGACTATGTTCAGGATGCAGGAGCCTCTTAATATATGGTTTTGAATAGATGGATAAAATCTTCCATTTTCTATTAATGTCATATTTATGTGATTAATTTTGAGGGGAAATTGAACATAAATGCAAATTTTTTCTGATTACACTTTCATCTAAATAAATCCTTTCTTCATTGTACTAATTCATTTCCCCACATACTTTGAATCGCAGGGGTTTAAGAAATTGAGATATTTCCTCAGTGGCAAGGGATTAGGGCTTGAAGAAAGAGATTTCAAAAGCAAAAATGAATGGTAAATGGATTAAAAAAATATAGTTGTTTTTCCCTGTCCTCAGAGTGTGTGCTATCCATGAACAATTGAAATGTCCTTTTGGAAGGAATTGTGTTCCATCTCATCCTGTATTCTAAGAGTTAATCATCATGTTGATTGGATGAGTTTCTCAAAGTGGGGTTTATATGTTTCTATATGTGGCAGTTTCCACAAATCAAATCCCAAGTAAAGTGGCCTTTGAATTTAAAATGTCTTTTCATTTCAAATAAATGTTTGATGTGGGTTATGATTGGCATTATTATGTATATCATCAACTAGTAGTAGCCTTAGACATGATCCTAAACATTTCATTCTAACTAGAAATATGAAATTTGAAGCGATGGAATGACTGTTACAGTGTCTCATTGCATAGAGATAAAAAAAAAATGAAATTCAATTGCAGGGAAGAGGAGGGTAGGTTCCATTGAGAGCACAGAATATGGAAGATTAAGGACTGATCAACACTATTTAAAGGAGACAGTTTCACCTAGAGGTTTAAAAAGATGAGATAAAATAATCCTTAGAAGTCATCTCATTGCTCCTCTTTAACTTTTATAGTTTCTGATCTTATTTTGGTTTCTTTATATTTCTCCCCAAATTAGAGGTGATCAAACTTGCCAGTTTGGTATCTTCTGAGCTCATTTTCAAGTTTGGTTTGATTCTCAGTTATAATTCTGATAGGATAGGTGTGTATTCACTAGATGATACAGATGTATCTCTTCAAATTAGAGGGTATTATTATCCCAGCATGTAAATTAATAGAATTGATGGTCGTATGAACATCTTGGTACTGTGGAACCAACTTTTTGTCAGACTTCTCCTTGTCTCTGAGCTGCCATGCTGACTACTCTAGGGAGAAGTAAGCAGTCGGACTCAGCAGACTCTGAGCAACTGTTCCCTCTGTTCCCTCTGAGCAGCTACAGAAGAACAGTCACTCTACTGACTTCTTTATGAATGACTACAAAAGAATAGCCATACCCTGTTCTCAACTTCTTGATGGTTAGGAAGGGAACAGGAAGACCTTCTGTTGATGGTTACTAAAACCCCACACTCCATAAGACTCGTGTCAACCAATCCCAAAGTTTCAAACATATGACCTCAACTTAGCTAGCACACTGTCTTTAAAACACTCTGTGCTCTGACTCTGGAGGAAAATGCCAAGGACTTCACCTTGGTTGTAGGATTGTGATTCCTATTGTTGAATAAACACTTTCTTGACTGTATTACAGTCTGATTATTTCTAAGTCAACAGTACCTTGTGAGTTTAGTGACCCACATAGATGAGAAAATGTGGAAAGTCTGCCTGGAAAGTTGAAGAACAGTTTTCAATGAATTTTAATCACTCTGTGTTAATTTCCTTATAGGGAGTATATAGTAGATATCTAATGGGAAATAATGCATCCGAGGATAGCTTTTTGTTTGCCAATATTGTACAACCCCTGGCAGAAACAGGATTACGACTCTCAAAAAGGTAAGCAAAAGAGAGTGCCTCTCAAATCACAGTCTTTGTTTGGTATGTGAAAGTTACAAACTTTAGGAGCATGTGAATGGTCTTTATAGCTTACCAGGATTGCTACTGCTAGTCACAGCTGTTTTGATTGTTTATAGTTGTTATTTTGGTTAATCTCTCATATACCTGAAAATAAATTGACCTCAAATATAGAAAAATGCCCACTTCCTAATTTAAAGGATTTTTTGGCCAACTTAAATATATAGGCGTTCAAGAATATAACTAAAACTCTCAAATGTTTCTTTCTAATATTTAAATTGCTTACAAATACCTCAAAATTACATAAGACGTAAGATGAGTCTTTAAATTTAGAAATATTGCTCTCCTCCATTGTCACATGTCATGAAATTTCATAAATCCATGTCTCCATGAGTTGAGCATGGAGCCCTTTCGAGTCCCCTGCTAGACTCTGCCAACCACATTCCCACCTAGAGGGACATCCATTGTACTTATTAAATGTGTGTGTGATGCTGTCCCTGGAAATTCTGCCTCAGCCTCGGGGACCCACGTGCACGGAAAGACAGTTGTGCTCTGCGACTCATCTCAAAGATAGATACTTATGATACCGGAATTGTCAGGCCTAGTCTCCCAGCTGGGAACGGATCCCAGGCTGCAGGGCAGCGCTGAGCCCCAGCCACTAGACCCCCACGGGTTGGTGTCTCACGAAGCCTCAGCAGGAACTTCGCAGACGCTCAGGCAAGCAAGCGAGAAGAGGCAGTTTGTTTAGAAGAAGAAAAAGTTTATTGAGGAGAAAAAGACCAGAAATAAAGTGGGACTCCCAGGCCAGGGAACCAGGCCTGGGAGGGGCAAGGAAGCCAAAGTGGAGTCGTGTCTCAGGGAATATATAGTTTCTTTCCCTGATTATTCTAAAGCTCCACCAGTCTCTTTGTGATTGGTCAGTTCTCAGCTGTTTCACTTAATTTGCTACTGAGTGGGGGATCTTCACATTCCTTATCTAACAGGTCTGTCTTTCCCCATTTGTTACATCTTTATCTTTATGGCCTAGTCTTCCGGGAGAGCATCTCCACACTTTATCACCTAAAGAAAACCAGGACCATCCTGGATATTGTCCGTGGTTCTGGAATGTTTGTTTTTCCCATTTTGTTAACAATGGCCCTGGGATGTTTGTTTTTCCCAGTGGAATTGGTTACCTTCCCTTGGTTGTCCTTATCTCTGAAGCCTCCCTAAATTTTTCAGAGGTCCCCTCCTGCACTGTCTCTAAAACTGCCTAATTTCTAGCTTGCTCTGCGTCTCACTTATGATCTCATTAGTGCAATGGACTGTGTTGCTCTTCATAATGATCTTTAAGGGTCTTGTATATGATGACATCCAGCAGAGGTATTTGTGAGGCCTGCCCTCAGAATAACAACTACATTTTTGTTCAATTTCTTTGCTTCCTTTTTGAGGGATTCTGACAGGTCACTTCAATATAGATTCAAAACTACCATTGATTGGGATCTTTGCCAGGCTTATGTTTTCCCCAAATAGTGTTTAAAGCATCCAAGTTTAATATTCAAAAAAAATTATTTTGAATTCACCCCATACTATAAAAGACTTTAAAAACCCCAAATTATTGCAGCTCTTTCTGGGGGATGTTTTTGAGAAGCTGGGGAGAAGCGTGTAATGGTGATCTTGAACAACATCTTTTGACCTTTTTTTTTTTTTTTGGTCAAGAACTTTCAGTACGACTCTGCCACAGGGTGACAAGACCCGGCAGTTGTTTGCACAGACAAGGAGCGGCCAGGAAGTGCTAATGAGGGTAAAGCATTTCATGAAACAACACATCCTTCCAGCTGAGAAGGTAAGTATTGTGGAAGCAAATAGGACATAGCTGCGCTCTAGGACTGTCAAGGAATTGATTATATTCTCTGTATGTCGGGCCCATATCACAGTGTCCCTGAGTCCAGCCTCATCTGGGCCCCGAGTCCCACCTTATCCCTGAGTGGCTACACAACCTGACCCTGAAAAAGCATGAGCTTCTAAAGCCGGTGAGGGGAGTAGCGCAGATACCTCTGTGGAAGTAAAATGAAGTCGAAGGGAGTTAGCTGCGAGTCAAGTTGGGATCCTAAATATGTTAGCATAAAACACGACTTTGGGGTCCTTGTCCTAAGGCAGTAACTTTCAGCTATTTTTATGGACCCCTTTGAGAACGTGGTCAGAACTGTGGACTACACAAATGAACGTACCCAGAAAATTTGCATATCGAATCAAGTTATTTGCAGATTCTAGCACCTTTCTTCCCATATGCTATTATATTAAGGTGTCAAGTTTCAGTAACTTCACTGAGGTTAGGGGAGTAACATGGTATATTCATTCATTCAGTAAACAAATAATTACCAGGTACCTAAAGAATGGGGTAGGTCCCTGGGGAACCACTGAAAATGAAAGAACCAGACAGAAAGGGCCTATGCCCCAGGGAGCTTGTATTTAACAGGAAAGGAAGACATCAAGAAGAGGTGCTTGCTGTGAAGAAAAGATAAAAGCTGCTAGGAAAATACGCAAGGAAGTTACCAGGGGCGACCAGTTTTCTTTTTTTTTTTCAAATAGGAAACACTAGACATAAGGAAACTTCTTCCAAAATAGTCACCTCTTCTATGTGTGTGTTCAGTGATTAAGGTATCACTTTGGAGACCTTCTTTAGTTACCGTGTGTGTGTGTGTGTGTGTGTGTGTGAGAGAGAGAGAGAGAGAAAGAGAGAGAGAGAAAGATTCTGAACTTTTGAGTATGAAAAAGAAAATGCAACTCTTCTGGTTCAAGATGGTGTTCATAAAGTAGACATAAGAACCTATTATCTATGAAAATGTTGAGGTAACCCTTGCTATTTAAAATGGATGAGGAAGCCACCCAAAATGTAAAACAGGAACATGATGTAATACTGAGGACAACTTTAACATGAGACAGCACTCGTCATATGTCCCTACTGAGTCCTATACTAAGGAAGATCTTCTTTCTTTCTAACAGATTTAAGTTTACAGTGAAGAATATAATGTAATATTATTTGAAGCCTCAGATTTCAGATTCTGAATCAACACACTCCAATGGCGGTATCGCAAGGTGATATTTTAGGAAGATTTACCAGGCACCAGCCACACTTCCTGCTTTGTTCTTTCACCAACACATTCTTTTTCACGTTTAAAAAAAAAAATGGAGAAAGCTTCTTTGTAATGAGATATTTTAATCCTGAATCCTCTCATAACACAAATAGATTTCACAGTTTCCAACTGGATAAACTTTAGAAGAGGTATGATTAAATAATACATGTTTTTACAGAATCATATAAAACCATTGGCATAATTTAATTTTTAGAACTTTAGCATCACAAAGAGATAGTCAGTGATGAGGAATTTGTAAATGTTTTGCATACTCTATTTCTTACCAAGCACAATAGCATTGACTATTTCTATGGAAATATGAGGGGTGGAAATAATAAACAACTGTAAACAGGAAATCTTCCCATTTAACTAACTTCCTGGCAGAAATGACAAGTGTTATTCATCCTGGTGCCTTGGAAAAAGCAGTTCTTTGACTCCTTGTAATTTTCATGAAATCCAGCAGTGCGTTAGACCAGCTATGCTACAATCAAAGGGACATTTTAGTAAATCTTTTCCGTGACTGTAAGTTGGTGGAATGACTTTTGTCATATGGAGTAGATACTTTTGTAATATGAAGCTTTGACAATGTTCAGAGACTTTAATCCAGTAATTCTACTGACCTAAATGTAGGGGAAAAGTAGATGTGTAACAGGGTGGTCCCCAGGAAAGGGGGAGGTTCCCTGCCCCACCCAAGGGAGGGTGGAGCTGAGCAGGAAGAGAAGAAGCTGCAGAAGAGACTGAGGAAGGAAGCAGGATGGAGCCAGGAGACCTGGAGGAGGCGCATGGAGCCTAGAGACATGTGAAGAAACTGTGCTTGTCTTTTGGTCATGGACTGGGTGACACAGATGTGGGTGAGACCCATGGGGAGGTGACAATGGCAGCTTTTATCTTGATGTTGATTTTGCTCTTTTTCTTCTGGGCTTGTCTGATTGTTTCTGACCCTTTTCTGTGGGTCCCCACTGGAAGGTGCTTTAGACTCATGGCAGGCTTTGGGGCCTTGCTCTGGGCCAATCCCATTTGGATGGACTTTTACCCACGAGGGGACGGGTAACTTTGGGTTGTTGATTTAGAAACTAGACTCTTTGCCTTTCCTGTATTGTTTCCTAGTTGTATTAAAGTTCCTTCCCATTAAAGTCTCCTATGTTTTGTATTGATGCGGCGGATGGCAGAACCCATTTAGAATAGGCAGGTTTGCGGGGTTTGGGCTGCCCCTCTCCCTGTCCTATAACAGATTTGGCGCCCAACGTGGGGCGCCAAGCTGTTATAGAGCAACCCCGATATTAAACGGGTTCCTGGCTGTGGGTCCTCACCCGCGCGCTTTAAAGGGACTTATAAATACTCTACTACAGACACACGCCAAAGGGTTAATAAAAGGTTTATTTACAAGAGAAAAGGAAATAAGGAAAATGTACAACTTAGGGAAAAAATAGGGAAATAAAGTCTTTAATGCGTCCTACCCGATCCGACGACCTGGAAACCCAAAGTCACTCTCAGAGCTGGCTGGACGCTGCTGCTGGCCAAGAGCCCAAAAATGGAGAGCTCCCCAAAGCCCACGTGTCTGCCTTTTGTATCCACCTGGCTGCTTAACCCCACCCTCAGGTCCCAGCCACCTTCCCTTTGGTGGTGATGGGATTTGGAGTTCCCAGTGTCTTTGGCTTTGACCTGGGGTGGGGGTGGAGTCCACAAAGCCTATATGGAATTTGCTTTGGGACATCCTTTTCTTTGCTTTCCACAATGGACAAATACCTGGAGAGACTGGTTTTCTTTCACACTGAAACCTGACAAAATGTTCATCTGAGACTGCATCCCAACCTCCATATATTCGATCTTCATCACCATGGAAATGGTGGCAACAAGTGAAAGGGGGGAATTGTAGGGGAAAAGGATGTCCCAAAGCAAATTCCATATAGGCTTTGTGGACTCCACCCCCACCCCAGGTCAAAGCCAAAGACACTGGGAACTCCAAATCCCATAACCACCAAAGGGAAGGTGGCTGGGACCTGAGGGTGGGGTTAAGCAGCCAGGTGGATACAAAAGGCAGACACGTGGGCTTTGGGGCGCTCTCCATTTTTGGGCTCTTGGCCAGCAGCAGCGTCTGGCCAGCTCTAAGAGTGACTTTGGGTTTCCAGGTCGTCGGATCGGGTAGGACGCATTAAAGACTTTATTTCCCTATTTTCTCCCTGAGTTGTACATTTTCCTTATTTCCTTTTCTCTTGTAAATAAACCTTTTATTAACCCTTTGGCGTGTGTCTGTAGTAGAGTATTCATAAGTCCCTTTAAAGCGCGCGGGTGAGGACCCACAGCCAGGAACCCGTTTAATATCGGGGTTGCTCTATAACAGATGCAGAGATACTATCATAGCAAGATATTGGAGTATGTTATTATAGTCCAGTACTTCAGTTCTTGATTCTTTGAGTTATACAAATTAGAGATTATTGTTATTTTATGTGACTACTTTTTAGTTTAGATTTACCCATGTTTTAATCATTTTATTTATTTACTATTCTATCTTGCAACTCAGATGTTTTCCCAAGGAGATTAAGTTTGTTTACTGAGAAGCTTCTAGTAAATTTTTGTCTTTCTCTTTCTCCTTTTTTTTTTTTCCTCCCATCTCTCCCCTCCACTCCTCTCCTTTTTGGTCTCTTGCTTTGCATTTTTAATATTAGATTACTGATTTCTGGTTTCATGTGTTGCTGTGAGAAGCCAACTCTCAATCTTAATTTTTAATTATCTGTGACCTGATTTTTTGCCTCCCTCTTCTCCTTTTAAGAGCTTCCCATTTTCTTTGACTTTCCGCGGTCTGACTATGCTCTGGCTTCATTGTGTTTTCTGAATTTGAACATTGGCCTCTTGCACAAGTTCTGGAAACTTCTTAGATCTGTTTTCTTACAACATTTCCTCTCCCCTCATTCTCTTCATCTGGGACTCCAATTAGACTTATGTGAGAACAGCTCTGTATTCATCATTTCCCTTAAACTCTCCTTTTTTCCATCCATTGAATTTCTGGCTTCATCCTGAGTAATTTCTTTAGATCTTTCTTCCAATTTTTTTTTCAACTATTCATTTTTCAATCATCCGTAGAGCAGTGGGTCTCAAAATTTGGGTGTGTCAGATTTACTGAGGGGCCAGTAAAGAACACTGAAGCCCCAGGCTCCCTGAAGTAGGACAGAGCCTGGGCTTTGTGTTTTGGCCCCGTTCCCCAGGTGACCTGATACCCACGAAAATGTGATACCCTCAGCCACTGAGTTTTTAAGTCAGTTACTGTAGTTTTTCTTTTCCTTGAGTTGCATCCAGTCCTGTTTCAAATTTGCCGGGCTAGTTTTAATAATCATTGGTCATCTTTTAATTTCTTCCTTATTCTTGAAATCTGTACAATTTTAAATATTCTGTATCTGATCATAGTTCTTGTTGAACTGCCAGTTTTGTTAATTCTCACTAATAGTGGCTTGTTCCCTTGAGTGTTTAATAATTTTTCATTTTGGACTCACTTTCTTGGAATGGAATTTTATTGGCTGGGGTTATTTGAGGCTTTTCTTCAAAGCTCTTTCCTCCAGAGCGGACTTGCTTTGGCTTCTCCCAGGTGCTCACAGGCACTGTCACCAGAAACACTGGAACCTGATTGTTGGCTTGAGCTTTTAGGGCCCCACAGATCTGCAAATTCAGATCCCAAATTTGGGTGAAGACAGGCTTCAGATTAGAATTTTATTTTCCTATTCATTATATAGAGGCCTGTATCCCCATATATCACCTGTGAGGGATGGCTTTTTTGTTGTTTGTTTTTTGCCACTTAGGTTTTTCCCACCAGGCATCCTGACTTTGATGGAGGAAAGAGGTGACTTCTGATCCTCCTTCTCACCCTTTTTGGAGTATTTGGCTTTTTTTTCTGACAGCCTTTGTGGCCCATTAAAAACTAGGACCAGGCTCACATGGCTCAGCCTGCTTTGTGGGCAAATTCAAATCAAAGTGCTTCCTCAACCTGAACTGTCAGGCTCTTTATTCCTTGCCTCTGAGTGATTTCCTTCTGTCACAGCTTGGCATCACTAAATGTTTTTAGTTGTTGTGAACCTAAGTTCCTGTGACCACATCTAGTGTGCCCCATTACTAAATGCAGCATTCAAATAAATCTTGACATAAGATTTTAGAAGCTGTCATCTAATACTGAAGCAGCATAATTTTGTGAGCATCAAAGCCCCTAGAATTTTTTATACTTCCTTTTTTTTAACCCAAAGAGCTCACCTATTTATTACTGAGCCAGGGGCAGAAGCCTACCAAGAGGTAACATGTCCACAAAGCAGCGATGTTTCCAGTGTGATGTGGGGGTGCTACTGACCTTGACACAGCATTACCATGTACCCCATCTCACGTGCAGTCCCTGCAGACCCAGGTTGGTTCTTCTTCAGTACCCCCTGTTGGTATTGTACGTGATTTTATTACCAGTTTTCACCTGAATCCACTGGAGAGTGGATCACCCTGGCTTTGTTTCTTGGCTAGGAATCACTTGATCCTGAAAAGTCTTGCCAGAAAATGTGGCGAGGAGGCGGCAAGCACACAGAGGGAAGGAGTGAGAATTTTCAAACTTCTGTGGCTAGTTTTAGGAAAAAATATTACAGGCTTACTAGCAATTGGAAAAGCTTATTCTCCTAAATATGTTTATTCTGGATCTTAGCACATGCATTGTGGCATTATTTACTCTGTATTAACTTTAGTTAATGAACGTTTTCCCATTTCATTACTTTAAGGAGGTAATTGAGTTCTACATGGACAATGACAATTCAGTGGACAAGTGGAGACAACCTACAGTGATTGATAAGCTCAAGGTAAGAGAAACTTGAACATTAAAAAATGTATACGCAGGTGTGGTTTTTTTGTTTTCTTTTTTGTTTTTTTTTTTTTTAAGATTCATTTTTATTTATTTATGCAAGCACTGGGTACAGTCAGAAGCACGGGAGGGTGAGAGAATTCACCAGAGCCAGAGCGGGGAGCAGAGCAGGCAGAAGGACCGAAGTACACTGCTGAGGGGAGCAGCGGGCGGCAGGAGAGGTCTGCGCACCATGTGAGACCCTCCTCCGGGGCCAGGGAACAGCCGGGGATCAAACCGGCGCTGCAGAGGCTGCGGGCAGCTTCTCAACGCAGCGGTTGAGCGCTGTGCCACCGGGGAGGCCCTTTGAGCCCTTAGTTTGATGTCGTTGTTGGGAGGTATGTAGAGGATGATTATATCAATAGTGACTCTTTTAAAAGAAAGTTAAAAAAATAGAATTTCCAATATACAAATGAGTTTAAATAGTGCCTTATATGTGGCATGTGATGAAGACAGTAGTCAGAGCAAAAAAAATATGTGACCAGCTCTGCCTACTACCACCTGTCACCAAGTTGAGACTGAGATGAAGTCAAGGTGGAGTGTGTGTCCCATTCGACTTAATCTAAATTCATATTTTCATTTTAATCCAAATTCTTAACAATAACACATGTGAGTAGTCAAAATGCACAAAGTAGTATATCTGGCATAATTATATTCCAATATGGCATTTCATACTAGCTATGATTCAGGAAGAAGTGCTATAGTTAGCCAGTTTAATTTTGAAGCTAACTCTAAGGATGCATGGAGGAAAAGATATTTCATTAACAATTAAATCACCGGTGACTATAATGAACTAATAACTACATGGTTTTTCACACTGCTGGAGACGATGAAATAAGTAGCTTCATAAGTGCTTTTAAATTTCAAAAAGGATAAATACCACATCTTTTTAAAATAAATGATTTCTAGGCCATGGTAAATCATGATCTCTGGCATATTCCTCACCTTGACAGGAAATGGCCAAAGCAGAGGGCCTCTGGAACTTGTTTTTGCCAGCGCTCAGCGGACTCAGCCAGGTGGACTATGCCTTCATTGCTGAAGAAACGGGGAGATGTTTTTTCGCTCCAAATGTCTTTAACTGCCAAGCACCAGGTTACTCCATTATTTAAGGAAATCATCTTTTTTTTTTTTTTTTTAAGATTTATTTATTTATACAAGCACGGGGCACAGGCCAGAGGCATGGGAGGGTGAGAGGACTCACCAGAGACAGAGCAGGGAGCAGAACAGGCAGAAGGACTGAAGCACACTGCTGAGGGGAGCAGCAGGAGAGGCAGGAGAGGTCTGCCGTGCCATGTGGGAATCTCCCTGCCCGGCATGGAATTGAACTGGCGCTGCAGAGGCTGCGGACAGCTTCACAGAGCCACGCTCAACCTGCTGCGCCACCGGGGAGGCCTGGTTACTCCATTATTTAAAAACAGATTTTTTTCTGATCTTTTGGGCAATGTTTACAGTTTGTCTTTTTTAATGACAAGGAAGGTTTCTACACAACATCCTGATTTATAACAGGGTGTGTGTGAAGAACACAGGTAGATTTCAAGGCTGGGGTCTAGGAAGGACATGTCGGGGTAACTGTTCTCCGGGAGCACTGTGGTCACTCTCAGCAGTGCACATTTGAAAGTCAGTGGGCAAAGCATCAGCTGGGAAATCATCTCCTCGCTTCTAATTGAGCTAGACCTCATGAGAGCCGTGATTCGTGGCATGAAATGGATGAGAGTCTGATTCAGAATAAGTGGTAGATGCACCCACGGCCTTGGAACTATTTAGGGCATAGTTGCAAATCACATTTCCTATTATGTGTCAAATACTTTTGTTAGCAAACATTTGCTTTAAAGAGGTATGTCTAGATTACCTATCCAGGTAAAGTGGGTTTCATATTGGTAAATTTTAAAGCACTAATGCTTTCCTCCCTGTGTGTAGACACAGGGAACATGGAGGTGCTCCATCTATACGGGAGTGACAAGCAGAAGCAGGAGTGGCTTGAGCCTCTTCTCCAAGGGACCATCACTTCCTCCTTCTGCATGACAGGTAGAGGCAATTCCCCCTCTTCCCCCATGCAGCCAGTCACCCTGGAGACAGTGTAGCTGAGCTGAAGAGATGTGGGATGTGGTTCTTTGTGTCAGGCAATCGCCCATGGCCAGACACATGAATGTTTGCTTTGAACCCCATTTTAAAATTTGGTATTTTTAGGTTTGCAGAATGAAGTTGTCCTTCCCTTTGGGAAAACACCAGAGGATGTTTCCTGATAGCTTAATCTAGGCATTAGCAGCCCAGGAGACCTGGTTTCATCATTTCCTGACTTGCATTTCCCAAATTGCCCTCTACCACAATCTGTCCATCTCTGGATATTTAAGAGCTTTGCTGACCTTTGATGGGAAATAGTCATCTTTGTGACCATTTTATATGGATACTTAACAACATAGACAACTCTGCCAGAACCCAGAACTTTCATCAATGCCAGATATATAGCTCGATTATAATCATGTGGGGAAATAAAACTAGGAGCATGTTAATAACAATTATTTGGTGCCATTTGTACATAGGAAACCACAATTAAGAATTCTTCAGAGGATGAAGTTGTCATTTTATAATTGAGTTTAGAATTACACTAAATTTCCATCTGGCCTGGTTTTTGGCCTGGTTTTATTATCTTTTCTAGCGTAGTGTACATTTATGACAGCAAAACTGATATCCATTGAAATCATGAAGAGGCAGTTATTGAGCCTCTGCACTAGGATGTGTTGTCTACAAGGCACTAGCTGGGGCCTACAGAATAGACAGCACACAGCTCCCTTTCTAAAGGAACAGAATCTCTAGTTTTAGAAATGGAACACAGCATGTTGAAGGACCCATTTGAAAGAGCAGCATTTTAACAAATGCAGGTTATTGTGGTTAAAGCTAACCTGTAAGCTCTGAAATGCTATGCAGTAAATTGTCCCATGGAAAATTCTCTGAAGACTCCTAATGTTGACTAGGCTTTAGAGAATGCAAAATACATAAGTTGGTGAAAGCATTCCTGATGGGATTAAGGCACTAAAACTATGCAGTGGGAAATCTGGCTTGCAAATATTAGTAGAGGTTTCCTTTGTGGAAAGTAAAGAACAAGTTTTTAAATGTACTTTTGATGATTGGAGAAAGGATTGAGCAGTATCCCAAGTCATGTATCAAAGAGAAAGCCAAGAACACAATACAATTTGCTGCACCTCAGTGTTCTAAACACTTTGCTCCTTCATTGATTCTTCCAATACACATTTTAAAAATACTATGTAAAAGTTGTGGTTAAACCAGACTGGAAATGGGAAAGGATAGGAAGATGAGAAAGAAAAGGATGCCGCTGTCCTCAAATAGTTCACATTCCTTTAAGGGTCCTGTAAACCCATGGTAACTGCCTGCCTGTAAATTCAGTCTTTGCTTATTTGTAGAGCCCGATGTAGCTTCAAGTGATGCCACAAATATTCAGTGTAGCATCCGACGAGACGGAGACAGCTATGTAATTAATGGCAAGAAATGGTGGAGCTCTGGTGAGTGTTCAGATGCAGCCCTTGAACAATACAGTACATACAGTTTCCTGATCTCAGCGCTTTAAATTCTGCCTATAGAAAGCACTTTCAAGTTCAGAAATAGTAAATAAAAAGAAATTTTAGAACAACATGTCTTCATTAGATGATGTTTATTTTAAAAGCAAATACATTCCTTTTCCTTTTACAGTCTATGAGGTATCAAATTCATATTAGTGTATACTCCTTTTTGACATTGTAATTTCTATCAAAACTAAATTTAATAGGGGCACACTACATGGATTATAATAATTTATACATAATTCTATTAAAATATAAGCTGTATATGTACATTAGGAACAACGCCATTGTTACATTTTTTTCATTGCTTGCAAGTACAAGGTTTAAGTGAAAAGTAAGAAACTTTATGCACAGGGAAATATATTGTTTGGTCAGCTCTCAGTAATAGATTTCATAGATGGATGAAGCCTATATGGAAATATTAGACCCTGGATAAATAGGATGATCTGGGGATTGCTTCTAGAATATTCACAAAGCAATAAATTTATTAGGATAACCAGTTTATTACTAAAAGATGTTGACAGACACCATGGCAGCAAATTAGAAAGTTATCAGGAATGTATTAAAAGGGCCAGAGAAGTTTTTTATGTATTTTTGTTATTGTTAATTACATTCTTCCTGGGGTCTTATGGAATCACTTACAGATTAAGAAATGGGAGGGGGGGAGATAGATGAAATTTTGCTGCATAGTTGATCAAGTATTAAAATTATACAGGGAAATCATTCTTATGTTAAAATTTAGTTAATTTAAAATAATTCAAAATGTTTCTTAACATAAGCCTCTTTATTACTCTGTTTTAAATGCCCTAACTCAGAGCACAGAGGTTTCATTTATTTGTGCTGTCACTAGTCCTGTTTTCCCATATCGTTCACTTTCATGTTTTGTGCCTTTATTCTCTTATTTCCTCTTCTGGGCTGCTCCCCTGACCTCCTCCCTACCCCAACCCCTTCTTCGTTATGCGTTGCAAGCACAGAGTTTGAGATTTGAGTTCCAGAATGTTGCAGATGTTTTCCCTGAGGGCGCAGCCTCGGGTCCAAGCAGGAGACAGAGTAATCTGGCATTTAAATGCTAAAAGTACTGGTCGGTTCTGTAGGAGCTTCGGAATCGAAAGGAATCTCCTCCACGTTCTGTCTCTGTCTTCTCCAGGACCCGTATTTCTTGGCAACTTTCATAATGTAGTTTTTAAAAGAGGCGCCCATGAAAACGTACAGGACGGGGTTGAGGCAGCTGTGGAAAAGCGCGATGCTCTCGGTGACCTGGATGGCCAGGTCCATGCGCTTGCTCAGGTCGCAGTCAGTGATCAGGGCATAGATGATGTCGATGGCCTGGCAGAACTTGACAATGTTGTAGGGCAGCTGGGTGACGATGAAGACGATGACCACTGCGAGCAGAACCTTGAGGGGTCGAGATTTTTTGATGTTGGGCGTCTTGATGAGGGTCCTGGCGGTGATAAAGTAACACACACCCATGATCAGAAAGGGCACGAGGAATCCGATGCAGATTTCCAGCATCTGAATGGACGCTTTCATGGAGGTGCCCAGGTGGTGCGGAAAGATGGGGAGGCACCGTGCCTGGTGGGTCACGGTGTAGAATACCATCTGGGGGACGCTCAGCAGGACGGCGGCCGTCCAGACACAGGCGCACACCCACCTGCAAGGCCTGCCCACGCGTGCCGGGCCCGGGGCTGTGGTGACGGCCGAGTACCTGTCGACGCTGATGCACGCCAGAAACTGCATCCCAGAGACGAAGTTGATGGTGTACAAGGCCGACGTGACCTTGCACATGACTTTCCCTAGAACCCACCCATGAACTGCGTTCACCGCCCAAAAGGGCAGCGTGAACAGGAGGAGGAGGTCGGCCACCGCCAGGTTCAGTATGTACACGTCGGTCTTGGTTTTCTGCTTCTTGTAAAAGGCATAGATGGCCACGACGATGGAATTACCCGCGAGCCCGATGACAAACGCGATGGTGTAGAAGGCAGGCAGGAAGACTTTTGCAAAGTTCCTGACTTCTTCTTTTATGCAGATCACTTCGTACTCACTATAGTCGTGGGTGCCGTTCAGTTCGTTTTCCTCGTAGTAGTAATCTGTCGACTGGTTGTGCCCCAACGTCATGGCGCCAACCTGAGTGGCAAAGAGAGCAAGCAATATTCGTTTTGGTACTACTGGGAAGGAAGAGCCTCCTTACCTGGCATCTCTGTTCTTTTATTAGCAGCTACAGGGTGGCTCTAAGATGCTTGAGCCTGACTCTGCCTCTTTGAGACACTTTCACAGAAGCCACATTGAAGGATATCCCCAAGATTAGTTTCTCTTCCTTTTTTTTTTTTAAATAAGTCTGTGGGAGCTGGGATTACACAGGGAAGATAAAAATAATGCCCCCTGGGGGATTTTCTTAACCATTAAACCCTAAAGAAAAGCAGCCAGTGTTACACAGAAATAGCTTTTAAAATAGGAAAAGTTAGGTTTCCATTAAAAGGAACCAAAAATGTTATAATTCTTACATATAAAACTCTGTGGTTCTTATGTAGTATATGGAAAATAGAGTAAATAACAATGTAAAAACTAGTTTAGATAATTTTATATTATAAGCTATTTATATGTTTATTTTAAATTAAATAAATTGCCTCAGCTGTTATACTTAATTTCACTAGATGGCATTTATAAAACAAAGTCTCCTTTACTTAGCTGGCCCCTAGACCTGTCATTCTCTGCTTACCATGCACTAATATTTGGTAGCATTTCCCTAATCATGAAGGCTTAAGCCCCATGATTGATGACATCTCTCAGCCCGTCATCCCTGGTTTCCAATCAGTCCTGAAAATTCTGATTTCATCTTCCAACTAGGTTGCAGTTCTGTTTCCTCCTTTTAATCTGCACCCCTTGCAGTACCACACAGTTTGACCATCACTGTTTTTGACCTGGCTTCTCTAGACCCTTCCTAACCACAGCCTACGGTTCTCATTCCTTCCAGCCACTTCCTTGTCAATACTTTTCTTACTGCCCCCAGAGTGCTATGTCTCTGAAATGTCAAGCGGTCTCTCTTCTGCTAAACTCTTCCCCTAAAAGATATATCTCTTCACCTGAAAAGTCACCACACAAGCTCCTTCCCGTGATCCCCACAGCTTCCCTACCTCTCATGCACTGATTTGTCAGCAATTTCTGGCACAGGGCATGCTGTGGCACACATGTTTACATATAAATCATCGTGTTCCTCTGTCTGACACACTGTTTCCTGCCCTTGCCTTGAAGGGCCAATTCCTACTCCATTCACTGGGATGCCTTCTCCCCAAGAGACTTGCCTGATCTAATAGCTCTCCCAGCACTAATCTCCTGCTATGGAAGAGATGTGTCCAGACTACCATTCCTAAATCCCTAAGAGTAGGACCTTTTTAAAAGATCTCTGTTTATAATGAATACCCTATAAAGTGTCTGGCACACACTAGGTGCTCAGTAAATACTTGCCAAAGATTTGTTTGATTTGCCAGCAGGTTTAAAGCTGTTACTCTAAACTGGACTCTCCCACCAGGAATTTCCTGTCTCACCTTTAAGTTATTTTACTATTTACTAAATATGCGTAGTGGTAATATTGAGATAAATTTGCACAGGATTCACAAATTTTAAAATGTATCTCGTAATGACATCCAGGGGCATTATTAGTGCGGGGTTTGGTTATGCGTCTTCTTTGGCTTTTCTGTCTCTCTCTGGTTATTATTGTCCTTGGAAGAATGTCAGCTATTCTTGTAAAATCATGAATGAACTCATTTTCAAAAGTGTGCCCACTTATGGTTCTTAGCCGGCTAACCCTTGTGGGGTGAGTACAGAGAAGGATAGGAGGATCCTCCATAGAAAGGGAAGATGCCACATAGAAGAGCTGCTTCATTGTGTAAAGACCAGATGCTGTACGGCCATTTTCAATGACAGTTTGTATCCTTAAGGTTATTTGAAAAATGCCAACCTGGAAGCCCACTCTGGGCTTCACTGGCCCGTGTGTTAATAATTAATACAAAATTGCCTTTGTTCTTTCTTCCCCTTTACCATACCTGATGGTAAGAAGTTCATGTGGCCAAATTATATATTATGGAAGGGTATTTTTAAGTAAGAATCAGTATTACTAAAAATAGGAGTGAAAAGAGTAGGTATAGAAATTATTTGCAGGGCCTGCCTTTGTGACCCAAGGGGTTAAGCACATCACTGTGAAGCTATCCCCAGCCACTGCAGCATGAGTTCGATCCCCAGCCGGCCAGGGAGCTACCCACATGGCACAGCAGACCTCTCCTGTCTCACCCGCTGCTCCCCTCAGCAGTGTATTTCGGTCAGTCTGCCTGTTCTGTTCCCCACTCTGTCTCTGGTGATCCTCTCACCCCCCACACCTCTGGCCTGTACCCCAATTCTTGTATATATAAATAAATAAATTTATAAAAAGAAAAAGAAATTATTTGAAGAAATGATCCTCTGGCAGATGCATGGAAACACTTAAATGTCTTTATATCATTATAAGAAAAAAAAAGTGCTTGTAACTCAAAGCAAAAATAATAACAGACTAAAATCTGTTTTCTTATTAACAAAGTTTTACAGGCAAGTAATGGTATTAAAATAGCATTTCATCATGTTACTTTCAGATTTTGTTTTAAAGCTAAATTTAACAACTGTTTTCAAATAGTTCTTTTGCACATGCAAATATTCAAGACTTTTATGCACCAAGTCTCTCTCTATGTAGGTAAATACAGAGTCTTGGGACTTAAAAAAAAAAAATAATGAATTCCCTATTAGAATGAGAAAAAAAAGGAAAAAACCAACCTGTTCCAGTGGGCAGAGGAGTCAGTCTTGAGTGCAGAGAGTAAAAATCAAATGACCTAACTCCGGCCGCTTTTGTTTTCGTTTTATACCCCGCCTTTGTCTTGCTTCCAAGAGGGCTTTCCTGAAATTTAACCTTGTGAGAGCTTGCTCTTCTATTTTCTAAAAAATGTGACCATCCCATGAAGTCAAGTTCAAGTTCTTAAGTGTCCTCGGATACAAACTTGAAAAGATTCTCTCTCCTTTCAAAAACTCCAAACCCTTCCAAGTTTGCACTTAGCCAAAAGGAAAAGAAAGTGCCTGAAGCTGAGGCACTGGCTGCCAAGCCACAGGAATCTGCACGCGAGCCGGCAACCGGCAGTAATAGGTAGCATTCAGGAAAATACTCTTTTGTCTAGGAAAGAAAAAGAAAATACTTTTAACCCAGAAAGTTATCTTTTATAAAGACCAAATTTCAGACTGAATTCTGAGTCATCTTAGTATTTTTTATGTCATATCATTTAATGTCAGTTAATGTTCTACTTAAACTATTAGACTCTCTCTGGCTTCCTTCTACTGCCTATTTTTGACCTCAGAGGACTCTATTCCCCATTTTTTACCTTTTAGTCACCTTTTCCTTTCAAGATCAGTACCTATGTACCTTCAAAATCTTCTGTCTCGGGAGGTAGCTTATCTTTCTCCACCTGTCCCAACAAATGAAAGTTGGAGAAAAAAAAGAAATTTATGCAGACTTAGTCTTTGTGGCCTGCTTGAACTCCCCTCACATTTGCATACAGTTCCCTCCTTTATTTTCTGTGCCAGGCTTGGCTCACACTCCACCTGCAGACTTAAGTCAGCCCTTACCATGCAACTAATCTGACTTTCTTGTTGAGTCACAGAGAGGAGGCCCTTGGGATCGTGGCCGTCCTCTTCCCACAGTCTGTGTCTGAGGGTACAGCCAGCCTCTCCTTGCTCTCTTCTCTTTGAGGAGGACTCATTTGCTTGCAGCTAATGGAAATGCCTGCCTGGGTGGCCTTTGCGATTTCCCTCATTGTAAATGCTCCCACTGTGGGCAACATCAGGCCAAGTCACTGACGGCTGAGGTGCCAAGAGAGGAGCAGGGGCCGTGCTCCTGAGCAGGCCCTGGCACGCTTCTTCTAGACAAGGCGTTGCTCCTCTTCTGGGGGCCCATCATTCCACTACTCTCACCGGCTTCCGAAGGACACCTCTCTTACCTCTCTTACGTTATTCACACCCTGGCTAGACTTTGCTCTTTCCAAACATCCTCTTACCTCTTGTTCATCTTGGCCTGATGTATTTTGGAGCCCGAGGACGTGGAGGAGCAGCCGCTGTGAAATTCTCACGGGACTTTCAAGATCCTACGTCTGCCGGTTCCGACTGCTCGTCCCTCTGCTTGCTTGTCCCCCACGCCAGCCTCCTTGCTGGATTGGAATTTATCAGGAGCAGTCCTCCTTAGCACTTTTGTCCTGACTCTCCTCTCTGCCTGGAATGTGCTTAAGTTAATACTTGCAAGGCCCACACCCTCATCTCGCCCAAGTCTTCCCATTCACTCCCTCCTTACCGAGGCAATTCCTGAGTAACCTATTTTAAACACCCCTCACCTGCCTGTAATCCTAATCTACCCCACTCACAGCATTTATTATGTGCTAATGGACCATATCGTTTATGTGACGTTTGCTGTCTGTTTTCTTTCAGCCTGCATTAAAATATAAACTTCATTAGAGCAGGAGCTTTGGTTTGCTGTATTTACTGATACATCCCGAGTGCCTGGAATAGTGCCTGCCACATAGTAGGTGCTTAATAAACATTTTTTGGGAAGATTTTTATTTATGCGTACAAGAGCTGGGGTATCGGCCAGAGGTGCAGGGATTGAGAGGATTCACCAGAGACAGAGTGGGGAACAGAAACAGGCAGACTGACTGAAATACACTGCTGAGGGCGAGACAGGAGAGGTCTGCTGCGCCATGTGGGTAGCTCCCTGGCTGGCCCGGGATCGAACTCGTGCTGCAGAGGCTGCGGATTGCTTCATAGTGCTGTGCTTAACCCCTTGAGCCACCAGGGAGGCCTCTTAATAAACATTTTGAACCATAAATGATCCTGCTTCCCTTCTGATTATTCTCCCGTTTCCCCTGCCCTTGATACTGCGCTTCTTTAAAGACTTGGCTGTACAGTTGCAGCCTCCTTTGTTAGCAATTGCATGATCTCCCCAACCCATGTAACTCCTGCCTAAGATACATCTCCCACTCGCCAGTGTCCCACCTCCTACTCAGGATTCAGATTCAGGCCTGAGCTTAACCTTACTTAACCCAGGAGGCCTTCCTTAGCCTTCTAAATAAGATCAGAACCATCTGGTCTTTACTCAGCTAGTACTAGCATACTCAATCATCAGGACTTAATACATTTTCTGTCTTCTACAGTGATCTCATATCCTGCTCTCTCCTCAGCAGTTAGCTCTATGCCTTACTCTATACCAGTTTACTGAATAGTAAATATATGAATAATGAATCTGTGTTTAAGTAAGTTATCTTCCACAGACCTTTAAGTTAGATTTTCAAGAGCTGGAATTTTAGATTCAGATCTTCCGTCGTAGCCTATTTCCACTTTATTATACAATCTCTTATAATTCTTTGTTAGCCCATGAGGTCATCTATTATAGAATGTTGCTAAGTATTTAATAGGAGCTCTCTCTTTACTTTGCCTCATCCCCACTGATCATGAGCTTTCTTGTAAATAGGATTCTTCCTGTAAACCAGTTCCAATCTTTGTGTCTTTTAATTTTGCTGACTCAAGTTCATGCCCAGCCCTTGGACATAAGGATCTCCAGATCAAGCTGCCTCTCGCCTCTGCAGCCGGCCTCCCCGGCATCAGTTTTGCATTTCACAGTTTCAGTTACCCCTGGTCAACCGCAGCCAGAAAATGTTACGTATAACAAGGTGTTTTGAAAGAGAGGTTTCATTCACATAACTTTTAATCTATTGTTATAGTTGTTCCTTTGTTATTATTGTCTTTAATCGCTTGTTATGCCTAATTTATAAATTAAACTTTATCATAGGTATGTATACTATATTGCAAAAAGTATAGTTTATATAGTGCTCAGTAGTATCTGCCTGGTGTAGTGTTCAATACTATATGGTTCACTACCATTTCAGGCATCCGCTGGGGGTCTTGGAATGTACCCCTCACAGATACGGTGGAACTACTGCATTTTTCGGCTCTTTAGACAGAGCTAGAATAGACGATGTTACTAGGGGGCACTTGGTGAAATATGAAAGGCGATCGTGTTGTCCTGTCGGTACGCAGCTTTTCAACCAACCTACTTGATGCTCCTCTGCGCCTTTATTTCTTGTGTACATTTCTTCTTCTACGTCTCATGCCCTGAAGATCTGAGTCTTCATGGTTCCAGTTGGTTGCTCACTGTGCGTCACCCACCTTTACCTGCCCTGACAGACATTTCCCCTGTTCGTGAGGAAACTCTCCAAACCCATTTCTCAATCTCCTGCTTGTGGTGCCATTTTACTTACTAAGAGATGTTGGGAAAGTGATCTGACAGCATCCCAGCTGATTATCACAGAAAATACCCCTCATCTTGAAACATGCATTGAGCGTTATTGAGCTAAACCTATGATTTCTTTTTTTAAAAAACATTTATTTTTTTATTTATTTATGCACACAGAGCTGGGGTGCAGGCCAGAGATGCAGGAGGTGAGAGGACTCACCAGAGACAGAGCAGGGAGCAAAACAGGCAGACTGACTGAAATACACTGCTGAGGGGAAGCGGGGTGAGACCGGAGAGGTCTGCTGCACCATGTGGGTGGGTCACTTCCTTAGTAGGGGGCTGAACTCAGGCCACAGTAGCTGGCAGATAGCTTAATAGTGCTGTGGCTTTAACCCCTGCACCGCCAGGGAGGCCCTAAACCCATGATTTCTTTTAGTGCCCATATTACACATTGAATTCATAAGAGTTTTTACTTAGCATTTTGTCTTACACATTTGCTAAAACATTTCCATGTTACTCCAAACTCACTATAAATGGCATTTGTACGAGCTAGAGAATGTGTACAGATTATCATAATTCTCCTCACCTGTCCTATATGTCTCCTTATAAAACATTTAAAATGTTTCCAGCATTTTGCTGCTACAAATAATGTCATAGAGAGCGTCTTTGTATCAAAGATATTGTGGGAAACTGAACTCAAACTAATCTTGCTGAGTGTTGAAGAGTGTGACTAACCATGTGTCACTACCCCTTTTTTCTTGCGCAAAGATAGTAGTATTACTGTTCACACAGTAAAAATAATCCTGGAATTCTTTCCAGATAAACGCCTAGAAAGCTCCCTTGTTTTCGTAGAAGGTTCCATTTTAGGCACGTATCACAGTACATTTAAAGGCCTTCTATCTGCAGATATGGGTTTATGCTTAATTCTTTAGTCATCTCATGCAGCTGTCATTTCATTCAAGAGTAACTTTATCTGTCAGATAAATCGCAGAAGTTGGGTTGATGGATCAAAGAGTAAACGAATCTGTAATTTCGATGTGTGTTGCCAAATTGAATCCCACAGGGAATGGTATTACTCTGTCCTTCTCCCTGTAAGGTATGGAGTGTCGATTTTCTGAGAACCTTGCCAACAGAATGGGTTATTTGACTACTACTTTGCTTTCTAGATGACCAGTAATAGAACACTGCCTCCCTTTCCTTGTGAGCCATAGTGAAATACTTTCCCCAAACGTTTTTTGCTTCTTAATTTTATTTTTTGAGGCCAACACTCTTATATAGATAAACCAACTGATCTTTTGATTTCATTTATCATATTTTAGTTTAAAATTTCTTTCCCATCCAGAAAGTTCATAAGCAATAGCAGGGACATGTAACATTTATTGAATACTTATTGGCTATAAACTTTCCCAGAGGTGGGATAGTGAATTTAAAAGCTTGTTTTCCCAATTAAATGTCATATACTTCAAGAGAACACATAAGATTATTTTCCTTTGGGCCTCCCCGGTGGCGCAGCAGTTGAGCGCTGGGTTGCGAAGCTACCTGCAGCCTCTGCAGCGCTGGTTCAATCCCCGGCTGCTCCCCGGCCACCGGAGGAGGGTCCCACATGGCGCGCAGACCTCTCCTGCCGCCCGCTGCTCCCCTCAGCAGTGTACTTCGGTCCCTCTGCCTGCTCTGCTCCCCGCTCTGGCTCTGGTGAATTCTCTCACCCTCCTGCGCTTCTGACTGTACCCAGTGCTTGTATAAATAAATAAAAATAAATCTTTAAAAAAAAAAAAAGATTATTTTCCTTTATAGGATTGTATGATAAATGGGTTTTTTTTTTTTTTGGCAGATGTTATTGTAGAACAGTACTTAGCTCATAATGACTTTTAATTTCAACTTGAATTAAAGCTAAGTATTTGTATAAAAGACCAAATGATGTTTAAGCGGTTAGTCCAGAAATACAATGTTTGTAAAAGAAATATCCTTGATATTTTATGAATGGCTAAATGTGCTTCATAATATAAAGCTGCTTGCACCACATTCTTTATTGTAGCAGACCACACCCATACTTAACAATCATGATTTTTCTCTGTCATCCCTTCTTGTGTTAGAGAAGGATTTTGTCTGATAACCATGTGGTTGTAAGAGACTAAGTAAAAGGCAAATGTCAAGGATATCATTTACAGCTTGACTTAACCCTGACACTTGAACAGAGTTGAAATACCACAGAGTCTGGATTAAAAACAAAAGTATCTATGCCATCTGTTTTCATTCACAAAGGCGTGTGACCTGGCAGATATATTTAAGAGTTTTCCAGCCTATTCAGATTTCCTCTAATATATCTCATTTTCGACATTTGGCATCCTGTTCATTAACTAAAATAACATAAAAGAGCAAAAACTCTCTTTAGAAGAAGGACATTTCAGCTGCTGTACCTGCCAAATTTTGCTTGTGTTTAGGATGAGATGATGTTATGATAAAGTGTTGCATATCTCGTGGTTGCTGTCTGAGGCACAGTAGAGTTTTGGTCACTTACCCTCCTGAGCACCAGTTGACTAGGAGCTTTGACTGCTAGTCATTGACTCCTGCCATTGACTCTATGACAGGAGTATTATACTGCCTCGCACTAGCTTGAGAAAAGATCAACACTCAGAGTACTCTTTCTGCTGAATGCACGTCACTCTTGTACCATCATATAGTGGAAAAACTGTAAGTCAGGCCATCATAAGTCAGGACAGTCTGGGTGTGGGTGGGGCATCTTTTCTCGTTAGAATGTGTCAGATGACACGTCCTTTCTAAAGAGAATCCTTTCAGAACTGATTAAATGGCAGATTCCATGCAATTTGAAGGAACCCAAATTGCCAGCGTCAGTTTTAAAGCAGTGGCATTCTGATATTAACTCTATTTTGTACTTGTCATTCACGATGCAACAGGTCTTAGAATAATGGTGTTTCATCATAATATTGATGAGCCCAGTGTTGAACAAAACTATGTCTTTTGAGAGCCTGCTTTCTTCTATGTCATTTTGCCTAAAGCTGA